AAAAAAACAAAAAGAAAAAAAAGAGACAAAAAACTCACAAACACCACTCTGCGGATGCCCCGGCGGCAACGTCGGGAACGCACTCGCATCCACGACCCGCAACCCCCGCACGCCACGCACGCGCGCCCTCGCATCCAACACCGCCCCCGCATCCCCCTCCGCGCCCATCTTACACGTACACGCCGCGTGCCACACCGTCGTCAAGCTCTTCCTCACCTGCGCCCGAATCTCCTCATCCGTCGCCACCGCATCCAAGCCGGGATAAAACTCGCGCCCGGCATCCCCGCCGCCGCCAACAACAACAGCCCTCATCGCATCCGAACCCCATATCTCGCGCATCCGCTTGTACATGGCGACCGCGAGCTCGACGTCGGCGGGGGCGGTGAGCCAGTTGGGGTTGATGAGGGGGGCAGCGCCGGCGGAGGGGGAAGAGAGGGTCACGGTGCCGCGCGAGGTGGGTGCGACGAGGGCGCCGAGGATGGTGGCGTGTTGGGCGGATTGGCGCGCGACGTTCGCGACGGGGTGTAGGAAGTCTTCGATGTAGGCGTTGGTCGTGAGGTACTGCGGTACGGTGCGGATGGGGGCGTTAGTGTGTGTGGTGTGCTCGATCCGCCCGCGGCCCCTCGCGTCGTTTCGTTTGTTTCGGCGAGGGGGAGGGGAGGGGGGGAGATGTCAGTGTTGGCGGTAAGGGATGGGGTAGGATAGGATAGGATGGGGGCTAGGTATCGAATATCGAACTCGAACTGACTGACCTCCACCTCTGGCCAGTCGTCAGGAAAGGCCGCGAGCGCCGCCCTCGTCTCGTCGGAAAAGTTCTTCCCCGCCGCGGCGCCGGCGTCGAGCGCTGACAGCTTCTCCCAGCCGAGGAACTCGACGACGTTGGACGCCAGCTCGCCGGAATGGGTGGCGGCGTAGTCGGCGAGGCGGCGCGCGGCGTAGGCCGGGTCGCGGACGACGCGGTTCAGCGTCGGCAGGGCGACCTCGTACGACGGGCCGAACATGACGTGGTCCCACATGTTCTGGCCGACGCCCGGCAGGTCTTTGACGAGGGCGATGCCGTGCTCGGCGAGGTGCGCGGCTGGGCCGATGCCGGATAGCATGAGGAGTTGGGGGGATTGGAAGGCGCCGGCGGAGAGGATGACTTCGTTGCGCGCGGTGAGGGTGTAGGTGGTGTCGGCTGTTTCGACGGTGACGCCGGTGGCTGTTTTGGTGTTGTTTTTGTCGTCGTCGAAGAGGATCTTGGTGGCGAGGGTGCGCAGGTAGACTTTGAGGTTGCGGGAGGCTGTCGGTGACGTCTTGGCGCGGAGGATGAACTGGTCGGAGCCGCTGCGGGTGGCGTCGCTCGGGCGGATGGTGGTGGAGAGGTATTGCTTGCCGAGGAGAGTGCCGCTGTTGAAGTCGGTGATGGTGGGGATGCCGACGGCGTCCATGCCCTTCTCCAGCCAGGTCGCCGCCGCGCTGACGAAGTTGGAGTAGCCGACCTGGACGGGGCCGGAGGCGCTGGCGTCGAAGGCGGCCGCGTTGTAGCGGGTCGTCACGTTGGCTCCGCGCTTGGTGTTGTCGGGTGCGTGGAAGGTGAAGCTGCGCTTGAAGTGCTCCTGCGTGTTCGCCCACGACCAGCTGTCGTCGTCGAGGAGCGAGGCCCATTCGTCGTAGCACTGCTGCGTGCCTCTGCAAGTCTCCCCTTTTAGCATCGATACCATGCATCCTTCTGCACAGGAGAGCAAGCAGCCTTACCTCTGATAGATCATAAAGTTCAACGCCGAGCTGTAGGTGTACGTCAGCGTCAGTTCCTCATCACTTCGGTCCTACTCACTCACCTCCCACCCAAACACTTCCCCCTCGCATAATGAAATGTCCTCCCATCGCATCCTTCCTGCGGCGTCGTTTCAAACTTCCAATCCACCAGCGACCCCGCCGCATCACTCGCAGCCATCCCTATCGAGAACACATCCCCTGCCGGCACCGTCGTCAGCAGCGGTTTCTCGACCTGGTAATAGCCGCCCGCCTCAACGAGCGCCACTGAGAGTCCCGCTTCTGCCAAGCGGGTGGCCACGACGTTGCCCGCGGTCCCGCCCCCGACGACGATGTAGTCGAATGTCGCATTGATCCCGGAAGCGCCCGCGAGCGTGCCGAGAGCCGTGTCGACGAGGCCGGAGGAGCCGCCAATGAGGGAGGAGATGGCCGAGGCTAAGGAGGAGAGGATTTGGGGGGCGGCGAGCGCTTTGGAGGAGAGGAGGAGGTAGGAGAGGAGGATAGTCCGCATGTTGAGGGGTTGCACTTTGCAGGAAAGGGGTATGGGTGAAAAAGAGCAATAAGGGAGAGTCGACGACGTCAAGATGCTCAGCGCGCAGCGGAATGGATGAATCTATAATGCAATGCGAGATGGAAACGGGATGCGGATATATGTAGATTATGGAGATGGTTTTCGTAGTTCGCTTCGGCATGGTCAGTCAACTTCGACGATGCCACGGACATACGCAATTGGCCGCTTTGCTCTCAGAAAGATCTACTTCATCCGCAAGCCTAGGTAATTGCGGGAGGCTGCTTTGGTGGAGAAGACGCTCTGGAGTTATTGTTTTGCCAGGACACCGAGGTAGACGCGACCTAACCGCATGTGCAATGCTGTTTATCGAGTGTTGCCGGCTTGGGTTTAGGTGCCGCTGATGAGCAGCACTAGCGGGTGATGGACCGGCCCCCGTTGATCAAGATGAGCTTAGCGCGAGCTAAAGTTGGTTTCAGGACACGAAATGGTGCTGAAGGTCGCCCGTTGAGAGGCAACGAGGATACTCCATTCAGCCGTCGTCCGCTAGGGAGACTTGCGTGTGATGTTTGTGGATACTTTTGCGGCCGAGGCTTTTTCAAGTCTTCGGCAGCATGTGTTTGCCTGCTCAGGGCATCTGTATCTCCTGCGGGGCCCCACCTTGTATACTAGATGCCGTTTATCCGAGGGCCTTTTCGATCTTGGGTCTACGTAATCCCGAGTAAACTTCGCAGCTCTGAGCACCCGATACTCGAAGTACTGACATGAATGTGTGTAAAGAACCGCGAAAAAGCTAAATGGGCTTTACCCGAAGGTAGCTATCTTAGCTGAACTGCAGCTTGAAAGCATTTGTCTCAGTAATCAGACCACTATGATCACCGAGGATCACCAAGCTCTCCTTTTCACGAGATCTCAATCACTACGCTAGCATTCAGCTGCAATCAGTATCCCCGCTGTATACGAGTGCCGAAGCCTTTTGCTTTTCTTTCCCTACACCCACTTGTACCACCTCATCCGCTCAAGCACTCATCCCATTCGCTTCCCTCCCACTTTTCTTCGATCTCATCTCCACCTTCAGCAATTTGCCGGTGAAGTGGGAGCACACAACGTGCTCGGCGTCACTGGAAAGTGAGGCGAGGTCGCGAGCGAAGTTGCCAAGCGTTCGTGGAACGAGGGTGGAGGTTGAGGATGTGATTCTCCCCGAGATGGTGTAAATAGCACTGAAGAAGACTATAGTGAAGACGCCTTTTTCCGAAGAGGGGAAAATTGTGAGCAGAGTCACTGTATGGAAGCAACGGCATGTGATAAAAGTTCTTTCTGAGCGTAAGACCTAGCACTGTGCAGTACATCGGCTTAGACTTGTCACTTCGCAAATCTTCCCAAGTTCTCGATTGCATTAGCTCCAGGGCTGAAAAAGGAATTTGGATGCACGTACACGAGTTTTCTTTTTGAACCTTGGGAAGATGTTCCTGTGTCAACCCACATAAAACAATAGAACCAAACCATACGCAAGAATGATATGCACAAACCGACCAGAGAATTCTTGAGCTTTTTCGAGAAGAAAACTCCAACAACGGAGCTACCCCCAACATCAAACACCGCCTACAAACCCCCAAATGGGCTAGACCTCACATGATGCCTCCTCGCGAACCTCAACGAGCTCGGCTCGTAATTCAACACCCCCTCGAACCTCGCCTTCCTCTTCTCCCTCCCCGCTGCCACCGTCTCCAACCACACCTCCGCACAAACCGCCGCCAGGGGCAAGCCCCTCCCCGCCCTCTCCGCCTCCTCATGCGCACTCTCAATCAACCTAGCAATCTGCCACTCCGCACCCCCATTCTCCAACTTCACCTTCAAAAGCTCCTGATACCCTTTCGCCAGACGCTTCGCCTCGCCCTCGCACGCCCTCCCACACATGACCTCCAGATCATCCAACAGCCCCTCGATCGCCCTATACGCATCGCACACCCACTGGCTCCGCCCATCCGGCGCGTCGCCGCCAAGCCTGCGCGGCACCGCCCGCCTCAGCGCCTCATTCTGGTCCTCCACATGCGCGAGCTGCGCTTGCAGCAACGCGACTTCCTCGCGCTCGGGACACGCGGCGCGGAGGTCAGCATACTTCTGCCGGGCGGCGGCGTGGGCGGCCGTCTCGCGCGCGAGCTCGTCGCGCAACGCGTCGGATTGGCGCGAGAGGGCGGCGAGCGCGGAATGCTGCTGTGCGATGGCGATGCTGGAGAGGAGGTTGCGGCGGCGGGCGCGCTGGTAGAGCGAGCTGGCGGTGGCGTGGGATTTTTGCGCGCGCAGCGTGTGGAGTTGCCGCTCGAGGGCCGCGAGGCGGTGCAGGAGCGGCTCCAGTTGCGATTCGGCTTCTTGGCGGGCGAGTTCGAGGTCGAGGGGGCGTTGGCTGCGGAAGAGGAGCTCGAGGTCTGCGTCGAGGGGGTCTCGGTTGGGTTGTTGTGGTGGGCTCATTGTTGTTGTTGGTGTTGCTGTTGTCGTCGTGGTCAGATCCTACATCGAGCTGGGTTAGAGACGGGGGAATGTGTGGACCATGAGGAGACGCACAATACTGCTCGGCATTTTAAATGAATGCAGGGTCATACAAAAATGAGTGCGATGTGCGTGGGCTAGATGAGAGCGATGGACGGCCGACAAGTGTGGAATAAAGAGCGTGGATGAGAGTAGCTGGCCTTGGAGAGGGTTAAGGATGGTAGGCTGACGTCGGTCTGCGGGAAGGTGGCTCCACTGCGCTTACCGTACTGGGAAAGTATTGGGGCAGACGTCCGAGCCAGTCTACCCTGGCGGCAACTTGGGTAGCACGCTTGAGCGCCATCTATTTCAGGACTTGAGGCATCGAGGCGCTTCAGCGAAAGGACTTTTGCAGCGAAGAAAACTGTTGGACCTCATGATTACCTCATCATCATATTGGACCTCATGGTCACGAAGATGACTCTCGTTGAGGATGAATGTCATCATCAGACCCACATGGACCCTCTTCAGCAACGTATCATCATGAAAGACTCCTTTGCTATCCCTTTCTTCGCGCATATATAAACCACCAGTAGTAGCAGTGTTCAATAGATCACCCAGCTATCAGCTTCACTTCCTCCACCCGGCTGTGATCACCTATCCGACAAAAACTTACAACGCTGGAGCTATAGAGTATAGATTATCTACCGGCTATTGAAAGTGTTTCATAAGTAGAGAAACCGACTTCCGCAGTTTCCAACAGAAACCACAAGCACTTTTAAGCCATGTAGCCAAGCTGTCTTCTCAGTGCTCCATACTTCAATACCGGGGAGTCAAATGGACCCGACTCGTGACGTCCCCTTAGGCAAAAAGCTGAAGAAACCAGTCCACGGAATCAAGCCATTCCCACAAGTACACGCATCCTCTTGCAGATCCCTACCACCACTTCTGCCAAGAAGACATCGGCATCCGACCCTACTAAAGCAGGCCGGCCAAATCCAAATCCACCCAGCCCGGCGAGGATCTCCATCTCTTCCTCTCAATGCTTTCCTCCTTCCGCCGAATCCTTACCTCCTTCCGCTCGACATCCCTCAAGATTCGCCTAGCTTCAGCTTCGTCGTGGCCGTAGGCGTTAAGGTGATTTGCCACTAGAGCGGCGGCGGCGGCGGCGGGAGGAGGAGGAGGAGGCATCTGACGGGGTCTCTCAGGGCGATTCGACGACACCTCGGGCGGCGGCGACGAGCCGATGTCAAGATCGGCACAACAGTAGGCGGCGAGGTCTTGCAGGTACGCAAGCTTCTCTCGCTGGTCGCGGCCGGGAGAACGACGTCCCGGAAACTCATCAATGCGCCTATGCTCGCCGCCAGTCTTCCCCCTAGAGCCTCGAAGCCGATCGCGCACGCTGTAGATATCATCCTCGGTGATGTTCGACCCCGCACAGATGTCGCCCTTCCTCCGGCCCATCCCATCCTCCTTCTTCTTCTTCTCCCGAACCAACAAGCCGTACAGGTCGTCGCCCTTCACACCAGGAAACTCCCTCACCACCGCCGCCAGCGCGTCCAGGATCTCCACCGGGATCAAAAACGCATGCTCGGGCCTCAAATCGGGCATGCGCAAGAAGCGCGCCAGCGGGACACCGAGACGCGCCTCGATGACGACGATGAAGTCGCTCTTGACGTCAACGTCGCCGTAGCCGCCGCCGCCGCCGTCGCGGACGGGCGGCACCAGCTGCGCGGGCGTCGCCCAGAGCTCTCCTTTGGTCGGGTCGCCGGTGGTCCAGTCGCGCTTGCGGCACGCGGTGGCGGAGGTGGAGACGGTGGGGCCCGACGCGGGGTGGCCGAAGGCGGCGCCGCTGTCGTTGATGGCGTTGTCGTAGATGGAGAGGACGGCGGCGTCGGCGGAGGCCTGGGCGGGCGCCGTGGGTTGCTCGTAGGCGCCGAAGTCTTCGATGGCGTGCGGGTCGGGGTGGGACTTGGTGGCGGTGATCGGGCCGCGCTTTGGGTTGGGCGGCCAGAAAGCGACGTACGCTCTCGTGGCGGCGCGGAGGGCGTCTTTCAGAGCGTCGGTGGTGGTGGGGTTTGTTTCTTTGAAATCGTCGGCGATGGCGAGCCAGGCCCGGCGGCGGGCCTGGCACTTCGTGGCGCGCACCGGGCTGAGTTTCGCGAGATCCTGGATGAGCCGGAGTAGGGAGGTCGGCCAGGTGCTGGCGGGCTGCTGTCGGAGAGGGTGATGGAACGGGATGCAGTCCTCGACGTCGCCTGGCCAGTGCTTTTTGATGGACTGGATTCGGAGCAGAGCCTCCCTCTGACGATAAGCAATATGTTAGAACAAGAACCTTTCAAAACGGCTAGAGGAATACTTACCTCCTCCTCGGCATCTTTATCCATCACTGACAATAGTCTGTTCGGGCAGAGAAGGGGAAAGAATATGCGGAAGTCCGGGGTCAAGACGGGAACCTTCCGGGTTGTAGAAGAAAGGAACCATCTACCCCTACGAGCGAACCTAAGAGTTCAATCTTCACAAGTGATTGTAGGCAGATCCCGCTCGTGCACCTTAAGCGAGGCAAGAAGTGAATGTTCAGCGGCGTGGTGGAAGAAGAGGGAAAAGAACAGGGCTCGCAATTGATCTGATTGACAAGCGCAAGCGGGGTCCGGGGGTCCGATTGCAATCCAGGAGGGGTCTTCAGGTTAATCAATCAATCCAAGCGCAAGCGGCCTGCTTGCAAGCGGGCTTTGGATATCCGATTGCAAGCACAAGCGCTTGCGCTTGAAACCCCTATCAATCGGGTCTCCATGGCCGCTTGCAATCCGATTGCTTGCCAGATTGGCAATCCGCTTGCGCTTGCTGCGAGCCCTGGTAAAGATACAGAGATCCCACCACAATTTCCACCACCACCAGCCCCAGCGTTTTAAACCCATCCAGAAGCAACAGAGACAACACGCACGCTTAATCCAAAGGGATGCCTATGAGCTCTGAGCACACTCGCTCGATGTAGACAACACGGCCCACACAACACATGACTATGACCGCTGTTCGAAATAGGAGCACAAAAAAGATGTAACAATACGCGCTACAGCAAAGTCTATGGTATCTAAACCCTCCCACCCATCTGCAGTGCACAAACAAGGAATAAAAAGACAAGGAAGAAAGAGAAGTACTGCGTACGCACCGCACATACATCCATCAATCCATCCATCGATCCATCCCCAGGCAGATCCACTCCGTTCTTTTCTTCTTTCTTTCCTCCTCCTCCCCACAATACAGATACATACACACACACTCTCCCTCAGTTTTTCTCCCCTCATCCCTCCCCTCACGCATCCAAAACCTCCACAACATTCGTCCACTTCCCCGCCGCCCGCTCCTCCCAATACCCATCCTTACCCGTCTTCAACCTCCACTCCTCCTCGCCCCCAGCGGCGGCACCGGCACCCGCACCGTCCGCACCGCCCGCCGCGCCACCCTCACCACCCTCACCCCCCGCGACCTTGACGAACCACCTCGGACTCCACTGCTGGCCGTGCTCCTCCATCACCCTCCGCCGCTGCCTCTGCCTCTCCTCCAGCTTCGCCTTCAGCGCCTCCGCCTGGTCGAGCTCTCCGTCCTCGACGGCGCGCTGGTCGAGCCTCAGGCGGCTGTCCGTCGGGGCCACCTTGCCCTCCTCGACGGCCGTGACCTGGTTGAGGGCGGCGGCGAAGGTGGTGAAGCCGTAGCGCTTCTCGGGCTGGTCGACGAGGGCGCCGGCCTTCCACGCGGCCTGCTTGGTGTCGGCGCCGTCGCGGGTGAAGTGCAGCTCGGCGGTCCACTTGCCGGCGAGGCCGAGCGAGAGCTGGGCGCCGCCCTGGTCGGGCGGGGCGAAGGCCTGGACCGAGACCTCTTCGCTGCGGCCCGCGAACATGCCGCCGGCCTTGAACGTGGCGATGGCTTTGGCGCCCGTCGTTTCGTTGACCACCGTCATGGTGCCGACGGGCTCGACGTACTTTTCGCCGGCGATGATGTTGCGCAGGAAGGAGGTGGCGACCGTCCAGCTGTAGTGCTCGCCCTGGTTGTTCGGGTTGGGGTTGTGCAGGAAGACGCGCGCGCGGCCGTCCGTGTTGAGCTCCGCCGACTTGCCCCAGAACTTCTGGACGGGCATGGGAGACTGCAGGAACGTCCACTCCTTGGCCTCTGCCTGGCACGCCATGCGCACTGGCCGGTGTGACACCTTCTCGGCGAGGAAGCGGAAACCTTTGTCTTCACGCACGAGCTCGAATGTTTCACCCAGCATGGGGTTGAAGGGCTTGCGAATCGCGCGCTCCTTGACGCGTGCGTTGGAGAATGAGGAAATGGCAAATGCCATGATGTAGAGGATACGTGAGCCGTCCTCGGCAGGCGCGTTGACGGCAGCGTCGATGAGCTCCGAGTACTCCATCTGCTCGGCCACACGTTGCAACAGACTGGTAGGCTCGTTTGCAGAGACCGGCATAGCGATCGTGGAGAGGTCCTTGCCGACGTTCTTGCGGAGGAAGGCGATCAAGCTTGGAGGAGCAACCTTTGGTGCGGCAACCGTTGTGCGGCGTTGCACCTTGTCCATGGGTAACGGGGAGAGAGACTTCGGCTTCGCTGGGAACAAACCAGGCAGCCCCTCACGGTTTGCCCGGTCGAACGCTCCGATGCCCTCACCTTCGCTGCTGGCCTCCGACTCACCGTCTGAGACATCTTCGTTCTTGTCTCCCGTATCATCGTTGCTGTCGCGACGGATGGTGAGCAGGTTGGATTTTCCTTGGTCCTCATCCTCTCCGCCGGTAGCATCAAAGAATTCGTCCTCGGACATAGAATCCATACTCTTCCGAGACTCGGCGTGCGATCCAGTAGGTGCGCGTCTGAGGCGGTTTTGAGCAAGCAGGGCGGCGGACTCTGATACAACAAAATCCAGATCACGAAGGATGGCCAGGACATTGTCGTGGATGTTCTCATCGGATGCTCCAGCGACGTTTGCGCGGACCTTGGGCACAGTCAAGGTCGATCCAGGCGTGGTGGGAAGCGGAGGTACTGGCGGCACGGATGGTGGAGAAGCAGGGCCGATTTGCGAGGTGATGCTTTTTCTGTGAACACTTCCTGCTGAGGCGCTAGGCTTCCTCTTCCAGAATGCCGCAGACTTCTTTTCAGAACGGGCATCGTCGTCCACATTGGCGTTGTTGAAGTAGTCCCCAGAGGCCGTTGATTCGGCTGGGCTCGTTACGCTGCTGATGCCGCCCTTGATGCTGCTCGCACCTGATGGTGCGGCGGAGGGGCTCTTCGGATCCGTATCCTTGGCCAATCTTCTCACAGCATCCCGGATGCCGGAAACGCGTCCGACCAAAGCCTCGATGCGTCCCCAGTCGCGGTCAATTTGCTCGGAACCAGGCTGTCCAGGTGTCGGCCACTTGAAGTCTTGTTCTTTGGTGTCCTCGGGGGTCTCGGTGCCCTTTGCTTCGCTCGATGCTCGTTCCAAAGCATTCTTCCAGGCATCGAAATCATTCTTGTTGTTGGCCTTCAGATGCCACACTTCCGCTCCCGAGTCAACAGAAATTTCCCTCGTGCTCTCATCTGCGGCGATGGCCGCAAGAGAAAGCGGGATGGCGCCTCTCAATGCAGAGGAGTTGCGACTCTGGTAGTACGACAGCGTCGACGAGGTGAAGTCCAGCGAAAAGAAACGGCGTGCGAATCCCTGGTTTCTCTTCCTCCTCTTCTTCAGCAGCACGCCGGTGTAGAAAAGTGAGCCGCCAGGCGTCGTGGCCTCTGCGACGTGGCGAGAGCGGGGTCTCGGGTCGGCCGCGACCATAGGTTCCTGTGCCAGAGACTCGTTCGACTCGCCAAAGTCTCCTGGCGGCAGATTTGGGCTGGAGCCGCCGACTGCCTGCGAGAAGTGCAGGTGATGGCCAGATTTCGGCGCGGCATGGGTGGGGTGCGTCATGAGCACAAAGGTTGCAGTCTTCGAGACCTGCTTGGAGAAGGTATTGTCGAACACCAGGCCGTACATGCCTCCTTCGCCCTCGGACACGTCATAGCGGCCCATCGACACTTTGTCTGCCTCGCATTTGCCTGTCCAGGAGACCGGTTTTAATCCTATACTTTGTAACTTTTCCACCACCAGTGTCCTGTCGTTCCGTGACGCGTTTGCGCCAATGCCATTGCCGCCTATAGAGGAGCCGCGGGGCCGGCCCGCGGCAGTCTCGCCGCCGGCTGCAGTCGTAGGAGCGTCGTTGATGCCGGCGGCGACGGTGGAGGGGAGGTTGGGGGCCTCGCCGTTCTTGGTGCCCGGATGCTTGAAGATGCCGAAGTTCACGGACTTTTTGTGCGGCTGAATGCTCCAGGAGATGGTGTGCCCGGCGGGGACGTTGATCCATCGCACAAGGTACGACTGCAATGTTGTTAGAAATGTCGGGGTACCGGCCGCAACTCGCGCGCCTCAGACGCGTACCTTGCTGTGGATCTGCAGCTGCTCCATGCCCGCCATGTTGTCTGGTTCTCCGGCTGGCGGATGCTCGAATCTGGGGTAAGGGGCGGGGGAGTGTTCGAGTTGAGGCGGTGGTGGGTGACAAAGCCAAAGGAGGCTCGGCGGCGGATTGCGGGTGCGACGGTTGGTGATGCCACGCGGGAGTTTGTTGGTGCACTCAATGGGCGAGGAGCATTCTTAAGCTTAATTGCTGCGTGGGAGGACGGGCGATGCGCTGCAGGAGCTCCCGGGGGCAGGAGGGGTGCGGGGTTTTAGCTTTGGAAGACGGATGGCAGGCAACAATCAGGGCAGGGAGCAGGGAGAGCGGGAGGGACTCTGGTTCACGGAGGGCGTGCGCGGCGAGGTTGGTCGTGCAGTCGGCCGGGGGGTAGGGATGCGCGCTCGGTCGGTGGTCGGAGCGGAAAGGGAGCGAGGATGACGAGAAACAAGATGGAGCGAGCTCGAGCTTCGGGCATGGAGCTTGGACTCGGGGCTAGGGGACGCGCTACTATTGCCCTTTTGTTTGTTTGAGCCTCCGCGCGTGCGAGAATAATAATATACAGCGTGGCTCGGGACCGACGGGATTACGGCTGAGGCAACCTGTTGTTTTCAGCCCCAGCCCCCATAATCCTTCCGTCGACACCGACCGTGTCCGTGTCGCTGCAGTCACCAGCCACGCGCCGCCCAGGGAAGCGGCGAACAGCTGCAGCGCCTGACAGCCCGTCAGCCTTACCGCGGGGCGCAGCCAAGAGAACGCCTCGCCTGCTTTCCGTCGCGCGCTCGTCATGAGCCGCCGCCATGCGCGACGCAAGAAGCCGCTTTGAGCCAAAATCCCGCGGCCGACGCGCCTCAACACATGCTTCCCCGCGGCACGCAAGCAACCCGGCACCGGTTACCGCTTGCCGGGTGGGACTCTCCACGCAGCCGGCACCCTGGACACTTGCAAATCCTGCTTCCACAGCCAACCTCATCACGAGACCTCTCCTCACCGCCCCGGCCGGATGCACTCCACCGGGACCCGGGCACCTCCAGCCCGCCAAGCGCCGGCCGCTAGCCAGCATCCCGCTGGTGAGCACGTTGCGCCGTTGTCTGCGGCGGAAGCAGAAGCGTGGCTGAGGCCGCTGGTGGCGTTCGAGATCGTCATGATCGGCCGTGTTAATAATAGACTCACTACTCCCCCAACCACATTGAACACACGCACGAGCATCGTAGCCGTCGAGGGGCCAGCTTTTAGCACGAGTGCTTGGGTCTCTCAATTGTCCATAAAAAGCCACCATTCCGCCTCCCAATCCGTCGTAAAGGCTGCAGCTGACTATGGCTGATCACGCATGAAATGCTGACTGCCAACCGAATGAAAAGCAAAAACACACCAGAGACGCGAGTGCATCAATCAACTAGCACCTGCCTAAACCCAATCGCCTTTGCTCCGTCGCTCACTGCTCCAAGAAAACGAGAACCCCGCAACAAATGAACCATTTTTCGCAATAGTACAACGCAATGAAAGGGAGGGAGTGTGAGACGTGGGACCCTACGGTGAGAGGTGCAGTGAATGAAGTTAAACAGACCGTGGTGCTGCCGAAACCCGCAAAGAAGAACCCGGTGGAAACCGCGTATGGAAATGAAAAATGAAAATGAAGAATAAGGGGCATCTTCGGCTAAGGCAAATGAAATCAAGGCCGGAACCGTACGAGTATATGATAAGCGAGAAAATCCAGAGTATTAAGAGCTAAGACATCCTGCCAGCGCGTGAAAGGTGTAGTCGAAAGGGGTGATTGTTTCGGAATATCAGGTTGAGAGAATTCGAAGGCGTGCTTAAAAGTAAGTACCGATGCTACGACTCTGAGACCCCAGAGTGAAGCGAAGAAGTCGACGAGCTGTTGAGAGACCCAAGCAACAGCCGACACCCAGCAGCCTTATTGAGTGGGATAGTACACCATCCCGCCCTGAGGCATTTGTGGGTAGTAGTACCCATCCGGGCTGGGGGTCATCATACCGCCCATTCCAGGCACAGTGTAGCTTGCTGGCGGATATCCTTCGACAGGCGCGTATATTTGAGACGGGTCGAAGTAGTACACCATGCCGTTCTGTTCGTGCGCCACCATCTGCCCCTGAGCGGTGGTGACCGGCGCACTGGGAGCAGGCATTGAGCCAGCGGGCACTGCGTAAGCACCCGGCTGCGGGTTGGGCATGTACATCGGAACCACTGCTCCTGCGGGGTATTGCGGGGCTCCTGCTGGCGGGGGATAGTAGTATGTCGGTGGCGCGAATCCTTGAGGCATGTAGCCGGGTGGGAAGGTCTGATACGCCTGTGCCTGAACTCCGCGCTCCGGGATATTTGATAGCGGCGTCCCTGTGGAGACATTGGATGGATACATCGGTGGCGGCGCTCCGTTGACGTGATGGGGCACTTGCTGGTGAAACGGTTGTTGTTCTTGCTGTTGCGGGGCATGGACGGCCAGATTTGCTGGTGATTCAATTCCCGCGACGGACACCGTCTTCTGAGGCTTGGGCTGATGCATAGGCAAAGGCCCGCCCCAGCTCTCCCTAAACGGTGGTCTTGGCTGCATATGAGCTCCCGGTGGCGGTGGTGGCGGCATGTTAACCACAGGCGTTGCTCCTCCTTGAACAGATGCGGGATGACTAGGCGGTCCAGATCCGGGATACGGCTGACTTCCGGGAGGAAGACGAACGACCGGCCGGTTGTCTATTGGTCCTCCTGGCGGCCTCGACATAATGGAACCAGCAGGAGAGACGATGCCGTCCGCACGGTAGTCCCGCGCTAGCGACGACCGACGACTCATGACGCTTGGTGTATACACACTGCCTCCATATGCACTTGTCCTTCTGCTTGAGAAGCCTCCGTACGAGCCAAAACGCCCCCTGCCTCTGCCAAAGCCCTGTTGATTCGGACGTAATGCGCGGGGAATGAAAATGAATGAACGTTCTGTGGCGGGGAATATGTAGCGGGGCGGTTGGTCGGGAAGAGAGATCCGGACCGGTTTGTCTCGACGAAGCGGCGGCCGGTGGTTTGGGAGCTTGGTATATTCCTTGATCGGCACACCGGCAAAGTGTATAGGAGCCTGCATGCCGGGAATGAACAGCCGTACCCGGGCATTGCCCACCAGTTTTGTCGAGGAAAAAGACTTGACTGGGGGCGTCTTGGCGTTGGGAGCGGACGGCTTCGACAATTGTGAGTCATTGGCAAAATGGTTTGACGAGGAATCGACTGGTGGATTCGATGAACGGTGAGGGACGGGCTCCTCGAGGGTTTCGTGCAGGTCGTGCGTCCAGGGAGCGCTGGTCGCGGCCTCCTCGCGGGCCATGATGCTGGAGCGCAAGTCAACAAAAGTGGCTCTTCATGTTAGAGAACGGGTGAGAGTGAGATGACGTACCCTGCAGGTGAGTACGGGCCGCCGACGACACCACGTCCACGGCCTCGGCCTCTGCCATACGGCTTGAAGCCGTTGGAGCCGGCGCCTTGCGAACGGTGGTCGTGCATGAAGAAAGCGCCGCGGTTGGGAATGAAGGCCGGGTCCTCGTCCCGCTTCTTCTTGTACTCTTCATGCTCTCGCCGGCGGCGCTCCGCCAATGTCTCCTGCTTCGCGGGTGCAGACTGAGTGCCGTCGGTGGTGTCTTGGGCAGGCGCGTCCGGTGCCTGGGCGTCGGCGGGCAGCGACTCAAAGTCCACAGCGTCGGCATCGTGCGATATCTTTAGCCCGTTAATCATGGCCTCGGTGTCGGTCATTGGACCCGCGCTTGCTGGAGCAGGCGGCGCGGCGGGCTGGCCGTTTGGCGGTCGCGCGGTTCCGTTCCTCGTGGCGACAGACTCGCTCTCGCTGAGGTCGCTGGCGTCGGCGTCGGCGTCCTCGTCGCTCAAGAACGAGGCCTCGCTCTGCGAGTCTCCGCGCTCATCTTCGGTAGCCTCCTCGGCATCGCGCCTGCGCCGTCTGACAATGGCCCGACGAGGAGGTGCCATGGTGGGTGGAGGAGGAGTTGCGGGGTGGTTGGGCGAGGTGGGTGTTCTGCCTGCGCGTTGGTCGAGAAATCACCGTCGACGTTTCGGAGCAGAGGCTTGGCAAATCATGTCATGGCGGGAGCGCAGCGAGCTCTCACGACGGAGAATGTCATTTCATCAGCGCCCATCACGAGACTGCACGGCCAGGCTGCTCCCCGCGGTCCTGCGCTTTGCTAGCTGCCGTTGCAGGAAGCCCAGACGCCCGAGCGCGACCGGTCAACGCGAATCTTCGAGAAGTCTAGGCGCGTGTTGCGGGCGGCCGTGTGAGCTGGCAGCGACGTAAGAGACCTGCACCCCAGCTCGCGCGCCCCAACGGCCGAGTCGCGCCGTCCGTCGCCGCGTTACACGCGCACTTGGCATATGCCTGCAAATCCCACGTTCTTTGCGCCCGCCCATTTCGGCTGCGCGTTGCTTGCATTATATTCTATGCTGCTAGCAGCTAGCTGGTCATAACCGAACACCTGCTCTTGTCTACGTGCTTTCTCTACCCAACTTTGCCAGTTCGCTGTTGATAAAATCCTCCGAGTTGACAAGCTCCGTGCTGCCGTACACCACCCGCCGCCTGGGACCGGTGCCTGGCGCCCCAGTCCCACTGGTTCTCTGCGTCCATTCTTGCAGGTTCCCGTATTCCTCCATACTGCCGCCGCCCACAGTGAACACAATTGCCTCGCTGAAGCCCTGCCTCCGCTGCCCGAAACTGGCCTCAATGCCACGGCCCACGCCGCTCAGCCCGCCCTGCTGGTTCCGTGCTTGGCTTGCAGGGGGCATCGTTCCACGCGCGTTTGCGCTGCGAGGATCGAAATAGAGGTAGTTCTCCGTCTTCGCGATCGCAGACGAAGATGCGTTCTGCGGATCCATCAAGGATTCAGTGATCTTGGTGAGAGTGAGGTCCTTGTTCGCGGGGAGGAAGTTCTTCACGCCGGAAATAAGGTTCTCGAAGTTCCCGCCCAGTCCTGCATCTTTGAAGCGATCCGTGAGCCTGTTGGAAATAGAGCTAAACCCGCGGAAAAGATCGCTGGACGCCGACTGCGCCGGTTGGGACGGGGCAGAAGACATCATGGTCATCCGCGTAATCTCCCTAACCCTAATCGATCTGTTAGCTACTTGTCTATGACACAGTTCCGTAGGTACTCACGTCTTAACGTAGGCGAGAGACGATGTGTCTGCGCCTGCAGTCCGTAATGCTTCATCAAAGCGATCGAGGTCGCTCCGGGATACCTCCTGCTCCGTACTCAGGAACCAGATGATGAAGAGACGCAGCTTGTCCAGTGGCTCATTGCCCTTGTCGTCATCTTTGATGAGGTCTAGAATTTGTTGCTTTGTCTGTTTCGTTATGTTTTCCTCGAGCTGGAAGTAGTTATCGAGCTGACGATCCTTAATTGCCTTGAGTAACGCCGTCAGGATAGTCATGTGCATGTCCAGCAACGACTTTCTCTCCCTTAGTTCCGGCAAAAGCGTGATGGCAGCACCGAGCTGCTTCACAGAAGCGCTCGCATCATTCTGAAGATCATCTAGAGAGGCGGCACCCGTCTTCTTAGTGATCTCGTCCGAGTCTTGCTTGTACTTTTGCAACTCCGTGTCAATGGCCTCGGCAACATTGGGGAACGGTGCACCGGCATTCTTGGACCAGAAAAAGTCGGTGGCGTTCAAGTCGTAGGATTTCTTTGACACGCCCCTGGCAGGGTTCGTCTCGTCGACCGGTAACTCCACGGTAATACGGTTCAAGTGCATCTTAAGGACGTCATTGACTAGGGATTGGTAAGTCCAGGAGTGTGAAAGCATGGGAATTAGATCGACATTGCGGTCCACAATGATAAGAACGGGCCTCGAGGAAGGAGCAGTGCCGGTTGCGGAGATCTTTTGGTTTGCACCAGAGAACAAGTTATCCTTGGAATTTAGAATGTGGTCCCGAAGTTTGCGATCCAATTTGGCGGAGATCATCTCCGCAGCGCCGCCCTTTGGACAGCGGATGATGGGAATTGTGCCTGCCGTCGTCAGCCTTGCGGCATCAATGCGGGAAAGATCGCAACGTACCCGTAGTGACCACCACGCTGAAGAGGCCGCTTACAATGCGATCAACAGCAGCATCCAGAACGTCATCCGCCACTTGCGCACTATTCAGTGTCCAGTATGTCTCCTTGCCCATGCCTAAGCTGAAAAGGTCGGGCTCGCTGACGATAAAGTTGAGGTACTGATCGAAGATTTGCGCAAGATGATCTGAAGTTCCATGTTCGGCCGTCTTTGCGGCAAAGTCTTCCAGTAATGGCCGGGGTATCGAGGAGAGGAAGTTGACGTGTGCCGGGGAATACAGGCCTCGCGCAAGGTCAGAGGTAATGAGCTCGAGGTTCTGGGCAGTCGGCTCCACGAGATAGATGACAGGGACGTCCGGAATCGAATGGCGAGTCGTGTTGATGTTGCTGCACACAGGCATCAGTTGGAGCTCCCCTCATCGCCTCTGAAGCCTACCGCCGCCGGAGCTTGGCTACCTACAGGTGTATCGTAACTCCCCAGCTCCGCAAGTCGTTCACGCGAAGGACGCTGCTGATGACATCCCTGCCCAAATTGTCGAACACCAGAACCTTCCATATGGGCTGCCCGTTCGCGTCTAGAATCGGGGTAGACTTTGGCAGTAAGCCGTTGGCGTTGGGGTCATGGTGCTCGTCAACGTTCTGCTCGGAGGTTTGGTTCAAATTGAGGATCTTCTCGATTGAAGCTGGCACATAGCATTAGCCCGCGACGAACCTCCGCGCATGCCATGTCCGTTAGAGCTTACCGACTTGCCTGTCCCTCAAGCTGTGGTGGGCGGACGAGGTCGCCATATTGGTGATGGGTGCAGTCGATGCGCGGTGCGCTCGCGGGGAAACAGCGCTACCTCATGCGCAGGCGACGGCGGCAGTGAAGGAGCAGCAGGCAGCACTTGGGACCGTCGCGACGCGCGTGTGGCAGCACTGCCGACTGACAACGTAGCTGGAGAGAGAGGCCACGGCGCAGCTCCGGCTTGGGACCCAGGCGGGCAACTGCGCCCGAAACGGGCTAGCGCGGACAGCACGTGCAGGCAGCTATTTCGCCTTCGCCGGTCGCTCGCCGCTCTCCTCTCTTCATCACACAACAACCTCCCCGTCTCGCCCATGGCCATGCGCCCACTTTCCATCCGCTCCCTTCAAAGCACCCCTTCATAGTGAACTTTCCGACTGCTGGCGTAATTGCTGCATGCGCCGCCAGATAACTGGCTCTGGAGGAGGATTGAGCAGGCTTTTCGCGCGGTCGGGGGTGACAGCTGGCTGGAAGTGACGCCCGCTCCTCAGGCAAAGCATCTCGCAACGCCGTGACGCCAATCTCATCAGGTATCTTCATACTGCGCAGATTGTCGGCGGGTCGTAGAGGCGCGGCCTGCAAGCTTTTTTTCCTGTGCCACTTCCTTTCACGCGTCGACACGCCCGGTGGAAACAGGCGCAGCGTCGCTGTCAAGGCAGGCAGCTGCGAGCGACAGTGCTGGGGGCTGGGGCTGGGATTTTGTCGCCGGCCACGCGTTTTCTCTGATCACCACTCCACGCAAGGCAAACGCGCGCTGCAGGCCGTCCAGCAGCGCGCCCTTCTACCAGGGGGACACCCTTCGCACACGCGCAGCAAGCACCTACGGGGCCTGGGCCTCTCCGCCGCCGGTTCAGCTCGCACCAAAGGCCCAGAGACAGCAAATTCGCCGCGTCGCGCCTAGTGTCTGTGGCGCCCCTGCAGCAGCAGCCAATCAGTGCCTGTTGCTGATCGCCGCCCTAGCTTCAAGCGGCTAATTTAGCGGGCTTTGCGCTGAGCGCCTCTGACTCTTGCGCCCGCCGGAGCTGCAAAGACAAGCCAAGCCACAGCCCAACACTCGCGGTCATGGCCTCCAATCACGTGCATCTCGATGATCACCACGCCGGCCAGCAGAGCAACATGTTCGCCCGGCCCGAGCTGAACACGTTTGATAACCTGTTTACCAATGCCCACACCGACCAGGCCTTTGACGCCAGCGCCTGGAACTTCGAGCAGCAGGGCGCCGCGCCGCCGCAGTGGCAGCAGCAGACTCACCAGCAGCCCATGCCTGCCACTTTCGACTCCAGCGGTGCCTTCTACGCCGGTCGTGACTTCTCCAACAGTCCCGCCCCGTACGGCAACCAGGCCTTCGCCGATCACGGCGCCGTGGCACCGCAGTTCCAGCAAAATAATGTGGACCCTGCCCTGATGTCGTCCGCCACCGCGGACCATCCCAACTTCAACAACTCCAACATGCGCATGTACGCGACCTCGGCCGCCCAGGCCAGTACCATTGCACCGCAGGCTCTGCAGTCGGCGCGCCAGGCCTCCTATGGCCCCGGCACGCCCCCCGTGGCCGACTTTCAGGTACTTTCGCCCCCGTACTCAGGTCGTGAGCCCATGCTGACCCGCTCGCAGCAGAGCCAGCAACGGCAGAGCAGTGCGGCCCAGCAGCCAATCCTGGCCAGCACTCCGCCCGCCTCCGTGCCGGTTTACGTCCCCGCGCCCCCTGCCAAGTATCCTGATGCTCCTGCTGGCAAGCCCTCAGGCAAGTTTTATATCATCGATGCCAATGAGCTAGCCACAAGCACCAACTCGATGCGCTTGCACGAGTTCCTCTACATCGGGAATGATGCCATTGAAATGCCGATCATGAAATGTAAGATCAAATGCTCAACTGTCGTCTGGGCCCAACTGACATCTGCCCAGCGTCTCTTCCTCAGTACCAGGCCCGCAAATCTCGCAATGAGCTGAGAAAGCTCGCGGCGAATGACGAGAGACTACGAGGTAATTGCACTCCAACTGGCCGCACAAATGCCATATCTAACCCTTTTACAGCCAAAATCGCGAAAGCCTCAAAGAAGGCCAAGACGCCCGCCGCCAAGATTGCGCGCACCAGGCCCATTTCTTTTGGCTCACCTTCAAGTCTTAGAGATGAGATATCTGACTCCTCGAGCGAGGAGGAGACTTCCGAGGATGATTCTGATTACGAGTCTTCTGATGATGAGACGCCTGAGCCCTCACCTTTGCCTGGCACTCGCCCCAACGAAGCCCTTCCTGCAATGAGATACGACACTATCAAGGCTACCTGGAGGCCACGAAATCTACCTGTCACAGCTGATGAGATTAGAGCAGCATTGAAGGATTACTGGGATATCCTCCAGGCTGTTCGGAACAGGTGGAAGGAGGACCAGTCAGCGTTGAAACTGGCGCAGGAGAAGAACTCGAGAGACATAGAGTTGCTCAAGGGTAGAGTCAAGGACCAGCGTTCCTTGATGGAGATGGCCATGAAGTGCGCGCTCGAGCATGGACACCCGGACGTGATCAGAGTGTAAGTTTTCCCCCGTTGACTACCCCTACCCAGCGAACCCATTCCTACCAAAATTACCTGGACCAGTCGTTCGGGCTAGTTTTTGGCTGCAAGCAAGTTGTCATGCCGATATCTGCCGGTGGGAGACGCGGCTGGAGCTTCAATCTTGAGGTCCCTTGCTCTGCGGCGCGGACGATGGGCGATGACCAAAGGGCTGCATATGCGCCCCAGCATAGCTGTGATTGACATCCTTGTCTGTGATCGGCCGATCCCTGGCCAGATCACGTGCCTTGTGCGTGCTGTGATCAATGCTCCATCTACCCCAGGCGGGCGGTCAGAGCATTTCACTTTTGCGACCACTGAACACATTAATTCCATACACTATCGCCGCACCTTGCGGTTCCTTGCTTGCGGAGAGCGCAACTGACCCTTCCGTTACAGACTCGGAGGCAACGCTCCCCTCTTGTTCCTCGCATACCAGTTCTTGGCAGACCGCATTAGAGAGAATGAATACAACGACCCTTTCTCTAAGACAATAATCGAGGTAATAAATCTCGGCCCTAATAATGCAATAAACCAAATGATTGACTTGACCCATAGTTGCTCTCTCGGAGCGAGAACATCACCATGGAAAACATTGAGCGTACCAAGCTCAACACGGCCTTGAAGCGGTATCTGAACAGGGGAGACGAACGCACAAAGCCGCGGGCCGAGAAGATTCTAGAGCGTGCCCAAGCAAACTCGAAGAAGTCCGGCCCTACCACCACCAACGGTGCTTCGGAGAAGAAACCCGAGGTGAAGAAGGAAGCAGATCCCTCCAAAGAGATCAAGGGTGAGCCTGGTACGCGGTCGCAGCCTTTGGCTGTGGCGGGTGTCAAACGGCCCCGTCCTAGTGACAGCTCCGCCCAGCAGCCAGCTAAGAAAATAACCTCGGCCGCGGCACCCTCGACGGCTATGCCTGCTGGTGCGAAGACAGCCGTCTCTGGGCTGAAGAAACCTGGCGCTACGACAACAACTAGCTCAGCCAACGGTGCAGCGCTGACGGCTGCCAAGTCAAAAATGATGGCAAAGCCCAACATGTTCGCTGGACTCCAGTCTGCATCGAAGCGATCCAGTGTCACTGTCCAGAAACCAACCGCTGGAACAACCGCAGCACCCAAGAAGCCCGCAGCACCTGCTTCTGCTGCACCGAGATTTTCATTTGCTGAGACCATGGCTAACTTGACGAAGCCGAAGGAGCAGCAGCCTGCATCAAAACCAGAGGAGAGCCGCCCGCCCGAGACAGAAGAAGAGAGGGCAAAGCGCCTTAGGAAAGAGGAACGCCGCAAGCTGCGAGTCAAGTGGGCTGACAATGGCCTCGGAAATAAAGACCAACTGGAGTCTGTCCGCCTTTTCACCCACGATCCCGAGGAAGAGCTTGGCCACGACGCAGCCATGGTTCGCGATGTAGCCGACGTCGGTGGTGAAGGACGCATGTTCAAGCAGCACAAGGATATGATGGACTTGGACGACGATGACGATCGCCCGAGCGAGGAGGACTTCTATCCGTGGCACGCGCCGTCACTTGTCGACTTCAGTTCCGTTCCGGCCGCCGAACGAGAGCGCAACTACGAACCCTACGGCGGAGGAGTCCTCTCGGTCGACTCACCTGAGAAGGCGGTCCAAGAGCAGCACGAGGCCAACACTCTTCTCGTTTTCTACACCTCACCTGGCGATATCCCGCCTTGCCCTCGTGAGCCTCCGGAGGACGAACAGCGGCCCCACCCTGATGCAAAGGAACCCTTCATTGGCATGCCTCCTGGTGAATCGCCATATACAGAACGCGCCAAGCGCCACGCCCCTCCCCCGCCACCCGCTCCCCCCGCAGACATCCCAATGCCCGACCTCAGCAGCATCATGTCAATTCTCAGTCGAACTCAACAGCAGCAGGCACCCACTCCACCGCAGCCACCTCAACCGCCTCAGATACCCCAACCTGCGCCCCAAACGAGCGAACTCGAAAGGACTTTCTCGATGTTTATGCCCCCACAGCAGCCACAGCAGCCACCGCAGGTCTCGCAGCCGCAACCCCAGCCGCCTGCTTCAACTGCGCCACCCTCCGCTGACATTCAAGCCATCCTGGCCAGCCTTGGCAATTTGACCGGGCAAGCTCAGGCCCCTCAGCCCCCGCAGCCCGCGCAGCAACCTCCACCTGCTCAATTCCCAGGAATGGCCATGAACGCTGGCGGCACACCCGGTTTCGATCTTGCAGCGATTCTGCAGAGCGTTGGCAACGGCGGCGCACCCCCTGCTGTCCCAGCCTTTGGCATGCCTTTGCCAAGTCAGCAGGCACAACAGCAAAACCCCCACCAGCCATTGCCATCGCAGTCGGAGCTGTTCCAACAGGAGGAACGTACCAAGCGTCAGCGCGGCCCCGACGACCACGGAGGTGATCGCGGCTGGGGCAACCAACGCCGCAATAAGAAGTGGAAGAACAAGAAAGACCCAGACTACCAGCCACCACAGTTTGTGGTGCCATGCAAGTTCTGGAAGGAGGGAAAGTGCATGAAGGGAGACAAGTGTACGTTTTTGCATGAATGATGTCCCAACCCCCATTTTCCTGCGAGGAGTAAGCTTTTTCTTCCCTTTGTCCTCCTCCATTTCTTCTTTTATCAAAAGGCGGCCACTTTGACACGGGATTTCTTACAGGTCCTGTACACTCATCCTCTTCTGCCTCTACAAAACCTCCCGCTGCCACTGCCTCACCGCCTCCTACTGCTCCCACTGCCCCGAAGAGCATGACGGTGCCTCAGGGCGGAAGTGGAGGGAAGAAGAAGAAGAAGAGGAAAGGTAAAAGGTACATGGATAGAGACGCGAACGGAGGCGATCTTGGTGCCGGCATCATGGATGACTGAGCAGCCGTGTCCATACCTTACCTTTCCCCTTCCTCACTTCCCACCTCTCCGATGCACGAGCAGCCTCCGGTATCCGTCTCGATCACGAAACCTCCCGCCGATTCGAAATCAGCTCTGGGCTCGTGATTGATTACACCGCCCTTTGCTACGGCTCGCGCCCTTCTCCCCAAACATTCCGGGCGATGGTGGACGAACGAAAACTCTTTGCTTGCAGTCCTCCAAATTATGTACAACAGCATCTTCCCATCTTGTCTTGCTTTTTCTTGATGGGCACTCACCGAGACCTTCTTGTTTGCTTTGGTAGTTCCTGCAGAGCCACTCATCATCAGCATTGCTTCCATCCTGCATGGGGGTTTTTTTCGACAAAGCATTTGATATGGGTGGGGAAACGCCCTTTCGTACAAAAAAGCATGGGAAGTCAGGTTATACGAAATATTCGGCGGGAGGAAGATTACTACCACTACTACCGTTAGATCGGAATGGGGCTATAACCGGATCCCGAAAAGGGTGCTGGCGGATTCAGTATTATTTGATTTAACGGACGATATCCAGCGGGGTTCGATTCTTTTTCTTCTCGATTCTCCGCTACTACTAATCAATGGGCATGTTTTTTTTTCTGCTGCCTCTCTCTTTCGTCTTCAATTTGTGGTTGGTTCTCATTCTTGTTGCCGTTGCTCGTGCATGGTTCCCGGTAGGCTTTTTTTTTTTTTTGGCCCTTCGCTTGTCTCTTGCCAGTGCCGGACTGAACTGGGTTGATGTGGTCGTATGTGGTGAGCGTTTTGCTTTTTTCTTCCTGCGCCCATGCGTGCGTATCTTGTTCATGCATTACATTGGTTTTGAATGTGATGATCCCCATGTTTTGTTCTGCCCTGTCCTCTCGTTTTTTCCTCTGGACTTCTCCCTCTCCTGCTCTGTCCCTATCCTACTTTCTTTCCTTCGTTCATTTCCTGCCTGCGTGTTGTGATTTAAGCGAGCTTGCGTGACGCGGCGCGAAGGAGCATGGAAGAGAAAAGGCGGAAGGAGAGAGGGAAGCAGGAGCAAAAGAGAAGGGAGAAGCACTTCTTGTGCAGTAGTTGTACTATACTACCATCCGTTGACCACCCCGCATTAGGACAAACTGGTGTTGGTGGCGGATGGCGTTTGTGTGTCTGTTGCCTTTTTCTTTTTTTGATAGTGAGAGGGGAAAACAACGGTGTTCGCTTAGCAAATAAATGAATGGAAGGGTATCGTCGAAACTGATCAAGCGAGAGGAGAAAGGCGAAATCATACTCGAGAGGGCTGGCGTGTCCTTCCTTCTTATGATACCCAACTAACGTGCGGCGACCGCCCTACCGCAACATAAAACTAATGCGTGGACCATCGCCCATAGTCGCTGCTAGGTATAAGCGCGATTCTCTTGCGCAATCCAAATAGCATTATGGTAGATGCTTTAGGGCGAGCTAAGTGGTAGGTAGCCCACGCGTTTACGCCCACGTCTCTACCCATACGCCAGTCCAAAGAAGGAACTACAGCTGCTTGAAGATGGTTTAGAAGCCGTAGAGAATGACTTTAACGCAAAAAGTTACATGGGTTTCGGCTAGTCACAGGAACGACACGACGACAATCACATAAACAACGACGACGTTGAGGGTGTCGCCAAGAAAGGCGGTCGGATTGGATAAAACGCCAGCCAGGGCTTATTTAGAAATGGTAGAACTTAAGTCGAAGGTAGATAGTAATAGGCGTCCACTTTTAGTACTTTGCCTGAGGTCGTATGTGTGGTGGTAATCATAAGCTCTAAGTCAACCGAGGAGCGTATTAATTTCAGGGTATTAGGCAAACAGACGATAAGATTATATTCTTTATATCCCGAGCTTCCGCGGATAGCTGAATATTTCTGGATGAATTCCGCATGGGAAAGTTTCGATTATTAACATAGATGTCAGGGCTTAGGGTGGTGTTGGCTTTAATAAGTTTATCTATTTATCGTCTGCTATACTCACATCTTTACCTCCCTACCTTTAGCTAGAGAAAAAGTGTGAAGAGAGCTGTTGAAATGCTATTAAAAACCCCCTCCCTTGCACTCTACTTTCACACAAAACAAGAGACCATAGACGACCAAGTATCCATTTTTCAGACCTTTTGCGTCCATAACTTTAATCGTGGTAGAAAGCCAACACAAGCAGTTGAGAGACTCGTTCCGAGGCTTCCAAAAACGAGCGTTGTGAGGTAAAACACATGGTCTCCCTCTTGATCCTTGAGGATCTATCCGCATCCTCCTCGCAACTGCCAATATGGCAAGCGACAACTGCACTGATCAAAATCGTCCCTCGTCCTCGCAACTGCGGGACATGAACTCCTACTTTTCCCCGTTCAAATTCCCATACCAATAACGCCATGCACTCCTGCCAATGTCCGATCGCTTGTCCATGCTAGGTCCAAAAAGGAAAAGGAGGAGAAAAAGAAAAGAAAGGCTGCAAGAATGCAAGGTCATGCAAACAGGCCGTCACAGCTCAGTTTTAGATCTCGACGTCGATGCCGAGGTCCATGGATCCGATGAGCTCGTCGTCCATGGCCTTCTTGGTGAAGGTAGGAATGCCCTTGCGCTCGAGCTTAGGCTTCTTCGGCTGCTCCGAAGGCGTTCCGGTGCGACTGATGTCGCTGGGGTTGCCGAACAATGCGTCTTCTTCGGCAGCCTTCCTCTTCGCCTCTTCCTCTGCCCGGCGCAAACGAGCCTTTTCCTTGGCGGCGGCCTTTGCGGTACGTTCGGCGATGAGAGCTTGGCGGACCTGATTGGCATTGTTGACGCGGATGCTCTTGTTGAGCGTCTGGAGCTTCTGGTGGCGATCGGACGGGGTGCCGAAGGCGGCCTTTGCCTTCTCCGGGGCGTACTTGTTCTGGCGTTTGAGCTTCTCGGCAATTTCCTCTTCACTCCAGCGTCTATCCAGCAGCTCGTGGATCCTTTGAAGGTTCCTGTTAAGTTTGCTTTGAGTTGGGATCCTGACTCCTTCGCTTTCACACACACTCTTCCACCTGGTAAACTCAGACTGCAGCATCGTCAGTAGTCTGACAAGCAATGAGCCGGTGAATTGTCTTACCTCAGTGAACTTCGAGTCAGAACACATGACGAAAGGCCATTCCTTTTCAGCCTTGCCGTGTGCCACGAGCACATACAAGTCGGTCTTCACAGGCTTGTTGTTAGAGCCTTGCATCGAATACGGCGATCCCTCCGTGAAGCCCTTGATTTGGCACATTCGGTAAACGCCTTGGCCGGTATTCTTGTCCACGCCGATGCTGACGCGAGCGAAACAGCCAATGAGATGGTCCTCAAAGCCTGGATAGAAGCAGACCTTGGCAAAGTTGCTGCGCCCGACTCTCACACGCTCCAAGTCCTTGAGCTCAGCAGGTGGCTCCTCCTTGGGCGACGACTTCCTGCGCGCATCCCACTCGACATCACTCTCGCCCTCTGCATCGGCGTCGGACTGCATTCTGTCGCTTTGAACAGACGGAGAGCGGCGGCCATGGTTCCGGCGGTTACGCTGATCGTTCCTCCGCGCTCTCTCGGCCTTGTAGTTCTCCAACGACTCGTTCACGGCCTTGGTTTTCGGCCTGCTGTTCTTCCGCTCGTCATCATCCAGGTCGGCGGCTCCTGCCTTGCGCTTCTTCTCTTCCTTGGCCTGGCGGACTTGCATCAGGCGCTTAAGGTTGAGATCCTGGCCCCGACGTTCAATCTCTTGAGCACGCTCGGCCAGGATGGACTCGCGCTCGATTTCCGACAAGCCCATGATGCGATTCTTGTCCTCCCATGAAGTGAACTTGCCCTCGACTGGGTACGGGTTGCTATCCTCGTTCAAACCGTCAACGGCGGCATCGGAATCAGACTCTTCCATGGCGCCAGAGCCCAGAGAATCGGGGGAGCCGGGAGCAGAGGAACTGTGCCGAGTCAACGAGAAGTCCAAGAGGCGCATGAGGGCCGTGAGGGCAAACGAGGGGACACGACTTACGCTTCACCTTCTTCCTCAGAGTCATCCTTCCTACGGCGACCGCCAGCCTTGCGCGATTTCACCTTGCGACGCGGAGGCGACGCCTCGGGCGAGCTCTGACGGTCGGAGGGTTGAGGTGAAGACCGTGGAGTCGGCGAGCGGCTGGTACGCGGGCTCTGCCTCGTGTCATCCATCTCCTGATCGCTGCCCACCTCATCGCCAGCGAGGGCGAGCAGCTCAGCATCGAGATCAAGGCCGTCGTCAGACATGTTGGTGATGAGTCGACTCGAGGGGGGTTTTCCGCGATGACAATGATGGATCAGCCGCGATTCGGCGATGAAAGGCGCGTCAGAAGATGGCGGCGTGAAGCGAGCTTCTTTCACGGCTCAGGAGTCGCTGGGACGGGCGGCGTGGAGCTGGCGCGGGCGCGACGACGGGAGAAGAGGCAATTCGAGGAGCGGTGGTGAAAGACGAGGCCGACTGCGAGATGGATGTGGCAATGGAGGATGGGGTCGTCTCGGATGACGTTCGGTGAGAGGGAGAGGAAGGTCGGTCGCAGGAGGGCGAAGATGGAGAGTCGTGGTCGCGGTGCACCGCCAAACTTGGGCCTGCCACTTCGACCGCAGGCCCCCGGCAGATTTTCGGGCCTATGTGCCCTATCCCTGCAGCGCAGCAGCGCAGCCGCCAGTGCGCCGCGGCCGCGGTCGATCGGCGGCGCGATGTCGGCGGCGCGCGTGCGCCCAGAGCATTTCGCTCTCGATGTCATCAATGATGCGCCTCACGCCTCCGCGCCGCCGCATTCACCTTCTTTCCTTCTCCGTCTCCTCGTCTTTCCCGTCGCAGTGTACCATAATTCCGTGATGCCGGTTTCATTTTCTCCCCGCGTTACTGGGGCCACCCGCACGTTGCGCCCCCAATTTCTTTCTGCGTCCAGATCCGTCGCGCCGGCTGTCGTACGATTCAGAAGATGCGCCTCGTCTGCTGCCACCGCCCAAACGCCAACTGACAATGAGGCTCTCCTGTCGACCTCGCGCAGCACTGGTGAGCCGCGCACTGCATTGAGTCGCGAGCAAAAGGCGTACCTTGATAGCGCTGTTCGTCATCCCGCGATGCTGTTTCAGCACATCCTGGCTTAGCTGACTGCTGCTATAGCTGCGCGTCAACCAGGCAGGCGAGCTGGCTGCCGTTCTCATATACCTCTCGCAAACCCCGCCTATCACCAAGGCCCACCCAAAGCTCCGCCCGCTGATGAAACACATGCTCGAGCAGGAGGAGGGTCACTTCCACAAGTTCAACCACCTCATTGCCAAGCATCGTATAAGGCCAACCGCCATGTATCCGGTATGGAAGGCCGCAGCAACAGTGCTGGGATGGGGGACCGGTGTTATGGGCCGTGAAGCTGCCATGGCCTGTACCGAGGCAGTGGAGACGGAAATTGGCTCGCATTACAACGAGCAAGTCGCCAAGCTGCTTGAATGGGAGAAACAGTTAAGCGCGAAAGGCGAACAGCTGAGTCCAGATTTGCAGGTGCTTCTGCAGGATTTGCGCCGTATTCGTGATGAGGAGTTGGAGCATCTGGACCACGCCGTCGAGAATGACGCAAAGGAAGCCCGGCCATACGAGCTTCTCACCAACGTTATCCGTGGGGGATGCAGGGCTGCTATCTGGGTGTCAGAGCGTGTCTGATGCCTTGATATTTGGCATGAAAAGACAACCGTCAAAGTGTATATGCATGGTCTGTATTATAAGCGCAGAGGTTTTGGTATATAGAGAGTTCAGCTAGATCCCACTCCTCCCCACCTGTAGTAATAAAATTCAAGCAATGTAGTGTGGTTGCCGTTCTTCGTATTGTTCAGTTAACCCAGGCAGTAAGCCCTATAGTCGGCCTTGGCGCTGCCCGGAGATGGTGTTCTTATTGTGTCGACCTCATTTCACCTCACTTGACTCCAAACATCCTATTGTCGTGTTTCAGATCAACTCCTGGCTGTGAAGGCAACCATGGAACAATAGCAATTGGACTCGTTACAGCGCTCTTAAACACTTCTGCTCCCCCCCTAGACCATGCCCTTTCTTCGAACTCCAGACCAACCTAACCCAGCATCTTGACACACACTCAGCTCTTCAAGACACCAAAAACTCCCACTCCCAACAACCAACAACGAGAACCATGTCTTCCACCACCCCCAACCAGTCCGTCCTCGACGACGCTCGCATCATTGCCTTGAAGGAGGGCACAACTCTGAAGTGGGCGGAGATCGCCAATCACTTCCCCAACAGGACGAAAGGCAGCGTCCAAGTCAGGTACTGTCGGTACCTCAGGGCTGGTAAGTTATCCCTGGTGTATACCTTCTTCCCGCTCACTGTCTGACCCAATCCTCACTCAACTTCCCGTCACTGCCTTGGTCAAAGGGTAAAACCCATACTGACATATACACAGACACCACCGCCCGCCGCGCCGCCCTCGCCGCCAACGCCGCCGCAGTTCCGGTCCCGCCTTCGGCCAGCGCTGGCGCTGGTCCCGCCAGTTCCGCCCCTGCTGCCCCCACCACCGCCGCCGCCGCCGCCGCCGCTCCCACCACCACCACCACCACCACCACCACGACCAGCGGCCCGGCCCCCGGCGCCTCGTCCTCCGCCTCCTCGGCGCCCGCGTCTGCTCCGGCTGCTGGCAGCCGCAAGCGGACGCGGGCTGCCACCGCTGCCGCCGCCGCCGCCGAACTCGCCGCCGCCGCCGCCAACATCTCCGCCGCCGCCACCGCCATCTCCGCCGCCGCCGCCGCCATGGACTCGGCCGTCCCCGACGACGGCCCCGCGCCCAAACGGGCCAGGACGGCCCGCCGCACGACGACGACTGCGGCGGCGTCCGCCGCGTCCGCCGCCAGCGCTGCGCCCGTCGCGGGCCCGTCCAGCGCGCGCCCCGCCGCCCCGCCCGCCCAGCCCGCCGGTGTGAGAAGGAGGAGGAGGAGGAACGCTCCCGCTCGCCCTGCCGCTCCTGCCGTGCCTGCTCCTGCGCCTGCTCCTGTTGGTGGAAGCGGCCCGTCTGCCCGCGCGCAGCGCGCTGCGCGGCGTGGTTTGCTGAGGGCGGGTGAGGTGGAGGTGGAGGGGACGGGGCTCAGGATCCCGTATGGAGGGGAGTTGCGGGAGACGAGGTGGATCACTAGGGAGCACTTCCCTAGTGTGTACAGCACGGTTGAGAATGGGGGTGTGGGGTGGGGGGATGCGAGGTGGGAGGGGTTCACGGGGAGGTACAGATGAGGGGTGAGGGGATGGGGATGGGGAGGGGATGGGATGGGGATGGGCTGGGGGTTTTCTGGTGTTGGGGGGCTTTTGTCCGAGGAGTGTTTTGCGGATGTTGAGGAGGGGGTTAAAAGTTTTGCTTTTCATTTCTGGAATGCCTGTTTGGGCAGTTGATGGCTACGATTATGGTGTTTTGGTGCCAGGGTGGAGGGTTTCTTCGGCCATTATGCATCAGCGGTCTTGGGAATTGCGAAGTGGGGTTAAGACCTTACGATGATAACGAAAGTACGAATTACGAGAAGATGTTGCAAACCTCCGTGCTTTGCGCGCAGCTAGACTGCTTTTCAATCCATGATGGAAAATGATGGTGATCGAGAGGCCTCTGGCTTCAGGTGATGTTGGTTCTTACCGCATGGGTAAATCCCGGCGACAATGGAAACGCTCGGCCTTAAGCGGGGATTGACGCGACGCGACGCGCTTGCTCGCGTCGCGCGTGCATCAATCTTCACATCCCAACATCGCCGCCTCGGCAGCCAGCACTATACCCCAATGACAACCTATTCTTGATACCCCGATTCTCCCTTTCAAATCCACGACGGAACGTACCTAGATCCCGAAATCCACCAGCATGTCTTCCATGCCTTCCACCCCTGCGCGCTCCGTTCGCGCCTCCACATCCCCGTTCGCCATGCAAACCTCCAAACCTCTAATCGAACTTACGCCGCGGAGTAAAGTCAAAGCTATGCTTGCAGAGGCCGGCATGAGTGATGATTCCGAAGACGAACTCTCCACAAAGCCCTTGAACGGACCTTCAAAGCCCGCCGAACCTGCGGCAAACCCCGCCCCAGCGGCCTCGAAACCTGCTCAGGACGACGCGCCTTCAGACTCCGAAGACGATGATATTGTACCCGCAAAGAGACCAGTTGGAAGGATGGCAGCCCGCATGCTTGCGCAAAATCAGAACGCTCAGACTGAGGATGGTGAAGAGCAGGACGGCAATGCATACCAGAGGGTCAGAAAATTGTTGATGTCAGCCAAGGACAAGCAAAAGGAATCATCAGGCAGGCCAAGCTCTGTAGCGGATACGGAGTCCAGTTCAGGCGAGGATATGCCGTTCAGCAGAGCCGCGCAGGCAAGGAGACCTGTTCGAAAAGCTAGCAAATCGCCGAAGCCTGCAGCATCTGCATCGAGGGAATCTTCGCCCGGGCTTTTCGTGTCGCCATCTAAGCCTTCCCCAGCCAAGTCTGTCGCTTCTTCAAACAACGGCTCAAATTCCGACTCAGATTCATCTGACTTTAAGCCGAAATCCCGCTTGGAGGAACTGGTCGCGCAAAAGAAGGCCGAACGCAAGGCCAAGGAAGCTGCGGAAAAGAAAGAACGCGAAGAAAACCGACGCAGAGCCAAGGCTGCCGCAAGGAAATCAAGCGAAATTGATCGTGAGCTAAATGGCTCCGAAACCGACAGTAACGACGACGAAGGCGTGGCTGAGAAGTTAACCCAGCAAGCTCGGCCGACCCGCAAGGCAGGAAAGAAGGCTAGGGAAGAGATGAACCGTGAAACCCAAAGGATTGCCAGAAACATGCAGTTGGCGCATCAGGCAAAGACCAAGAAAAAGTACACCACGCAGGATCTGTTCAGGAAATTCAACTTTGGTCAGCCAAATGAGTCCACAGAGAACACTGCTGAGCTTGCTTCTTCTGATGTCGATCAGCCTGAGAAGGAGACGCCACCCACAAGCCAGCCCAGCGCGGACGAGGTTGAGAAGGCAAAGGCCCAGAAGCAAGGCATTGATCCAACCGGGCTGTCCGAGGACATGGTTGTTGATATCGGCGAGCAAAACATGACCAACGGTGGGCTTACAGTTTTGCATAAACCGCATCGTCCACCAAAGATTGACAAGGGAAAAGGCCGTGCCATCTCGCCCTCTCGTGAGGATCACGCGCAAATTACTTCGGAGCCAGCAGCGAATCCGGCCGCGCCTGCGCCTGCACCGGAAAAGAAGACTCGCACGTTCCGCGTTGTCCTTCCGGAAAGACCTGTCTCTAACGCCTCTGACTCTGATGACGACCTTGAGATTGTCCGTGACACGCGCTTCGCTGTTTTCGACAGCCTCCCAGCCCGCCAGGCCAAGGAGCCTAAACACCTTCTCACTCTCCGCCACCTTGCTCACCTGACTTCGCCATCCAAGAGCCGACAAACGGATAGGAATTCCATGGGCCCTGATCAATTGCAAGCTGTGCTTCAACGCAGAGCACGTGAGCAAGCAAAGGCGGAAAAGGAGGAGAGGATTGCCGAGCTTCGTGCAAAGGGTATCATGGTTCAAACGGAAGAGGAGCGCGAGAGAGACCAACTCGAGCTGGAGAACCTTCTGGAGAAGGCTAGAAAGCAAGCAGATGAGCTGGCGAAGAAGGAGAAGGTTGAAGCCAAGAAGAATGGCGAAGACGACGGCGATGGCTTGCTTGATAGCGAGGATGATGAAAGCTACGTTGAGGGTGGATCGGATGCTGAGGGAGCGGAAGATGAGGAGCTCGAGCTTTCCGGAAGTGAGGATGAGGAGCAAGACGAACGTGCCGATGGTGACGGCCTCCTCGACGACGAAGCCAACGAAGAGGACGATGATATGGCGGATGAAGAGGGTGTTCCAGCGCAGTTCGACGTGGAAGCGCCCGAAGATGATGTGGAGTCCGAGGAGGAAGCGGCACCTGCGCGGCGTGCTGCTACGGCTAGGAACCGTAAACGTGTTGTCGATGACGAGGATGAGGAATCTGAGGCTAAGACGACAAGCCAACAATTCCAACCTGAGCCCAGCCAGGATGAGACCATGGCTGCGTTTGGCTTCGCGAACAATGCTGCTCCCATGGGCCTTACTCAAATGTTTGCTGGCACAATGGCCGACTCGAATTCCCAGCCAACTAAGCACCAGTCACAGCCCAAGCCTAGCCAGGATGAGGCTATGGCGGCCTTTGGATTTGTTGACAATGCTGCCCCGGTGGGCCTTACCCAGATGTTCGCTGGCACAATGGCCGACATGGATCCTGAGTCAACCAAGCAGCAACCTCAACCTGAGGCAACTCAGGATGAGACTATGGCTGCATTCGGATTCGCCAACAATGCTGCTCCCGTGGGCCTTAGTCAGATGTTTGCCGGTACAATGGCCGACCCGGACTCTCAAGTTGGAATCCCGGAGGATGCGAATACCCAGCAGGAATCTCTCGACTTCCTTCGCAACATCCCAATGTCCACACTGCCTGAGTTTGCAACGGACTTCTCAGGCCCCAGCCAGGACTCCCGCATTCGCGACAGTCAACCTGAGGGATCTCAAGCGGAAAGCGGAAGCAACGACATCAACATCGGCATTTCTCAGTTCCCTTCGCAACCCTATGACTTACCTGATACCCAGATGTCCGACATCCCCGAGCCTACGCAGGACGGTGGCTTCGCTGTTTCACGGACGCCAGGCAGATTCAACAGGACTCCTCAGGCTTCGTCGACCCAGAGGACAGTGGATACTGTCATCCTTTCAGACGGGATCCCCGAGTCCCCCATCGTTCAGCGGAAGAAGGGTCGTCTCCAGCGCCGTCGTGAAATTGTTGCTACATCAATGTCCGATGTCGATGAGGACGCTGAGCCCGAGCCGGACGACGCGGTTTCGGATGCAGCGGCGTCAGACGAGGAGTTCGAGATTTCGGCAGACGCATTCAATGTCATGCGCAAGGGTGCGAAGAAAGCCAAGAAGATCGAGGCTTTTAACAAGAAGAAAAGCGCGGCCAAGGAAATGGTCCACGAGCAGGCCGAAGAGTCTGAGGACGAATACGCAGGTCTGGGTGGTGCCAGTGATGACGAGAGCGGAGGGGAAATGGATGAGGAGCTGAAAGACATGATCGACGAGACAAAGGTCAAGGTGAACGAGAGGGAAATTGCAGCGTTTTATGCGTAAGTCCCCCTACTCTATCAAGATGTGGAGTCGGAAATCCTAACTGGCAAACAGCGACAAGGAGCGTGCCGAAGACGAGAAGCGCATCGATAAGCTGTACAAGGATATCACGAATGGCAATCTGCGACGGAAACGCGGTGGTGACTTTGACTCGCTGGACGATTCGGACGATGAGGCTGCAGAGAGAAGGGCGAAGAAGCAGCGTGAGTTCGCGCGTATGCGAAAGGCGCTTCTCGCGGATGAAAACATTGGAAAGATTGGTAAATTTCATCTTGATTCCATGGTGGAATGTAGCTGACATGATGGTCCACAGCCGAGAATCCAAAGAAGCTTGCCTTCCTCCGCGCCATCGAAGATCACGACGACGACGAGGATTTCGACTTCTTCGACTACAAGGATTCCACCGGCCCCGAAGAATCGCAGTCCCAGCCCATGCCCGACTCGCAAGAGGTGGCGCAGCAGGAGACCACAATGACAGATGCCGACGCTGCTTCCACTACTGCTCAAGCAAACCCGCTCAAGCGCAAAGCACCCGCCGCCGATTCCAACGACGAAAACCGCCCACCAGCCCGCCAGCGCCGAACCGCCGCCGCGCCCGACCGGAAGCCCACCACGCTGGCCGAGATCCGCGAATCCCTCTCCTCCCTCATCGACGAACCGCTCGTCCGCGAAACACAGTTCTCCGCATCCGAAGACGAAGACGAGGAGCACGATGACGAGCACGGCAACGAGCAGCAACAACAACAACAACAACAACAACAACAACAACAACCCAGAGCCACCACCACCATCCGCGCCCCCTTCACCTCGCGCCGCAGCGCAGCCACGACCGTCGTCGACCGCCTCACGCTCTCCCGCTCCGCCAGCGCGGCGTCCACGACGTCGACCACCGAACAACAACAACAACAACAACAAACATCCACCAAGCCCGTCGCCTTCGCCGCCGCCGCCGCCACGGGGCCCAACACCGGCCACGGGTTCCGGGTGCCGTCCCTGCTGCGGCGCGCGACAACGACGAACCTCAGCACCACCACCACCTCTGCATCTTCGTCAACAACAACAACAACAACCAGCAACAAGGGGGCCGCCGGCGCGGCGGAACAGGCGGCGGGCTTGAGGAGAGGCGGCAGCAAGAAGAGCAACATACATTATCAGGCGAGGGAGGCGGATCGGAAGAAGGCGGTCGTGGCGGTGGAGGCGAGGCGGGAGGAGGGACTGAGGAAGAAGGTGGTGAAGGGGAGGGGGAGGAGCGTGTTGGGCGTGCTGGGGGGTGGGGGGTTCGAGTAGGTACTAGGTAGGTGGTTGTACTGTTGTGGGATCGGGTTTTGTTTTGGTGGCGTTTAGTGCGGAGTCGGTTGGCTCGCATCACGCATGGGCGCGCGGTCCTTTTAGGAATGTTATGATTTGAATTGTGTGCGGATTTGTGGCTTTGATCTGATGTGCTGTGCGTGTGTGTGCGTGTGTGCGTGTGTGCAAGCGGCGCAAGTGATTTCAGATGGTATCGATAGTTGGGATATTCCAAGATCTTTGTAATGATCTAGCATACTTTCTTCGTGCATAGTCAGCGATGTTGTCAGATGAATGACTCATCCCAAGCGGGCGTAAAGGGAAATGCTGCTCAGGCATATAGCATGGCTTGCTTACCATGCGATAAAAAGATCTGGAACAATCAGCCAAGTTCCATGAACAAGGTGTGCTCAAAGCACGGAAAGATCAATGAATAACGGCTTCATTCTACTGGACAAACTTCTTGGTTACTGATCATGCAGCAAGTGATGCTCTTGAAGAAAGTTCCTTTCACTATGGATTTGCTGTTAGAAGCAAGGAATGAGTCTCTTGTTCCCAGGGATATCATGAGTCTATGAGCATGATGAACCCCTCGTTGCAGCTACGCTCGAAGCAGAGTCTCGACCTTAATGAACCTGATACCGGGATTCTACAAATCACGGCAGGATAGGAAGTTCAGAATCGGGTTTTAATGGACAGCTCTCCAAATGCTCCCCTCTCCCACACGGATATCCGCTTTCGTACCACGCGCATGGCTTAGTGGCCGATAATGCCCGCGTCTCTGCAAGCTCGAAAACCTGAGTTTTCAATCGTCTCGTGAAGTCTTGATGTAGTGTGTGGTTACTACTCATCCATTCTACTAATTTGCTGTCCTGTCTACAGTCGGGTTGAACATCGTTCGGCTTTCGAGGTGGCTATTCTTGCCTATCTAAGCAATTCCATCGGTTGATATTATGGGAGTCTGTGTGATGAAAATTTCTAGATCTAACACTCCGGTGGGTGGCTCATAATATCTGAAGGACACCTGACCAGTGCTGTGCGAGTAATGCATCACTGACCAGCCCGGCCTACTTAAACCCTTCTTCCGACAATCCAGCTCTTTTCAACACCCAAATTTCACTCGTCAGAGCTACTCTCAAGCCTGTCAAACAACAGCCGCGCCCTTGACCAAGAAGCAGAGTCTCAACCTCAACATGCCAGCGAACTCAGCAGAGGAGACTGCTAGTGCTATCCATACCCTCCGCACCAATTGGGGTCACGATCCGAAGGCATGGTTCCCGGAAGATCTTCAACCGCAGTCATCCAATCCTGAGAGCTGGCCACAAGAGGCTCTGGAGCAGTTGGCTCAGTTGTCGCAACTGTCGGGTGCCATGGGCCACCTTCTGGCTCTTCGCCTCATACAACAGAGTGCCGACTCCCGCGCCAGGAGGGCTAGGCCGACACGACAATTTCCGATTATCAGGGACATCAAAAACGCTCTTGAGGAGTACCGCGCTGCCGCTCTCGAGGAGTTCGGAAATGATCAGGATGAAAACCACGTGGCGGATGGTGCGCAGCCTACCTCTGCTATCACCATTTCTTCGCCTACTGCTAGCACTTCGTCGGACGGTTCTTATATGGAAGCATACAATGAGCTTGTACAGAGTTTTTGGGCTCACGGCAGCTTCGCCGCCACGGCCCAGCATCTCAGTCAAGTCTACTATGACTCCGCCGTCAGGCGGGCCTACGGCAACGGCGGCATCCGCGGTTCTGCCTTTGGCCACCCAGAAGACGGCGTGACCATCATGACGCCAGAGATAGCGGAACGCGGTCCGCAGGCGTACAACAACAGTACTGGCCCGTTTCTGACGACACGCCAAGCCATGAAGAACATCGCCTTCGCCCAGCGGAACGAAGACGCCATCATACTCTTGGAAGAGCACTTCGAGACAAGGCTGGCCGATATCCTCCAGGATCCGCAGCTTCAGGCCGCCGAGATCCTGAAGCTCCCCTTCGACATCCTGGCGACATTGTGGGAGATTGTCAAGGACACCAAAATCAACTCTCTGCCTGCATTCCAGAGGATGCTCCAACTGAAGATCCAGGGCAATGTGCAGCGTGGAAGGCATCCCACGTTGAACACTGCTACCGTCAGGCAGCTCCAAGTCGATGTCATGAGGGCCATGAGGGGTATCAAGGAGCAGCGGGCTGCCGCGAAGCGCGATGGAAAGAAGCTGATGGTGGAGCTCAAGATCCCATCCATCTCTTCTCGGCGCTCGCTTGTGGGTGACCAGCCCGGCGGTGGCGCGCAACCGGCGGGTCCACTCCGTCGAGCTCTCTCTCAAATACCCGCTCAAGCCCTCTCCCACCCAACCCTTGGAACCAACCCGCACGCGCAAGCTCCTCGCCACCCTAGCGCTTCCTTGCCGATCAGATCCACTGATCACAACGAGGACGCCAACACAGGTCCAGCACCCAGCAAAGCCGCAAAGACCCACTCCTCCTCCGCTCCCCTTGGTAAGCCAACCCAACCCGCTGGCCCCACGCGATCGCAGTCTACTAGCCTCGTCCCAGCGGCAGCCACCCGCCACACAAACGTCGTCGCCCGCCCCTCCGCCAACGCGAACAACAACACCACCGCCATCGCCATGTCCAACGCCACGAACAACAACAACAACAACAACACCACCGCGACCTCCACCACCACCACCACCGCCCCCCACGGCTCCCGCCGTCCCCGCCGCACCTCATCCACCTCTTCCCGCCCCACCCAGCGCCGCCGTCTCGGCCCGGCCACCCACGGCGTCCCGGGACAGCCGGGCGGCACCGACGCCAGCTCCGCGCCCCGCACCGACATCCCGCAGCAGACCCTGCCAGGGCCGACGCCGCAACCCCTCTTCCATCCCTCGGGCGCCCCGCCGCAGTCCGCCTTCTACAGGGCGCCGGCGGCCCGCGCCACGTTCACGGCGCAGCAGCAGCCCGATCAGCGTCTCATCACCGGTGGCGGTGGCGGCAGCGGCAGCGGCGGAGTGCGATCGAGGGAGCAGCAGTCGCGGCAGTCGCAGCAGCAGCAGCAGCCGGGCGTGCGTCTCGTCCCGGGCGTGAATGGCGGATGGCAGCTTTCCGTCGGGGCGACGGCGCCGAGTAGACGCCATTCAGAGGAGCAGCTTTCAATCGGTGCGACGGCGCCGCGCCGCCATTCAGAAGAAGAGCAGCGGCGCCGCGACGAGATGGTGGTGCAGATGGAGTCTAGGATCTGGGCGCTGGAGATGGCGAACGTTCAGCAGGAGACGGAGCTGGCGAGGGAGCGGGAGGCGGTGGGTACGCTGACGGGGACGAATGCGGGGTTGGAAAGGACGGTGGGGGAGATGCAGACGAGGATTCGGGAGTTGATTGAGGAGAACTTTAGGCTGGCGAGGGGTGCGGGGCGTGCATCGACGGAGAGGTTGGTGGAGGATTTAGAGGAGGCGATTCGGAAGGAGAGGGAGAGGAATGGCGGGGCGGGTCGTGAGTGAGTGGGTGGTTGGTTGGAGGGATTGGGGCTTTGGGAATGGTTGTGGGGGGTGTTGCAGGTTTGCTGGGGCTTGGGGCTAGAGGGGTCGACGGAAAAAAAGTGTTTACTGATATCTGTGGGATAAAAGCGAAGATCAAAAGGATACTGGGGTAGAGGCTAGGCCGAACAAACAAATAGGATAGCTGAAATGATATGGTTCTTGTTTGCCTGTTTTCCAAGTGTGAAAACTTACGCTATCGTCCTGGTCACCTAGTGCAGCTGCCAGCTATCGCCTATGTTGTCAGCTAATCAGAACTCCTCGGAATACTCTGCATAGTGATGCGTTTACCACTGAACCCACGATGCCGACGAGAGGGCGGTTTCCACCATCCATATAGCAAGGCCCCTTTGGTATCCACACGCCCGAGCGAGAGCCGCCTCTCCATTCTCAACAACAACGATAGTCCGGTACCCGCACGGCGTGACTTCAGATGGGTGAATTATGCAACCACGGGCCCACCAATTCCGCCCTCACGTCGCATCGTAATCGCCATTCTGACAGCCACCCATACGGAAAACCCCAAAAGACCGCTAACCTGAGCCACCATCAAAGCAGCTCGCCAGGTAGCATTCTTCTCTAGATACCACAGCGTGATGCCTATAAGCAGTGCCAGGATAGACCAATCCAAGAGAACCAAAGGCGTCCATAGCAGCAAATATTGCTTCTTCAGCACCACCTCGAGCGCCTCGAATCGGAACATGAGCATGGTGGACAGCATGATGGAGGCGGTCGCGGATATTGCGCAGCTCGTGAGCAGGCCTTCTGCGGCGCAGTTTATGGGACCCAGAGTCGGGTGAAACTCGTCGAAAGTGAGGGCGCCGATGGAGGCGCTGGCTGTGAGCGCCGCTAGGAGGTTTAGTTGTGGCAGAATGTTGAAGAGACGCTTGAAAAGAATGGAGCGTCTGTCGGCGGCCGGGTCGCCAGATACTGATTGAGGTGGAGAGTTGTGCGACGGCGACGGCGGCGAGGGTGGCGTGTTTCGAGCCATTGCAATGGCTTCTTTGGTTCATGTGCGACACGGAGCGAACCGTAATGGGCCACAGACAAACGACTGTAGTATCTAATTATCGCAGAGGATACGGCAGCGTGACTTCCGTGAACGAGGTATAGTGAAATCTCATCTCTCTTTCGTGATGTCCGGAATAAAAAAAAAGTCACTCTGTGCCCTAATCGCGATCCATGCGTGTCGCGACCGCGCAAGCTGGGGCTTAATCTTCAGTGCTATTAATACCCACATTTTCAGCTGAAGCCACACCTGCGGAAACAAGGTCATAGCCAGCGTAAGCGAATGTCACCCTCTTCTTGAAATATCCAGCTCGGTTCTGTGTCCGTATATATGTTGTCAGAGCGTGATCGCCAAGGAAATGATTGAATTGGTGGGATCCTAAATGGCATGCAAAAAGCAACGAAACCTGAACCGGAACCCTTCCAAAGTGCTTCGGGTAACCTAGACTGTCTCAACTCGCATGAATACGGGGTGATCTGCTCAGCTTGGTCGGGACCTTCCCATTGGGCCACTTTCTTTTTCTGTCCCCATGCAGCAGCCCCACTGATATGTATGTGCAGGGGCTCACTCCTGGTTGCATCCAAATCGACAATCGACGACTTCAATTTTGATGAACCTCTCCACAACCTTCTCACAGAAGGTTCTGAGAGATATCGTTGGATGCGCATGACCTGAGTTCTAAGGTGAGTAGAGCTCCAGGGCGCTGTCTCGGGTCTCCCTACCCCGGTGTGGTAGAAGATCTGATAACGTTCGATTTGAATGACCATATATAAACTTACCGCTACTGTTGAGCATGGCACTTTGTCTTATACATAGGCAGATGGAAATCATGACAGTCCGCTGAATGAGCGCGCGGGTACTATGCGGAGACAAGGTCACTGGATTTTCAGGAACCATGACTAGTCTTGGTGAACCGCATAGTGACAGCGAGAAGACCGAAAATAGAAATGCCGCATCTAACGGCTGCCGGGAAAATGAGTATGTCGAGAGAGCGCATGTCGTCTAGCCAAGGTTGGCGGGAAGCGAACGGACCGATGAACCATCTGGAAAGCCCGGATTTTCGCCGAAAGCGAATAAAGTGACGTCGAAAATCCGCCCAAGGGATGGGACGCGCACGTGAAGGAAGATAAGATGGGAAAGGCGGCTCTGTTTACCGTTCCCCATGACTCATACCGGCCACAGCTAGCAAATCCTTCACAAAGCAATCGAGGGAAGTTTTCCGAGTCAAGCTTCTAATTTCTATTCTAGCCCCTTCCTTTTCTTTATTTCAAAAGTCCTCCGTCACGGCAGCAAAAAGTCGTAAGAGGCTCCTGAGATCAAAAAAGAAGAGCCGCCCAGAGATTGCATCCGCAATAAAATTACAGGATTTCGCCTGCATTTCATCTACACATAGCCGGACCTTACCTGATCCTTACCTGATGATCATGCTCTCACGGCCGGGGCCGGTGCCGATGTACTTGACCTTGAGGCCGGTGAACTCCTCAATGAAGAGGATGTACTTCTTCGCGTTCTCGGGCAGGTCTTGGAACGTCTTGGCACCCGTGGTGCTGGTCTTCCAGCCGGGCAACTCCTTGTACGTGACGTCCACCTTCTCGAGAATGTCGAGGTTGGCAGGGAAGCTCTGCAGCTCCTCGCCCTTGTAGCTGTACGCCGTCGCCACCTTGATCGTGTCGAAGTCGTCGAGGATGTCGAGCTTGGTCAGGTTCATGGCCGTGTAGTCGTTGACGTCGTGCGAGTAGCGGACGACCACCAGGTCGAGCCAGCCGCAGCGGCGCTTGCGGCCCGTGGTGACGCCGAACTCGCGCCCGACAACCTGCAGCTTCTCGCCAACCTCGTTCAGCTGCTCCGTGGGGAAGGGTCCGCTGCCGACGCGCGTCGTGTAGGCCTTGACCACACCGATGACCTCCTTGATCGCGCGCCAGCCCAGGGGAAGACCGGTGAGAACGCCGCCTGTAAGACTGCGATTAGCGACCATGGGCTCACACGTTTCCGCGTGCTGCCCCATGCTCCGAAACAATCAGTTCATGCTGGACCGCTTACCGAGACCGGTGTTGGACGAAGTGACGAAGGGGTAGCTGCCGGCGTCGATGTCGAGCATGAGGGCATTGGCACCCTCGACGAGAATGTTGGCATTCTGCGCCTTGGCCGACTTGAGGAGCGGCACCTGGTCAATGACGTAGGGCCTGAGTCTCTCGGCGTAGTCCTACGAAGGGTTAAAAACGTGCCGTCTCGCCATGCATGTCTGTTCTGACCTTGTAGCGCGAGATCTCATCCTCCACATCGTACTTGAGCAGGTCCCCGAACCTCTTCTTGTAGCCCTCGGCGATGCGGCGCAGGCCGCTGGCGAGCTGGTCGTGGTCGAAGATGTCGCAGATGCGGATGCCGCTGCGGGTCATCTTGGTGCTGTAGGTTGGGCCGATGCCCTTCCTGGTGGTGCCGATGAAGCTGGAGCCCAACTCGACCTCCTCGAGACCGTCGACCATCTGGTGCAGGTCGAAGACGACGTGGGCACGGTCGCTGATGAAGATGCGGTCGCTGGTGTCGAGGCCGTGCTTGTTGAGGGCCTCGAGCTCCTTGAAGAAGGAGGGGACGTGGACAACGCATCCGGCGCCGACGAGGTTCACACACTTGGGGTTGACGAGGCCCGAGGGCAGGATGTGGAAGTCGTAGGTGATGCCGTTGGCGACGATGGTGTGGCCGGCGTTGTTGCCGCCCTGGGCGCGACAGCAGAGCGAGGCCTCGGAGCAAAGGATGTCGACCAACTTGCCCTTGCCCTCGTCACCCCATTGGGCGCCGCAGACGACGGTGGTCGACATGACGGATGGGCGGGGAGCGGAGGGGAGCGGGAACAAGAACGAGAGAGACTGACGACGCGGGCGCGTGTCAATGCAAGTCAAAGGGAGCGGGGGGTATTGGCGACGCGTGCCAAAAAGCAGCGTAGGAGTCAAACGGCGGACGGCGGGCACGCTGAGATTTTGAGGGACGCGCCGGTGGGGGATCGACGCTAGGCCTCGCCGAGTTCGGCTTCGAGGCGGCGCTGCCCAAACAGCCAAACAGCGGCCGCCAAAACCAGCTCGCGTCAACTCTGCGGTAGCCTCCATGCATGTCCCTGCGCCGCCGCGCCCCACTGCCGCTGATGTCACGGCGAAAGGCGGTCTGTACGCCTGCCTCCCCGCCATGCCCCTCACTCCCCTCACTCGTGTGCGACGCTGCGACGCTGCGACATTGCGCTGCCCCGGTATTCGGGATGCCCGCTGCATGCGGCTCGCAACACCGCCAGCCAGCCAGTACGCTGCATTCCGTTTCTCAGACATGGCGTCATCATAGTATGACTCCAACAGCGACTCGTTTGTCCGCCCGCTGCCAGCCACCACGCCGGACATCTTGATCCTTTCGTGCCGCAGCCCCTCATTTGTGGATCCGTCTCTCATTCAATCAATGCGGGTTTACGTACTGCACCGCATGCAAGACGCCACGACGCCTCGCGACCAGCTGCCGAGACCGCATCCAGCAGCGAGCTCCAATCAACCCCACGTCTTCGAGTCTGTTCCCGTGCCCGTATGCCCGGTCGCGCCATACCCACGCCATACCCGCGCCGGGCGCTCGGGAACAAGCCACGCTGCCGCCGCTAGAATCGGTTGCTGCTGTTTCTTCTGTGCCAGCGGCATGCGTCTGCGCTGATATAGCTCGCTGTCGTCGCCAGCGTAAAATCGACATTGTGCGCCTCATCTCCGTGACCGTCCGTTCCAGTAAGGGTCACGGCAGCTTCCCAATTGGCTGGTTCCGGTACTGGGCCTCTGCAAGGCAGGCGAACAAATGTCGATCACCCGCTTGGCCTGAAGATCCCGTTTTGCAGTGTTTCCGCCTTTCTCACATGACTCACCCCATCCCCGGGCGATCAGTGTTGAGATTTAGCATCACAATGAGTGGGCAAGAGACGAGACACTGATTGCCAGATGACGGAGGTTTCTGTCTGTTGCATCTAACTTGAACCCCCTGCTAGCCTCGTTTCCCGAACCCAGCCGAACTGTCCCGGCTGACACATCAAAGGCTAGGTAACGCAGCAAATCAGGAGCGCAATTTGAAAGAGTTGAGCCATTTATCACCGACTGTCCATACTACGACCAGTAGATTAACCATCTCTTCCTTCGGGTTCTACATGGGTTTTCCGCGATGACGACATGCTCGTCAGCGAATAAGATTCTGAGTCACGAACTCTACCCCTCATTGCCATCCATTCCACCACTCTTGTGTTGAACCAAACATCAGGGTAATCCATTGACCCGGGAAATACCACAATGGCAACCACAGCACTTGCTCTAGTCCGTAGCAGCTCCCTTACGGAAGCCCGCTCGGAATCAGCAGTGCTAGAACTCCAATCCACAGCCACAGCCCCTCGCAATGCGTCCTCAACTTCCGAAGTCAACCACCGCCCAACCGCCTCCGCGACCACAACACCCACACACACAAATCCAGAAGAAATCCACGACCAGACCTCGCGCCTCCCCCTCCGCAAACTCCTAACCGCCTACTCCTGCCTCGCCGCCGTCTACTTCATCTCCTCCCTCGACATCAACGCCGCCGCCAATGCCCTGCCCGCGATATCGCGCTCGCTCAACGCCGGCACCAGCATCACCTGGGCCGGCGCCTCCTACCTAATGGGCCAGACAGCGTACGCACTCGCACCATCCCCCTCCGCCATCCCACCCGCACACTCACACCCCCGGCCAGCTTCCAGCCCCTCTACGGCCGCCTGTCCGACATCCTCGGCCGAAAACCACTCCTCCTCGCCTGCATCGCCATCCTCATCCTCGGCGACCTCCTCTGCGGCTTCGCCCAGTCCGCGCCCTGGCTCTACGCCTGCCGCGCTTTCGCCGGCGTCGGCGGCGGCGGCATCAGCTCGCTGGTGCAGATCATCGTGAGCGACCTCGTCAGTCTGCGGGACCGGGGCAAGTATCAAGGCCTGTTGAGCGGCGCCATCGGGCTGGGGTCGAGCACGGGGCCTTTCCTGGCGGCGGCCATGGTGGCGAGGGGGGAGGGCGGGTGGAGGTGGATTTTCTGGACGCCGTCGCTGATGGCGGGGGTGTGTGCGGCGGCGATGGTGGGGGTGTTGCCGTTGAAGAAAGTGCAGGGCGGGTGGAGGGAGAAGGTGAGGAAGGTAGATTGGTGGGGGCTGGGGGCGGGGGTGGTGGGGGTGTTGTTCGTGTTGGTGAGTGAGGGCAGCAAAGTGTTGTGTATACGATATAATGCTTACGACGCTCCAGATCCCCATCAACTCCGGCGGCAGCACCTGGCCATGGAACAGCGCGCTCGTCATCTCGATGCTCGTCGTCGGCGCCTTCTCGCTCGCCCTCTTCGTCGTCGTGGAGAAGCGCTTCGCCGCGCTGCCCATGATCCCGCCGCGCCTCTTCGCCCGCCGCGCCACCACCGTCATATACCTCCAGAGCGCCCTGTACAACGCCGTCTGGCAGATCGACATGTACTTCCTCCCCGTCTACTTCCAGGACGTGCGCGGCTTCGCGCCGTTGCAGAGCGCGACCCTCGTCTTACCGCTGCTGCTGCTCCAGAGCGTCGCCGGCGTCCTTTCCGGACCGCTGATGACCAAGCTCGCCCGGTACGGCCCGGTCCTCTACACCGGCATGGCGCTCTGGCTCCTCGGCGCCGTCCTCAAGCTCGCCCTCTTCACCCGCACCACCCCCATCAGCCTCTACATCACCACCCTCGTCATCGAAGGCACCGGCATCGGCTTCGTCCTGCAACCAGGTACGTCCGCCCCTTCCCTTCTTCCCCCCTTCCTTTCTTCTGTTCTCCTTCCTCCTCGTCCCCTCCCCCTCGCGCCGCTAAGCAAGTCGTCATTTCCCAGCCCTCGTCGCCCTCCAAACCCTCACCATCCCCCCCACCGACCGCGCCGTCGCCACCTCCACCCGCAACCTCGCCCGCGCCCTCGGCTCCGTCCTCGGCGTCGCCACCGCCACAGCTCTACAGAACGGCGTCATGCGTGGAGCATTATCAAGCAACCTTCCTCAAAACATACGCGCGCGAGTCTTGGATGGGACGTGGCAACGGCCGGGTGATACTGATGGGGATGGGGATGCTGCTGGTGCGTTGTGGGTCGACGCCGTGCTGGAGGCGAAGATGAGGGGGGTCAGGGCGGTGTTTGCGATGCTCGTGCCGGTGATGGCGGCGTGTGTGGTGGGGTTGGGGTGGGTGCCGGATGGGGTGTTGAGCGGGGATGATCGAGGGGGGGTAGGGGAGGTGCGGCGGAGGGAGCGAGGGGAGGGCGAGGGGAGGGATGCGTGAGGGAGCAGGTGTGAGTTTGATTGTGGAGAAGGGATTGCGGTGGGGCGGGGATGGGTCGTGGTGCGGATGTGGCGGATGACGGGCTGGCTGGCTGGCTGGCTGGCTGTATACGCCGATGAGGCAGCGTATGGCTTTTGTGTTGGAACGGTGGCTCACGAGGTAACTGTAGGGGACTTTGAGCCGTGATAGCCCCGCTCTGGGACCCCGGCGATAGCATAGCATAGTATCAACATGCATCCTTCATCATCTTGAGGTACCTCTTGTGCGCCTCGACCGAGCCTCCCATCAGCTTGACCGCCGCTGTCCAGTGTACGCCGTCCTTCCCAAGCCGTTCCTTGATCTCCAACTTCGCTTCTTGCTCCTCGTAGTCGACATCCTTCGGCTCAATGCGGCCCTGCAGTGGCGGTGCCGAGTGCTACCGTCTCTCTCAGTACATGTGCTGCAAAATAGATGCGTTGGCCGCACATACCCAAAAGCAATGTTCCTTTTTGTATGCATCATCAGATTTCTTGGTGTCGCGCATCTTGTTTAGTAGAAGCCGCGAAATGGAGGGGTTCAATTGGTTGCGAATGAGGATGAGCTGCGGGTATCACGAAGTCCTTGGAGCATTCCGGTCTCTCTGCTGGGGGGCAGGCAGAGCTCATGACATGCAAACGGACTGATGTTTGGAGGGCGGCTGCATGCTTCAAGTCACACGCGTCATCCATTGCTGGGTATCCGGGCTCACTTACTGAACATGAAAACCACCCGTGTAACTTGGATTGCATGAGAACTTCTGGTTAAAATGGTAGATCATACGGTACTTGGAAATTGTTCGCTACATGTTTGGCCCGGAAAAGTGTATCCGCGTGTTTAATGCAGTGTCTAAGCGGCGTTTGTCGTAGTTTCTGGCACATTCACGCCAGCCTACTGGTGCAAACGGCCTTCCAAGCACGCAATGCCTCACGAGAAGCTTGCACACGCTACCTTCGACCATTGTAAGAGCTATTCAGTATGCTGACAAGGCGTAGACGTCGGTACCCGCCGCCAAACAGCCTGTGCATGCGACAACCAACCCCATACACACTTGCAATTGACAATTCTCTCCTTTCCCGAACAGTCCACGGAATCAATTCCACAACGCAAATGACACCATCGCCGTTTGCCAAGGTGTGCCAACGCACTCCCTTGAGTATTTGGCCAAGCGTTCATCATGTTCGTCTGGAGCGTGTTGTTCAAACGACTACGATCACCTCTATGTTTGGAGCAGGCCGAACCTCTCCGGAGCTCGTGTTGTCTGAATCGTAAAGTCTTCTGGCCATGAGCACCAAGGTAGTTCAAGCGATAGTGGTGACACCGGGACTGTTAGTTCCCCTTGACTTGCTCGAGAGATGGTGCCCCGCCTCTTCTAGTATTTGCCTTCTGGGTTTTTCCTAGACTTTTGCTGTCTGCTGTACCTTTAGCTACTTGACCAAGCTCGTGTGTAAATGCGCCAGAATATCCAACATTCGATGATTGGAAGCGCTGGAAAAGGTATGTGGCACATGTTTGTTGGCGCGCTGACGTGACACTGATGTTTATGTAGAGGGAAGTGATTGGCATACTCGATTAGGGCACTAGCAACGCACGTCTTCTCTCTCATCGCGGCAGTGAGCCGTTAGCTATCCATCCATGAGGACCTTTGTATGGTTTGACAACAAAGTGAAGATGACAGCTATCAAATCCAAGTCCGCCTGCGGTAAAGAGAATGGCCGCTGACTGTGCTTTGCTCCGGACATGCCGTACACCCTCCGCGGTAACCTCCCCTATGTGCGTACTTCGACAGGGTTAGTTACTCTACAGTCCGGCGGAAAAGAGCCTTACCGGCAAAAAATGCCATTTGGCCGATGCGCGCCACATGTCTTCAGCCCAACACATCATCGGGAGTCGCGCCTCGGGGCGCGGTCAGGCAGAGCCCTGGCACTTGGAGCGCAAGACGTCAAGCTCCTTGCGGCAGCGCTCGATGCAGACGTCCAGCAGGTCCATCTTCATCTTCACGTTGTCCTTACCTCTCATCAGGCGCGCAAGCCTTTCCTGAAGCAGGTGACAGACCAAGATTCGGTGAGACGGTTCCATGGGCTCGTTGGTGTTGGAGAAGTGAGCCATGACTTTGTCGAGAGCCTACGGGTGACGTCAGTCAAGCTTATGCGACACAGCATGCGGTCTTGCTTACCGACGTGGTGATGATCGGGCTGTCCTCCGGAATGGAGGCGAGCGACGTGCCGGACCACGACCTGTTGTGAGGCATGGCGGGGTCGTGAGGTGCGATCGAAATCTGCCTGGCGGGGTGTTTTTAGTTGTCGCGGTTGCTTTGCGCGGGCCGGGTGTTTCAGAGGTTGCGATGGAGGAAGAGGGAGAGGTTGAGGTTGGGAAGGCAGCCGCGAACATATCTCCCGCCGCCTTCCCGAACAGCGCAGAAGCGTAGCGAACGCCCGGACCGACGGTTGTGGCAGTCGCAAACTGGTCACCTGCCTGAGGCAGCCTTCCCCGAGCACTCTACGGGCAAGTCATTCACCAATATGAAGCTGCGCAGTCTGGAAGAGGGCAACTTCAGGCTAGCCAACACTTGCGAGTAATTGCCGCCGCCATCCTACCCGACTACAGTAGAAGCGTGTTTGACAGTCTATAAAAGCTAGCAGTCTCCCTTCTGAGGAGGTTCTGCATCATCTTTCCTCCTGGGCCGTGGGTGCTCACGGACATTCAGTACGCCATTTTGCGCATGGTCATAACACACATGGATTTGCAGATGGACTGAAAAACGCCAACCCGGAAAACCTATGTACCTAGCGGAAGACGCCGTGGTCGACAAGCACTGCTTACAATACGAGGTCAGAAGATGCTGAATGGCGTATTCCATGTTTCCGAGGAGCCAATACCGCTGTTGAGGTTCAAGCTTGATGACGACAGAGCGTACGAAGTCTCTGATGGCACCATGACGGTTTTTGGATGGAAATGAAGCCCCCACACGAAGACGGAGGCTTCATCATAGTGAAAGTGTCAGAGAACACTTCTACCTCGTTCAAGTCAGACCACACCCCTCCCAAAACTCCACAATCCCCCCACTCAACGCACACAGCGCCGCAATATCAAGTTCCTCATCCTGGAACTCTTGCAGCCACACCTCCCTCAACAAGCCGCTATCCCTCACCCTCCTTCCCAACTCAACCACACTTATCTAACCTTCATCCTCCATTCCGCCGCACTCGCCCTCCTAACCACAAACTCCGCCTCCTCCTCCCGCGCCCGCTGCTCTTCCGGAAACCACTCATCAGACCCATACTGTAAGTATATCCAGATGACGAGGCGCGTCAGTCGGCCGGGAAATGAGAATACACGTACATAAACACGTCAATCCACCCGGAGATGCGCCTGCGGGCAAGAAGGCCGCACGGCAGCAGCAGGGTGGGAAAGTGTTGGTGGGGGGGTATGTACAGGAGTGTTGAGATGGTAAAGAAGTTGGATAAGGGGAGAGTGGGGGTGATGTGGGATGTGAAGAAGAAGCGGACCGAGGGGGAGGGGGAGGGAGATGGGAAAGGTGGATGGTACGTGCCGTTGAAAAATACCATATCCGGCTAGGTAATCTTTCGGCACTAATTTAGTGTAGACCCTGAATCAAAGCCGTGTCATCCTTCTCTACAAAGCTTCTTCTACACCCCCACGGCGTACCCCTAGTTGCCGCCGCCGCCGCTGAAAGCAGTCGCCCATTTCCTCATCGTATCCTCGGCATGCGAGCCCCCCATGATCCGTCCCAAGAATTCCGCCGTCATCTCCCCATTTGAAATGATACCGTAACGCATAGCGTCATGCACCAGCTCCAGCACCGAATGCTGCGTGATCCCCCTCCGAATCGGCCCTACGCCAACGCCATCAGCACACATGCAGAAACAAAAGCGGGACGGCAACCGACCATGCATATGCGGGTTGCTCGTTCTCCGCAACTCGATCTTGTACTTCTTCAACTCCGACGACGCGTAGTCGGTGCGCAGGTCGACTTCGTGGCCGAGGCTGGTGATGACGTAGTCGAGCTTGGACGGGTTGTCCTCGAAGCTGAAGTACTTCCTGGGCGCTGGAAAGCGGGCGGGGCGATGTGCACGTCAACTAGCTGCCTTGATGTGCACGTGGGAGACGGAGCACTCGCATACCTTCAGGGTTTTTCTCGACCTCCTTCTTGTTCACGTAGTCCAGCTCGAGCTGCGGCCATCTGGGGTCCACTTCGGCTCTGATGAGCGTGTCACGGATGACGTCGTCCTCCTCTGCGGGGAGTCAGTTTCGAGTGAGCTGCTGCAACGAGTTGGGACCGTACTGTAGATGATGATGCCGTGCTCGAAGCGGTCGTGGGTCGAGTAGCAGATGAGGAAGAAGACGTCGACGAAGCCGATCAGGCGGATCTTGCCGAACCAGCGCTGGCCATTGATCTGGATTTCCCAGGAGTGTATGTCGCTTTGAGGACTTGTGTTAGTTTCGGAGGTGAGTGCAGGGCTGCTACGTACCAATTGCATTCTAGGTTCTTGTCTTTGACAGATCTGTCGAAGACACTGAGAACTCTGTGATAGGACGCCATTGCTCGTGTGCCACCTGAAGAGCGGAATGGCGACCAATCAAGAAGTGACGCGGTGGTGGACTTGGTGATATGCTTGAGGGCAGGAAGGAGAGCAAACGCTGTATTCTCCCAGGTCCGACAACCGGACGACCCCGCTTGAACCGCTCTCAATCAGGCAGCAAATTGGCGGTGATGGCGCTGAGACGTGGCCAATGTGGTGAAGAATGGCGGATAAGTCGGCAGTGGGTGTGGAAAAAGAACAGCCTCAGCAAATTTCAATCAGCCCCCAACGATACCCAGAACTGCAGGTTGTGGTAGATTGGCCAAAGCGCACGACTCGCAGCAGTTCAGCTCCGTGTGCCGATCAGTGCAAGAAGGGCAATACGGGCGGAGCGCATTGATACGCGAATGCCAATTACGATAGATGGTGCATATCAGGCAACAAGCTGAGCGATGCGGTAAAAGCTCAACAAGATCGATTGGATGCCACGTATGGACTCAAATGGCGCACGAGACAACGCATGCGTCGGCGTGCGGCTCTGAAGCATCGAAACTGTGTTGAGGCTGTGTTCGGCGGGGCTTCTTCGGTGCCTCTAAACCTCCAGCTCTCGCTTACCCGCAGAAGAAAAAAGCAGCGCTAAGTATGATTGATGGAGCCAAAGCCAATGGGGTCCTGTCTCGCTTCGGCGGGCGTTCCGGGTCCGCGACCATCTGCTAGTCACGACGGTACTACGTGCGTGGGTCGCACCTTTGTTTTGCCGCCTAGCTAGGTATTGTGGATTGCGACTCTGCACCGATTGGATAATGGATATCTACTGTCAATCCCCATGAGCGGTGAAGGAAGCTGCACATGATTTGCAATTGAGGCTCTGCTCATTGTCCCTTTGCAGTACTTGTAAGCTCTTTGTGCCGCCCATAGTATTCTCATATCGAACTTCACTCCAGCCCACAATGCATTTGGTAGACGGCTTCGTGGACAACATCAAGGATGGCCTCAAGAACGGCGCCGCCGACTTCATCGGCTCCACCGAGGCCATCATCGGCGTCGCCAACAAGAACCCGGAGAAGATGCGAGCGTTGCTGAACCTCATGCTCCGGCCCCAATTCAAACCCACCTTCATCAAAGACGAGCCCCCGAACGAGGAGGAGTTCCAGTCCCTCGCGCCCGCCGTGCCCGAGCAAACGCCATCCATCCCCTCGCGCATGTTCGACATCGACACGGGCAACATGTCCGTCGACTGGCTGGGCAACGACGACGTCAGCCAATACTGCATCCTCTCGCACAGCTGGAAAGGCAACGAAGTCGACCTCGCCTTCGTCAACGAGGCGAGAGAGCACAACCGCAAGGGGGATGCCGGAGCGAAGAACGACGTCGAGATGATTATGAACCTCGCCAGACACAAGGTCGAGGAGAAGAAGGCGACCATCGAGGCGCTGCTGAAGGCGTCGGGAGGCGACAAGGCCGACTACGATGCCGGCAAGATACTCGCCGAATACATCGAGGTCAAGATGGCGAAGAAGAATCTCAAGAAGGCGAGGAAAGCACGGGACGACGCGAACAGGAAGCGCATGTACACCAAGCAGGAGGCCGGCGCTTTCAGGAAGCTTGCTCGCGAGATGGAGGATACCATCTCCGCCGACGCGTGCCAGAGCAAGCGTGGCGCCAATCCACCTCCTCGGCCGACGGATGAGAGCGACAAGGAGCTGGCGGAAAAGGAAGCGAAAGCCGAGAAAGAGGTCAAGGAAGCAGAGACCAAGCTGCAGGAGGCTGCGGAGAGCGAGACGGTCAAGAACAACGCCAAGTTCTTCAACGATGCTGCTCAGACGCCGCTCCGCGAAGCCATCGACGGGCTCAACGAAGCCTTGTACAAGTGGAAGTCGGCCATCAAGATCGACCAGTCCATCAGGAAGGCGGTAGAGATCTTCGACGAGAAGCTGTTCCCTACGAAAGGGGGAGGCAAACGGTACCTCTGGAACGACACGTGCTGTATTGACAAGCCGAACCATGGCGAACTCGTCGATTCGCTGTCTCTTATGGGAGACTGGTACGCCAATGCAGACTTCTGTCTGGTGCATCTCGACACGGCCCCGTCGGACGACGAATGGAACGATGAATGGGTGCGGTTCTCGCAATCGCCGCCTGCTGAGCCTGTGCTGCCGAATCCGCCCAATATCGACGAGTACAAGGGTGACAAGGGCATTCTCGTCGCAGAGCCGAAGTGGTCCACTCGTGGCTGGACTCTGCAGGAGCTTGTGTTGAGCAAGACGACATTCTACGTCAACTCGGCGTGGCAGCGACTGAAGCGGCCGCAGGAGAGACTCGGACACTACTACTTCCTGTGTCCTTTCGTCGAGCTGTACACGGGGTGCGAGCCGATAGCTGATGCCGAGCGAAAAAGGCTGCGGAAGGTTTGGAGGGAGACGGTAGAGAAATACGAACCCGAGGTAAGTCGTCTGTTTCGGAGCCATGTGCTGCTTGCGGATATTAATTGCACTGCAGGTCTTCCAATCCCTGAAGCCTTCGGATGCGAATGACGAAGCAGACGACACTGAGACGAGGATCAGTGCTGGACAATACCTGATCGCCATCCTCGAGGCATTCGGACTCAACATCCCGCACATGATCGACAGGGACACAGCGATCCCTCTGATCAACCAGGCCGTGTACATCGTGACCACGTGCTACAGAAACCAGGAGACCGAGGAAGACAGCCGCAAGGTGCGGCTCTACCTCAATTTGAAGAAACACATCTCCCCCTCGTACGAGACGAGTCCCATCTCGGAAACCGACCTGGGCCGGACGATCAAGTTCTTGCTCCGGTGCCTCGTGGCGGAAACGAAAGCGGCCATCTTGGAAGACAGGGCATACATTGCCCAGTTCGGAAAGGTGGATCCGCTCAAGAGCTGGATGGGCGGCACGACGCGCACCAGCTTCCCCACGCAAAGAGTCATGTCGCTCGCGTGCAAGCGGGAGACGACGGTCGACACGGACCGGGCTTACTCGCTGATGGGGCTCCTCGGCGTGCGGTTTCCCACGTTCAAGGCCGAGGGCCTGCCCAAGGCGCTGGCGCGCCTCTTCGACGAGACGCTGATCCTGTCCAACGACGTGTCAGTGTTCAACTGGGCGGGCCGCGAGATGGGCAGCCACATCCGCGGGCGATCGCTGTACCCGTCGCGGCTGGATGCCTTCGACACCAGCCAGTCCGAGGGGCAGTCGATGGCGAACCGGCAGCTGGCGAGGCTGCTGCAGGCCAGGCGCAAGGAGCTGACGGCCACGTTCCACCGCATCTGCGACATGCTGCACAACGCCATCGCCTTCCTCAAGAAGTACGACCACCACACCCACCTCCCCATCAAGTGGATCGAAGGCATCATCGAGCTGGTCTACGCCGCCGACCTGGAGGACCTGGACCCGCAGGTCGACGACCTCGAAAGCATCCTCAAGTGGATCCAGAACAAGTGCGCCAGCGCCTGGGCCAGCAAGGGCGACCCCAAGGCCCGCGGCCACGGCCTGCTGGGCAGCCTCGCGAAGCACCATCCCGTCGAAGGGCTGAAACTCAGCACCCTGCAGAAGAAGCGATCCCTCTCCGGCCTGTTCGACTCCGCCAGTCGCTCCTCCAAACGCGTCAAGACCGAAACCGGCAGCCCCGCCTCGCCCTGCACGCCCAGCTCCCCTGCAGACACCCTCGTCGACCCCCCCTACGACGAAGCAACCCTCAAAGACGCCGTCAACCGCCTCAACCAAGACGTCAACGCCTACCTCCAGAAAAGCCGCGACACCCTCGGCAAGCACGACGACGCCCACCCCCGCCGCGCCCTGCTCTCCAAACTCCCCCAAGAAGTCCTCGACGAACTCACCCGCAACACCGACACAGCACCACCACCACCGCCCCCCTCATCCAGCACCGAGCACCACCACCACCACCCCACCAGCCAACCCCCCACCACGACAGCCACAACCATCTCCCCCAACCCCATCACAGTCACCACCTCGGGCATCGACGGCACCTTCGACATCCACCGCATCGTCACCGCCTTCCACGAAGAAGCGCAGCTGCGCGCGCAGGTCCGCGCCGCCGTCTCGCCGCGCCAGCGCGTCGCCGGCTGGTGCAGCGTCAGCACCGGCTTCGCGCGCGTCATGGTGTCGTTCTCGTGCGAGGCGCACGTGCTGGCCAAGCAGCTGAAGATCGCGCAGGTGGTGCGGCGGAAGGTCGTCGAGAACGACGGGTTGGCGCGGCGCGAAAGGGAGGAGGGGTGGTTGGCGGCGGGGGTGAGGAATGGGGGGTGGGGCCGTGGTGAGGGGGGGGCGACGAGAAGGCCGAATGCGGAACTGAGGGATGGGGTGGTTGATGCGGTGGAGGAGAAGGCGCATAGGGCGCACCATACGGAGGATGAGAGGCGGGTGAGTCGGATGATTGCGTTTGTGCAGGAGGAGCCGCTGGAGGCGGTGGCGGGGGAGTGGGTGTTGGCGAGGTTTTCGGACGTCGGGTGTGCGAGTTGGTTCCTGTGTGCGCTGGAGCTGGGGTCGTCACACGGGTTTTACGGGCAGCGCGTCGCGACGGATCGGATCGATTTCGCGGATGCCATCCCCGAGCCTGGGCTGGTCAATGTGTGGCAGTCGTACATGGATCGCAAGAAGCGGAAGCTGTGCTATATCCTGAACGATTTTCTGGCGAGCAGGGCCCTGTGCTCGAAGAAGGATCTCATCTTCAGTCACGGGAGGGAGAAGGGCGAGGGGGAGGAGGATTTGGAGAAGGACGATGGGGTCTGGGAGCATGCGTGGGATGTGGGTGTGACGGCGGTGAAGAATGCGGGCACTTTGACGACGTATAGTCTGCGGGAGGCGTGGCATAACATGATGGCGGAGAGGTTGGATAGCCATTTGACGGCGGTTGTGCTGAAGTACACGCCCAAGGATCTGCAGCCGGCGGTGGAGAACTTGAACGCGGACCAGGACTTCCTGCCGGCGGCCTTTAGGTCCGGCACCAGGGTTCACATGTTCTAGTGCTTAGAGCTGAAGGGGGCAGGGATTGAAATAAACCGAGCAGTGTTAGATGGGTAGTATTGCCAGATAGTAAGGCTAGTACCGTTGCTATGCCAACACAGCGGTGGAATTAGTAAGCATACATCACGGAAACTTGATTATGAATACCAAGGTCGTCTTGTGAGATTGTCAAGAAAAGAAAAAGAAAAAGAAAGGATGCTGTGAATCCACGAAGCATCCCTGCGTTGATGAAACGTGTAGGTGGTCACACAAGCCGACGCGTTTTTTTTTTCACCAACTCGCTCCTTGTCGTCGCCCCTTATCACGGCAACATTTGGAATCCATCATATACCTTCGGTCAATCAAAGTCTCCGGCAGCCACTGATCATGGCGTCGAGTGACTCTGCATCAGGGAAAAGCCCATCGGTGATCAAGTTCGACGAAGATGGAGACACGCGACTGCTGCTGACCCGAAACGACGACGAGCGCATATACCTTGTCTCATCCAAAGCAATGTCTCTGGTATGTCGCGCCTGGAAAACAATGCTGTCACCCAACAGTGGATTCAGAGAAGCAACACTGGTGGGAAGTGACCGCCCCATTCCGTTCCCAGACGATGATCCGGATGCACTCGCTGTCCTACTCAACATCGCACATATGAAATTCAGCCTTGTACCCAGGACCTTGGAGTTCGAAACGCTTCTTCACCTTGCGGATTTGACCGAGAAGTACGACGCGATCAACATCCTCCGCCCGTGGATCAAGGGATGGATTCAAGCCGCCGAGCACTTGGCCGAGAGACCTGGCTATGAGGAGTGGCTCTTCATTGCATGGGCCTTTGGAGAAGTACAAATATTCGACAAACTGTCGACTCGCTTGGTCTGGCAAGTCCGCATCAACGAGCTCGGCCAATGCGTGGGACCCAGCGGGAGAATTCTCGACCGGTCGAGCGATGATATTGATGCATTGTTCCCGCCAGGAATCATCGGTAAGCCTAGACGATGCCATGACTCATTTGGCCTGATCTCTTCTGACCCTGCAGTAGAAAGTATTCTGGAACACAGGTTTGGCACAATCGAGTACGTGGTTGTCCATATCCAGACCCGTATACATACATACCTTCACGGCAAACGGACGGGAGTCTATCTCTGCAAAATGGCCCACACGTTACCTAGGCAGGAGGCGGAAGCCTGCGATGCACTATGCTACGGAAGTCTCGTGTACGCCTTATATACGCTTGGGCTTAGTCCAGGGTTCGAAAGACCACAGGACACCAAATTCAGCGCCCAGCATTTGAAGGACATCATGAGTACATGGATAGCCCCGGCTCTAGGCTATACCCCAGGGCCAGGGGGAATGCTCGCACTGCATCATTCCAGCTGCTCAGTAAAAACTCTCTTTGACGAAGTAACAGAATACGTGAGCGGCATTGCATCCCCCGGTCTAAAGGCTCACTACGATCACATGGCGCGAAAGCGGAGTGGGCTTACTGAGGGACAACCACCTCGGAAAAAGAGGAAGCGTCGTCACTAAAATTGCCTTGCTACACAGTGGGCCAGTCATGTTCGATTGGCTTCAAATCACCCTTTCCCCGGTACACCTCCAGAATGTCTGCTTGCTCGGGCAGCATATGGCGGTCAATGTGGCACCCGATCCGTGCGAGGCCCCTCCATCTCTCAAAGTCCTCTGGGTTCCGCTTGTCGCCGTGCGCTTCCGCCGCATGCTCCCAGTGTCCTGCATGTATCGTTAGCAAACATCTTATCAGGTTTCAAGGATATCCTACCTTTTGAAAACGCAATCAAGGTCGTGATCCTATTGTTCGGAATGTCGTAGACCATGGACACAATGGTCCCCGTCTCTGTAATCACGCGCGACATCAGCACCGCCGAACTCTTCTGGCATGCAAAATGTCCGAAAAGGCTGCCTACCTTCCAACCAATTGCACTGCCACAGCTCGCCAGGGCGGATGCATTGGAAGCTGCAAGTCTGGTAATTGATGCGCCCGGCCATTGGCCCGCCGTGGATTGCGTACACCACGCGGTCCTATCACGTTCTTATCAGCGCGGGCTTGAGCCTTATCAACCGCCACGGCTCACCTCCATCTGGAACCAGATCTCATATCTCCACTTCTCGGGGTTGCCCTGCTCGTCCTTCGCGTTGTAGTCGTAGACCATATGCAGGTCCTTGAGGTCCTTGTCCCAATGCGCTCTCGTCTGGGCGTCCATGGTTCCGCTGCTCCCTTGCTCTTCTCCGCGCGATAAACGATAAACCGTTGTCGAAGCCCTTATCTTTCCGCCGTCCGGCTCCTATCTCTCAGCGGCAGTACCTTCCTTCCGATAACAACGTCCGGTCCAACGGGAAGGGCGTCAAGGATGCGGATGCAAGATAAACAGGCGGTATGTATGTATGCAGATCAACGGGGTCTTGTACCGCCCTGCCGCCGCCCCCGACGCACAGCTATATATATACAGACCCGAGTGCCCGGAGTACCTAGCGACCCGCAGCGATGACGCTCGATCGGAAATCTCCCGACGTCACACCATGTTTTTGGCGCGCGCCGAAAAAGGGCCTCGATCCAAACCTTTCGTCTGTCCATCTGGCGCCACACCCGCACGGCGATCCGACCGCCCGGCTTCCCGGCCGGCTCCATGGACGAGGACCCGCTTTTGAAGTGCCGAAATCTGGAGCCGAACCCTATAGTCACTCCACGGGGAAGTCGTGTGGTTTGGGGATGCGTTGTTTTCTGACTCGCGACGGTCGGCCGAAAGGGGGGAAAGACCGAGCTGGGCGAGGAGAGAACGGCTGAGAGTAAGGGTGGGCGACATGGCGCAGTGGGAAAGCGAGGAGGCAGTTGAGTCCTCTCGAGACATATGAGAGACGTGGTGGAACGGCGGGAGAGGTAGGTGGTTTCTCGCCAGCCAGCGAGACATGACTCAAGAAAGTACGTCAGCCCATCGACGACGGAAAAAATAATCACATCCTTCCACCACACCGACGCCGAACGTGACACAGGCCTCCCACAAACACCTACGACGATGACACGTACTCCCAAGGACCTCCGAGGCACGGCATAGCGATGGAAGTCGAAATACTACGGCGGAGAGAATTCAACCGCGGCTGCCACGTCGGGATGACAATCGTCGGGTATCCCACCAGTCGCACCACCTGCAAAAGGCACCTTCCTTGACAAAATATAAATTGCGGGAAATCGAAACCACTCCTTCTCTATATACGTCGTCCTAATCATCATCGTCAACATCGTCATCATCATCATCATCATCACCACCACCACCACCACCCACACCAATCCACCTCACACCGCCCCCACCGTCCTCACCTCCTCCTGCACCCTCGCCGCACCCATCATCTCCTTCGCCTCCGCCCCAACACCACTCCCCTCTCCCCTCCTCCCCTCCCCCCTCGCCCTCCTTCCCTCCCCCTCACTACCACCAGCAACCCTCACCACCGCCTCTCCCCCCAGCGCCCCAGCCCACCCCACCCTCCCCCACACCTCCCTCACCCTCCCCACCGCCGCCGCTCCCTTCCCTTCCCCCTCCCCCCCGGCAGCAACAACAACCTCCCACGGCCTCTCCCTCGCCGCCAACCCGAGCACCACCCCCGCGCCCTCGCACCGCGCCAGCAAGGCATCGACATTCCGCTGCTCGCGCTGCTCGCGCTCCGCCCCTGGCTCCGACTCCGCCTCCGCCTCGCTCAGCCGATCCAAGACTACAACGACGCTTCCTGCCGCCGCGTGCGCGAGGACCGCGTCTATCGCGGCCGCGTCGTCTGTGTGCGCTATGAAGATGTGGGCGATGCGCAGGCGGGTGGGGTCGGATGTGACTTCGATGGTGCGGTCGGGATGGGGGGCATGTAGGGAGCGGGCGCGGGCGAGGGATTCGGGGTCGTGTGGGATGTATACGAGGGTGCGGTGGGTGCGGCCGAAGGAGGTGGCGAGGTTGAGGTTGTCGTCGTGAATGAGGCCGCTGCCGACGAGGGCGACGATGTGCGGGGGGAGGGAGGAGGCGGGGTGGGGGACGCGGGAGGTGGTGGGGGGTGGGGCTTCGATGTCGGTGGGTTGGTGGAGGGGGAGCGGGACGGGGAGAGGGTCCGGGTCGGAGTCGGAGTCGGTGGAGACGACTTTGCGGGTCTTGCCCCAGCCGAAGGAGTCCATGTTCCAGACGGCGTAGAGGAGGACGGCGATGTTGATGAAGGGCCCGCAGAGGACGTAGAGGGCGCAGCCGGCGAGGTACTGGGTGCGTTCGAGGGCGGTGCGGGGCAGCCAGATGGCGATGCAGAGGTAGTAGGTCAGCGGCGTGATCATGACGGCGGCGAAGGCGAGGATGATCCACCATGGGACGAACAGGATGGAGTTGATCAGGCTGGCCAGGCTGGCGAAGATGAAGAGGTTGAGGGCCCAGGTCATGCAGTTGGCGAAGGCGAGGATGCGCTCCCACCAGTGCACGCCGGGGGCCTTGAACAGGAACAGGTCGTTGCCGGTGGCGCCCAGGGTCCAGCGGCGGCGCTGCGAGAGGAAGACGGACCACGACTGCGGCACGTCGGTCATGGCGCGCGCCCGCAGCGCCTGGCGCGTCTTGCTGTGCGGCATGGCCGACAGCATCAGGCAGACGTGGTTGCGGTCCTCGGACGCCGTGGCGCGGATCTGCTTGATGATGTTGTCGGCCGGCGTCGGGCAGTAGCCAAACAGCTCGACCAGCACCCTGTCGCCGCACGTCTCCTCGCAGATCTTCAGCAGCTGGCAGCACCCCGGCAGGCACGACACCTTGTTGGTCACGATGGACTGGTGCAGCCGCCGCAGCCCCTGCGAGATGGTGTACTCGGCCGACTGGTACAGGCTCCACGGGTTCCAGTTGCGCGTCTTGAAGTCGACGGCCACGTACCCGCACACGCCCACCGTGTCGGGATACCGGCTCTGCTTCAGCAGCTCCGCGATGCAGTCGTCGGCAAACACCGTGTCGGCGTCCATGCCGACGAGATACGAGACGCGGTCGAAGCCGGCCTCCTCGTGCAGCCACATGGCCATCTCGCCGAAGAACTCGGGCCGGAACAGCATCTGCGGCTTCTCCGCCCGCGTGTTGAACTTGTGCAGGAACGAGCGCAGCGCGATCAGCCCGTCGCGCTTGCCCTGGTTCTGGTGCTTGATGATGCAGAAGTACGGCGTGCCCTTGTAGTCGCCCTTCTGCACCGTCACGTCCATCGGCTGCTGGTCCCACGCCGTGTACGCCTGCTTGATCACCTTGCGCTCCGTCCTGTCCACCAGGATGTCCTCGAGCAGGTACTGCGCCGTCGTCTTCTCCATGCCCGCTCCGCGCACCCGCCCGTCGCAGATGATCATGATGGCCGTCTTGTTGCTTTCCAGCTGCTTCTGCGCCACGAGCGAGTCGAGCGATTTGGTGCACTCTTCGAAGTTCTCGTTGTAGCAAGGCAGGAGGAGAACGAGGGACTCGGGCGCGGTGGGCATGATGACCTTCTCCGGAAAGATGCGGTGCTTGATGCTGAAGAAGATGACCGACGCGACCATGATGCAGTTGAGTGCCACGGTGAGGGTGATGAAGGGGAGGTAAACGTAGTAATACGCTGGCCACCACCAAGTGGCAAAGATGAGCATGAAGCTGATCGGCGTTAGATTGCACTGACCCGATCTTGGAAGGCGAGGAAACTTACTTCGCCGCGATCATCCCAGCAGTCACCAGGAGTTTCTGCTGAGTGATCATGCGCCGGCCCAGTTTGCTGAATTCTGGAGATGTCGCGGGCCGCGTCCTGGGCAACATTTGGTTGCAACAATCCGCATAGGCCCGAAACCTTTCCTGCTTTGCAGATGCCACTGCGGTGATGGTGGCTACATCATTCCGCGATGAAGCTGCAGACTTTGCCGAGGGCGTCCGTGGATGGTATGCCAGCGGATGCGGCAATTGATGGCTTGGGTGTCGCAGTGGGATTGGAATTATCTTTTCCTGTGCTCCAATGGGAAGAGGAGGGGTCTGTGGAGCCGGCTCTTCGTCTCTTTGGATCTCCTGGTGCAATTGACTCCGGGGATTCGGAGCCCTTACAGGAGACAGATGACGCTTGCGCGGATCCACCTCAGGCTCGGGTTCCGAGTCTGTGACGGACGACGGCCGCGTCGAAGTGCGGGTGGTCTGCCATCCTGAAGAAAGGTATTCGTCTGGAGAAGAGACGGAGTCCTCGTGGGCTGAGAGAGATGCAGACGATGCAGCCGAAGAGCCCCTTGTGTATACAGGGATGGGGTGGGACAGCTTGGGACCGGCTTCAAGAGCAGGAGACCGCCACGTCAGGGGGCTGTCGGGGGAGCGAGCGGAAGGCATGGCCAAAGATTGACTGACCAGCGAGGGCTTGGTCGGAATGATGAAGATGCAGTGTCCCAAGCGGAGCAGTGCGAGGACAGCCCGCCGCCGCCAGAATCTTATAGGGCCTACACTTTTTGGGCCAAGACGTCCATGTGCGCTCTGCTCCGTGCTGGCCGGGCGGCGAGGGTGGCGGGGCAGAAGACTCCCATGGCGAGGACTCACACCGGATCCAGCCACTTCCGCAACGGTGCCTTCTGACAGAGCAGAGACGCGTCGCTCGGAGCTGAGCTGACGGGTTGCGGAAAGCGCACGATCATGCGCCGAGACAATACTACACGATTGCTGTGGTAGTGTGCTGGAGCAGCTGCAGCTGCAAGCCAAGGAAGAGCAAGGGCCTGCCCGCCGTTCAGCCACGTTCGTTGCACCACGTTGGTGGCAGTCGTGCAGCCGTCCGCCTTGGCGAGCTTCTCTTCGCCTCGCTGCAACGATGCCGGGGCGGCAGGCCGGAGAAACTGCAGAGCACGCGCTGCTATTCTTGTCCGACCCAACCCGCAGCTGACCCCGCCTCTGCTTTGGCCCAGCGCTCAGAATTTCCCGTCCCTGGCGCCCCCCCGCGCTTTACGTGCTGGCCCCCCGGCGATCTCCTCATATGACGTGCAGCACGGGCTCAAGACAGGGGTGCGGCGCGCTATTGACATCTGCATATTGCATCTGCGCCTCCGAGGCCGAAGGAAGCCTCAGCGGCGCCCTTCGGTCAAGAAGAGATCAGGCGTTCGGATACGACCGTATACGCGTACACTGTAAGGAGTATGTATACATTCACCGTGGCCGTATCGAAAAACGCGGCATCGCCCTCGTCCCGCTTTCCTCGCCTCTCCTCGTTGCTTGCTGCAATCATGCTGTCCGCCGGCCGCCTCTCGTCCATTCTCCTCCAGCTGACCCTGCTGTCCGCTGCCCAGGCTGGCATCAGTCCAAATGCCGCGGGGCTTGGCGATGCAGGTAGCCTTCTCCCGGGGTCAAGGTTCCCGCTCATCCCGAAAGACCTCGCCGCTCGCTCTCCACCAATCGAGCCGGCATTCGATCGTCGCCAGGCCGCGGGCGACGGCTGCGGCTCGACCGCCGGAAATACCTCCTGTGGCGCCGGCCTCTGCTGTTCTGCTGCTGTCCGTCCCAAATATGAACCAGACACTTTAAACCCCCAAATGAACACCGCCGGCTAATCAGCACTCGCTGCAGGGCCTCTGCGGCACCGGCCGCGATTTCTGCGACGCTCCGGACTGCCAGTTCGAATTCGGGCCCGCCTGCGACGCGAACGCGGTGCCGTCCGGGGCGAACACGACGTCGGTCCCGCGGCCCCGTTTCGGCAGCGTGCTGTACGGCGGCGGCGGTGTCACCGTGTGCAGCGAGCCAGGCACCATCGCCATCACGTACGACGACGGGCCGTACGTCTACACGTCGGAGCTGCTGGACGTGCTGAGCGCCAATGGCGTGCCCGCCACCTTCTTCGTCACGTCGGTCAACCTCCACAAGGGGGGCGTCGACAACGCGAGCACCGAGTGGCCCGGCATCCTGCTCCGCATGCGCGACGACGGCCACCAGATCGCCAGCCACACGTGGAGCCACCAGAACCTGAACGACATCACCAGCAGCCAGCGCTTCGATCAGATGGTCAAGGACGAGATGGCCTTCAGGAACGTGCTCGGGTATTTTCCCACCTACATGCGCCCGCCCTACAACACCTGCCTCCGCACCGCCGGCTGCGTCGATGACCTCGAGACGCTCGGGTACCACATTGTAAGTTTGCCGGGGGCCGCCACAGGCGACCCACAACCGCCCCCATGTCGTGGCAATACCGGGCATCTAATCAGCCGGCACAGATCAAATACAACGTCGACACCCTTGACTACCTCAACCTGACCCCGGACACGATCCAGAACTCCAAAGACATCTTCTCCGACGCCCTGGCCGGGGGCGACTCCAACTCGTCCGCCTTCATCGTCGGCAACCACGACATCCACCCGCAGACGGTGTCGAACCTGACGCAATTCATCATCGACGAGGGCAAGGCGCAGGGGTATACGTTCAAGACGGTGGGAGACTGTCTGGGCGACCCCGAGGGCAACTGGTACCGGGATCCCGCGACGGGAGAGGCGATTGGCAGCAGCAGCGGCAGCATCAGCAGCAGCAGTGCTGCCGCCAAGCGGGCGTCCAGGAATCCGGTCGCCTTCCTCGCGTAGAGTTTGAGCCGCTTCCGGAACGGCTGGGACCCAGCGGGGGCGCTTTCTGCCGCGCTTCTTCTGCAGCAGCGCCTGCATCTGCGGTTGCCGTTGCTGCCGAAAGGGGAAGTCCAGCCTGATTGCTGCCGGGGTGGGTTCACCGTTGGCTTCTTCGTCGGTTCTGCTTCTGCCGTCCTTCTATTCTGGGATGGGTTGGTGAAAGGGGAGGTGCTTGCGTGTGCAGTAGTCACGTCTTTTCTTGTCGGCTGGATTATTGTTTAATCAGTAGCGCTGTAGGGTAGAGAGGAGGGAGAAAGCCGATCCTGGGAGGCTGCTGCAGTAGCCTCGATATTCACCACCTCCCGCTCTCTCCTGCGTGAATCGTCTGTGCACGGTTATTGGACAGAAAATAGATGAGGTGATTTTTATTCCTGTTCACCGCCTCATGTTGGCACGTCAGCTTCTAGTGTATAAGCTAAAATCGGTGCGGGTTTTCCCCGGACGGAAGGCTGGTTTGACTTTTGCCGGGGATATTAAAAAGAGAGGGCGGTTAGGTAGACGAGCAGAAGAGAGGGGCGGGCCGGGGGTGGCTCGCTGCACTTGTCCCAAAGCGGTAATCTGCGGAGAAGTGATGGCGCCACCCGCGCGGGCGGCTCCTAACGCTGACCCCCAACGGGAACGAAGCCCAGCAAGAAAACGCCACCGGGAAAACGGTGGCTTGTGAAAACGGTTGCTTTTACGAACCCCAAGTGACTTGGCAAGACGTGCTCGCCGATGCACACACTGCACACGAGAATACATACCTATGAAGTTTGCCTGCCCAGATGGATCGCCGGCCGCTCATTTTCGTCGCATCTGGGCGTTTCCTGGCATATCGATGGCTAGTTGCCGGATTGGCGTCCCCGCAGTACTACCTACATACTACAATACGAGTTGCAGCCCACCCCGGCGGGCACGCCAACGCCGTTTGACTCCGGTCCGTCCTCCGCGCAGGCAAGCTGGGGTGCTGCTGGCGGTTCTGGCACAGGTATGGCGGCGGGAAGGTGCTCAATGGCGCACGGCAGCCATCCTTCGGTCCGCCGATCCTGTTGGCTGCCAGGGCCAGGGGCACGCCGACGGCCGGTCCAGCTGACTGCGGCGGGAATTTTCATTTCGTCCAATATGGATTTCCTTCGGGATCTGTGTAGTTTTTTTCTTCCCTTTTTTTTTTCTCCGCCAGACGCGTGCACCCTAGTTTTATCCGCGTGCGGAGATCTCGGGGAAGGGCCGGGCGCTAGGATAATGTCTCGAGGGTGGCGCAATATCCCGGATCTGCTGAGGCTCGCGTGCTGGGCCACCCCGGCCGCGGATTATCAGCCCTGTCGATGGCGCGTGGACGTCGTCGCTCTGATGGAGAGCAGGTGCAGAAAGTCGCGGCGGAGCGGAAGGCGGCCGACACGCAAGCTGCTGTGCTCGTCAGCCCAGCTGGCGGTCAAGTGTCTGCCTCCGCACGCACTCGCCTCTCGCGCGGTCCTCTCATGTGTTTTCCCGCTACCGTGGAGCGCGTGGCTAGCTCGGGAGGCGGGAGATGCAGCAGGTTTCAGGCGACTTGGCGATGGCTTGGCTGCAGGGCGGGTGCGTGTTTTCGTGTCGACCCAAGTGCTGGACGCCGCGGACCAGGGAAGGGACAGCTTACTTAACCGAGACACAAGCATCTGATGCCAAGCCACCACTCTCCTCCCGCCCCTGGACCACTCTCCCTTCTGCGACTCGGATGCAGCCTCCAGCCCTTCACTGATTACCACCCAAGGCTTTTCTCTTCTGACCTCCCGCTGCGGGGCATCTGCTCTTGGCCCACATGGTGTCCTCTGCGCCCTTTTGGGCCGCGTGCGGCTGCCATCTGCAGTCCACTGGCTGCGTTTCTCCACGAGCTATCCACCAAACGGTGACGGTTTCCTCCCAGCCGTGCCTGACGCGATCATCGGTTGCCGCAGGCCCGAGCCTTGCATCATGGTGTCCAGACTGCTCCTCGTCACGCCCGCCCTCTTCCATCATCCAGCACTCATGCCGCCGGGTATGGCCTGCCAGCACAGAGCTCAGCCTCCCTGGGCCTCAGCTGCTACCAGTTTCCGTAAAGGATCCAGAGCCCAACCCGAGAGCTGCATCGCACGCAATCGGCTCTAGCGGAAGGTGCTGCTGATGCTGCTGATGCTGATGCCGCTGCTTGTCTCCCCACAGTCACTTGCCCGCCTTTCGCCCCCTTCCTCCGGGGCGAGACCGGGGGGATCGGGCATGGGAGAGGGATGCTGATGCAACCGTGTTGGACGTGAGATCACGCCTTGGAAAGGCACGCACGCAGTTCTCGGCGCAGCAAGCAGAGGCCCAGATGCGGTTTCAGCTACTATATGCCCACCCAGACCGCGCTTTATAAAGGTCTGAGCCCGGTGCTGCTGTGAAGCAACGAGGAAGTGTGTTCGACTGATTGCGTCTCTCGCTGCATATCCCCGTGTCCAGCTGTGTGTCGGTGTCCTCCCTTGTCTTGTTCGTCCTCACTGGCACACCATCGTTTCTACTGTTGCTTCCCCTCCCCTCTGAAGGACCTACCTGTAAATATGCTCTCTTCACTCGCCACCCCTCCAACCCCAGCGATGCCGCCCCCCTGCGACGGCCTCATGCGAGACTCGACCACGGTGTGGACCTCACTGGGGCCATCAGCCGCCGACACGCCGCCGCCAGAGGAAGTGACCGAAGAGTTCTTCCACAACACCACCACGACGACGACGTCCTGCTCGACGACGACGCACGGCAGCCAGCTCGACCTCGACCTCAACCCCGTGTCGGACACGGAGACGCCAGTCGTGGCGGTCATCGGCGTCGGCTACGTCGGGCTGCACCTCGTCACGACCTTCGCGGCGGCGTCGTTCGCGGTGCTGGCCTACGACGTCAGCGCGAAGCGGCTGGCGGCGCTCGCGGCCGACGTCCTGACGCCGGACGCGTACCCGTCCGTCGCGCTGACGTCGACGCCGGCCGACCTCCGGCGCGCGACGCATTTCCTCGTGGCGGTGCCGACGACGCTGCTGCTGCCCGACAAGCGCGTCGACACGTCGTTTGTGCGCGCGGCGCTGGCGACGGTGGGGACGTATGCGCGGCCCGGCGCGACGGTCGTGGTCGAGAGCTCTGTCGGCGTGGGCATGACGAGGAGGCTGTTGGGGAACTTGATGAGGTCGCGGAACTTGAAGGCCGGCATGAGCCCTGAGGTGAGTACATACCTATCCAACCTTCTCTGCCGCCGCCGCCGCCGTAGGCATGTCACACACACAGTACACTAACATCCCCACCCCTCCCCCCAGCGCGTCGACCCAGGCCGACAATCGCCACCAGTATCGCACATCCCGAAGCTAATCTCCGGACTCGACGACATCACGCCCGGCTCACTCGCCTCGATCCACACACTCTACGCCGCCGCCTTCGGGCACGTCGTGGCTGTGTCGTCGCCCGAGGTGGCCGAGATGACGAAGCTGTACGAAAACTGCCAGCGCATGGTGAACATCGCGTACGCCAACGAGATGGCCGACGCGTGCGCGGGGCTGGGCATCGACGCGCACGAGGTGGCCGCCGCCGCCGCCACCAAGCCCTTCGGCTTCGCGCCCTACGCCCCCGGCTTGGGAGTCGGCGGCCACTGCATCCCCGTCAACCCGTACTACCTGCTCGAGAGCTGCGAGTTCCCGCTGCTGCGCCACGCGGCGGAGAAGATGTGGCGGAGGCCGGCGGAGGTGGGGGAGAGGGCGATGAGGGAGGTTTGTGGGAGGAAGGGCGAGGGCGAGGGCATTAAGGGCGCGTGGCCGGCGGCGGTGCTGGTGGTCGGGGTGGGGTTTAAGCCTGGGCAGAGCGTGTTGAGTTGCAGTCCGGGGATTGCGTTGATGAAGTATCTGCTGCAGGAGTGGGATGTGGAGGTGGTGTTTGCGGATCCGTTGGTCGGGGAGGAGCAGGTGCCGTTTGCGCCGAGATTGGATGTCGAGAGGGAGTGGAGTGTGGAGGGGCTGGGGAGGTTTGATTTGATCGTGGTGGCCATCAGGCAGCATGGGCTGGACTTTCGGGTGTTGGGGGAGTTGGGGGAGAACGTGATGGTAAAGTGGTGTTGTGCATGAGGGCAGTGCGTCGCATAGATAGATCTTCCTTTCTTTTGGAACATTTTCTGTCACGGCGCAAATATTTCCGCATCTGTCAAGCACATCCGGGCGAGAAGAAAAAAATTTCATTCACGGTCCGCACCAACCGACACTGCAACTACGAAGTGAAGCCTCCCTCGCCAGTCCCCCGACTCCCTCGCCCATACAACCCCTCATACCCAGCCCTCAGCAAACTCCCCTCCCCCTCCTTATCCGCCACCCCCGTCCAATAGAACAAGCCTCTCAACCCCCTCTCCCTCACATACCTCGCCTTCTCCGCCACCGTCCTCGGACAATCAAAACTCACCCACTCCCGCCCCCTGATCACACACGCCGCCCCCACCTCCTCCTCATCCACCACCACCCCCTCGGCGCCCTCCCCCGGCAACTCCCTATACTCGACGCACCCGCCCTCCCCGGTGCCGCCGCCCACCCCCTCAAACCCCTCCCCCGCCCCGCCCGCCCCCACAAACGCCCTCCCATACACCGGCACCCCCACACACACCTTCTCCCGCCCCACCCCGCGCCCGACGACGTACTCCACCGCCCCGTGCACCGACCTCCCCGCATACGCATCGCCCGCGTCTCTATGCGGCGACGCATACAACCGCGCATGATGCCCCGTCTTCGGCGTCCACCCGCCCGCGAAATCGTAGCACATGAGATTCACCCAGTCGCACACCTCCGCGACCTCGGCGAGCGGCACATGCCGCAGACACCACTCGCCAGCTGGCAGGGCGCAGGTGAGTAAGAGTCGGCGGGGTAACGCGGCGCGCAGGGCGCGGAGGAGCGCGAGGAAGTCTCGGCCGGCGGCGGGGGTGGACGGGTGTTCCCAGTCGAGGTCGAGGCCGTCGAGGGCGTGGGTGGAGAGGAAGGAGGCGATGGCGGTGGCGAGGGTGCGGCGGGCGGTGGGGGAGGCGGCGAGGCGCGGGAAGGGCGCGGAGCCGGAGCCGCCGCCGAGGGAGAGGAGGAGGGCGAGGTGCGGGTGGGTGGTGGAGCGGAGGTGGGCGAGGGAGGGGAGGCAGCCGTTGGGGGAGAGGGGATGGCCGGGGATGGGGTGGTGGAGGTCGGCGTGTTCGTCGAGGTGGTGGAGCGTGCCGTCTTCGTTTACTCTGTGGTGGGGGGTTGGCTTTTTTTTTTTTTGCGGCGCGGTGGGAGGGGTACGTTTGGGAGGGGTTGCGTTGCGTACCGCATGAATGCGTAGAAGACGTGCGAGATGATGTCCAGGTCCATGGACGAGGGCGGCTGGTTGCGGTAGATCTTCCAGCTGGGGTAGTAGGCGCCGTGGACGAAGGGCGGCTTCGTGGGTGCTGAGACGGAGCAGTCCGAGGGCGCCGAGGCCGGCGTCATGGTCGTCGTCGGGTTGACCGTCGGGCAAGGGGGACGCGCGTGGTGCTAGCTTTTCGCAAGTCTGGGTGGGAGAAGTAATGGATGCAGGTTTCGGAAGCGTGGGTTACGAATATGTGTCCGTATTAAGGTGCCTTCCTTGCCCAGCGGGGTTTGCGAGGCCGGGGGGGATGAGCGGGGTTCCACATATGCATGCATGCATGGCGGGAGCGATGCTGGGAACAGCCCTGGAAGAGTCCGGGAGTGATCAAAGTCGCATGCAAAAAGCACGCCCTGTCCGGCGCGGTGAAATGGTGGCGTTTTCAGCGGACGGGAGCACGCGAAGAGGCATATATGCAGATGTGACGTATTCCGGGCGCGCTTGTGCCTCCACCCTGCACCATCCCGAGAAACACGTCTGTGCCTCCCGTCACCTGCAACCTGGCCAACGGCTTCATTGCCTGACAGTCGATGGTCGGGCGGATTCTACACCATGTCAATCCTCGGCACACACCTAGCCACGCAAGTGTTCCTAGACTTGGTTCATATATTATCGCGACTACGCACCTTCAAATTGGCATTTCAAAAGGAATTAGGGCATACCATCTGCATCCGATGAGACTCCAACGCCAACCTATAGCCAAGTGCTCTGCCCTTGGGACTCGGACTTCCCTGCCACGAAACCCTCCCCGCCTGTGGCTTTACGTAAATCACTTGGTCCTTTGCTGAGACAAAAGTAAATGCAGCGTGACTACCGTGGTAAATCCTACCCCTGTATCACAAGACAATGGAGAAATCCGTCTGCGCCGCTGCCCGAGCATCTCCATAACGGATCATGGGCATCTGGCGCGGCAATTGTTTCGAGTGACTGACTTTTGGATCTCCTGCACGCTGAAAGACACGATCTGAACGAGAAGCCCGCGGGGTGTAACGAGGTACACTCCCAGCCACAAGCGAACATGGGTTGGGAGGATTCAGTTGTACGAGTGGCTGCTCTGTACATAAGGAAATACATGCATGTCTCTTGGTTCGAATCGGTTCAGCCTGATACGTCGCGCCGGGTGGGAATGGAGCGGCGCATAAGCACGAGAAGGCCTCTACATTACTCGACTGGCCTCAATAAGACCATGGGCCAGTCTAGTCTAGAGGTTCTGGCAACAAGCCATCTCTGTGCTTACCAAGCCCCGACGGTACTGATGGGCATCAATAATCCTCCTCATCTTCCTTTTTCACATACATCAAGTTATCCTCTTGACTTCCGCCATCCCGATCATCATCTCCAACTGGGCTTCTGCTGTACTCGGAGAAACTCCAGTACTCTCCATTATGACCATCCTCTTCTTTGATGACCTCATTTGAGTTCTCATCCTCTTCTTTAATGACCTCATTTGAGCTCTCATCCTCCCCGTACTGATCATCTCCCGTCGACTCTTCACCCTCCTGTTCATCCACCTCCTGGTCCATTTGGGCTACATTTGCTTCGCCAGCTGCACTGGACTCCTCTTGAGCTAGTTGCTCAAAGCTCTCGCCCCACTTCCTCTTTCGGCCATTGCTGCTGTTGATTCCGAGTAGTTCCTCTCTTTTGCGCCTCATATGACCAATGTGATGTTCCCGAACAGCTGATTCAGCAACCTCTGAATTGTACCACATGTCAATAATCTCGCGGAATTTCTGCTGTATTGGGGCACATGAGGAATGGTCTTCCGAGTCGCCCACAATCTTGTATTCCTTTGACGGTGTCATGACTTTCACAGCTCGAAGCTTCTGGACAAGCTCCTTCGGGCTCCACAAAGTTTTTCTTGCGGTTATCTTGTCCGGCCACAGTCCGAGTTTTCGTAGTTGGCTGAATAACGACCCGCAAACCATAGCGTTGCACGCTCGCCCGGCAGGCCCGCCCACCTGGCAAGTGGGCAAGACGTATTGATTCAGCACCTCGTAGACGTCTTCCAGGATACTGTCGAGAATCATATCTCGGACAAAATGTATGCTCTCTGCAGTTGGGCCAGTCAGTAGAGATGATACATGGCGGATGAGGTCGTCAAATACCTATGATACCCGGTGGAAAATGCCGTGGATTGACAATGAGATCTATCGTCTCCTCGTCACTTTTCAACATTGTCCCGTCAAGAAGGCCCCCATACTCCAGAACGAGTCTCTTCGTTCCAGTCTTGAAAGCTCGGTCTTGTCCGAATGCCCAGGCTACATAAAGCCATTCTTCATATCCAGATTGGTTGGCACGCTTTCTCCACTGCCTGAGCCACTTTTTCGTCCATGGAGGAACGAGCCTCGTGGCACCGTATTTCTCGGTTAGAACGGCGACTGCAACCAAGTCCCTGAAGCTGATGTCTTGAGGCACGCGGTCGAAGTTCTGGTGGGCAATGTTTAAGATGATCTGAAGTCCCCGCCAGTCATCGTCGGGAAGCGATATGAGGCATTTGTGCGACGCGTCTCCAGGATGCCCATCCGGGTTGAGCATGCGGTCCCATGAGTCGCAAAACGCGCTCACGGTTTTCCAGGAGACGACAAAAGTTTTCTCGTCGGCCTCGCCTTCATTCAATACGAGCCGCGTGTCGCCGTCTGGGTCGAAGTATGTGACGGTCGGCCCTCTCGCTTTGCTCTTACGCTTCGCCATGTGGACAGGCTTCCAATTGCGGCGAAGCTCGGCTTATCGGGGGAGAGGGGAAGGCTTTGGGGATCCTTCGCTGACGGCGTATGCACCTGGAACGTGTTTTCGGTTTGAGAGCGAGACACTTGCGGATGGTTGTGGGAGACCAGAGCACCCGTATGCGAGGGTCGATGATGCGGTGCGCAAGTGGGACGCGTCGGGCTGGAAAAGAAACAGCCAATTGTCCAGTGCGCGCGCCCACCCGCGCCTGCCAAGGTGGCACTCCCGTCCGTTTCCGCCGCGCCCAACACGGCATAGGTAGCCCCCTCTCTCAACGACAAGGGTGTAGATACAAAGAAGGCCGGCCGCCCTCCCCGCAACTTCACTCCGCTCCCTCGTTTCTTCGCCAGACTGCCATGCTCCGCCACGCTCCGCCCCGCTCCGCCGCCCCGTCGGCCTAATTCTCACGGTCCACCCTCGGCCCCGTCCACCTCCACCAACGAGCAAGGCCAAAAAAGATCGCCCCCTCACCATGAGCAAAAGAGATGTCTTTGGCAGCCGTGTGAAGCGTTAGCATTGACACCAGACGGACATATGTCCGAATTGGCTCTCATAGATTTCGGGCCACCTTCCGCAGAGGCCTGAGGCTGCCAAGCCTCGCCTGTGGAGGAGTTTGGGAAACAGAGAAGCTTAGTGGTGGAATGGTTGACGCCGTGGGGATCGAAGGTGATGCTATCGAATCATTTCGCATTGGAATTAGGGGACTAGATCTGCTCTCCAGCAGCACTCGGATAGCCGGCAGCTGCTTGCATCCTTCCTCCATCTTTGATTGCCTCTGTGATGCCTAAACCACCTGGCCCTCCTTTGAAGCATCAGCCTTGATCGGGCCCGTACGTTCAAACCCGTACGTGGACTGATCAAGATCGGGCCTCAGCATCTTTAATCCGTCACTGTGACTTTACGGGCATCTCGAGGACCTAAACAAGAATATATAAACCAAGAAATCACCACATATGTGTCACTTTTGAATGAACACAACATTAGACTCTTATCTTAGTCAATTGCAGGATTCGGAACAAGACTGGACGTACAGCTCAACGCAACTTATCCAATCATGGACCCTCGCAAATAATATTTATATAAGCACACGACTACTGCCACATATCATAAGAACTCGACCTGGACCTGAACTTACAAAACTCAACATTGGATTATTACTGGATGATGTTGGGTGTAGATGGAAATATTGCCCGGATACGCTCACGGAAATAATTATCAAGGGTCAAGCACAAGTACGACACATGCTGCAGTTTAAACTAGACCTGTTTTGACAGTCACTACATCCTACATACGTAGGCAGTTCAAGACTGCATCTAGGTGTGCCATGATTCTGAAGCCTATGCCCACCGCCGTCTTTGTTCCTCATCTCCTGGCCCAACATGTGCTCATCTTTGCACGGGCAGCTGAAGAAAAACACCATCTAGAGCCCATTCTGCGGGCAGGGCCTACAGGAATTCCTGCCTCTTCTCTGCGTCCCTTAGGTACGAAGACAGTGCGTTCCTTGTATCCGATATGTACTCCTCTGGATCCTCCAGCTTCGGCTCTCCGAGGTACTTGGACATCGAAGTCCTGATCGTACTCATGAAGCTTTCAGCGTCCTCCCTCCTCATCCGCTCGGCATCCACCTGGCCATGAGCCATCGCGATTTCCTGCTTCAACTCTGCATTCCTAGCCTTCAGGGCGGCATTCCTCTTCTTCAGGCGGAACGACTCGAACTCGACACCGCTGGGGATCTCACTGTTGGAGCAGACACTCCCCTCCTCTGAGCCCAGCTCCGGATCGAATCTCCTCTTCTTGTCAGGCCGGCTTTGGTTCAGGTTGCCCTCCCAGTTGTTGTTCACCCACATAAACTCCTCGGTAAAGGCGCCGCTTCTGGCCTCACCAGCTCTCTGCACATCGCTGGGGAGCTGCGGCGGAGCACCGTACGAAGCAGTTGCTGAAGTCGTCGCGCTTGTCGCTTGGCCGTTCATCTTCGCTGTGGCGTATTCAACATCCGTGCACGCAACCCACTCGCCGCCGGTCTTCATCTTGCGGGACAACGACCTCCGAACAGCGACGGCCGTGGCCATGTGATCCAGCGCCTCCTCTCGCTTCTCTGAATCGCTGCCGACAGCCTGCGCGAGCTCTGACAGTGCGGCGACCACGCCCGGCGGCCATTTATGCAGCTTGTCGGAGCTCATGTACTCGGGAGGGTAAGGGAGCTCGGCGGGAAGCCATGTCTGGACGTCCTCGCCCCACTGCTTCGTGATGACGGCTTTCAGGTCCCCGAGATACTGCTGTAGCTCGTCGGGGGGCGTGACGGAGCCGTCACTTTCGGGCGGCGTGCTCTCGCGCCTGCGCTTGCTGCCGCGGTGCGTCTTCAGAAAGTTGCTGACGCTGCGTTGCCAGCTCTTGGCGGAGTAAGGCAGGCGGTTGTTTACGCCGGGCTTTGAGTGTTCTGTTAGCAGTATCATTGGCGGTTCACGTTTGTGGTGGGAATGTCTAAACCGACCGGAGGACAGGAAGACGAGGAAGTGGCTGGACGCGGTGGGGACGCGTTAGCATGCGCGGGCTCATCTTCGTCGTTGGACATGACGATGAGAGAATGCGGCTCTTTGTCCGGTACGCGCGGGGCGTTTGGCGCAGTTGAGCTCATGCAAGTGGTGAGATTGCGCAGCGGGTGAGATTGCGTAGGGAAGAATGATGGGCAAAGAATGGCGGGCGGAAGTGTGTTGTTGTTTTGTTGTTTACACAACGGCGGATGACGCGGATGACGGAGGAGCACGCGCGGGCCGGGATCAGCGCGGGGCTGTTTGCGGGACCACAAAGAACTCCCCCGAACAATACCCCCATCGCCCTCGAGCCTCCGCCGCTCCGCATCGCCACCTGCGCCCGCCAACATGCCTTTCTACGCTGAGTCCGACGAGTGGAACGATGTCGAGCCGATCCCGCTGGACGAGGGCGGCCCCAACGCCCTCGCTGCCATCACCTACTCGGACGACTATGACGAGGCCATGGGCTACCTGCGCGCCGTCATGGCCAAAAACGAGATGAGCGACCGTGCCATGGCTTTGACCGAGGATATCATCCAGTCCAACCCGGCGCACTACACCGTCTGGTGCGTCCTCTCCCCCGCTCCGCAAGAAAACCCACCGCCCTGAAAGCTGACTCTCCCCACCTGCACAGGCTCTACCGCGCGAAGATCGTCCTCACCCTCGGCAAAGACCTCCGCGAAGAGCTCGCCTGGCTCAATGCTGCGGCGCTGCGCAACCTCAAGAACTACCAGATCTGGCACCACCGCCAGACCATCGTCGACGCGTTGGGCGACGCGGCGGGAGAGCAGGACTTCATCGCGCGGATGCTGACCAAGGACTCCAAGAATTACCACGTCTGGAGCTACCGCCAGTGGCTGGTGCGCCGCTTCGGCCTGTGGGAGGCCGGCGAGCTCGAGGCCGTCGAGGCCCTGGTGCGCGAGGACGTGCGGAACAACTCGGCCTGGAACCACCGCTGGTTCGTCGTTTTCGGCGGCAACCCAGACGGCTTCTCACAAAAGAAGTTATTGGACAGGGAGATAGAGTGCGTTTTCCAGAGACTACTTCACGAAACGGGAGGTGTAATGAACGCTGACTTTTTGTCTTTCCAGTTACGCCAAAGCCGCCGTGAAGCTTGCGCCGCAGAACCAGAGCCCGTGGAGCTACCTCCGCGGTATTGCACGCCACGCAAAGTTGCCGCTCTCGACATTCAAGGAATTTGCGCAGCAGTACGCGTCGGTTGAGAAGCCCGACGAGGTGAGCTCTAGCCATGCACTCGATTTGCTCGCCGATGTCTATTCCGAGGAGAGCAGCAAGGAGAAGGCCGCGGAGGCTTTGGATCTACTGGCTAGACGCTACGACCCGATCCGCGAGAACTACTGGAACTATAGGAAGTCGCTCTTGGAGCAGCCCGAGGTTGTTGCGTGAGTAAAGTGGCAGCTGCTGAACAGCTCCTTGTATGATACCCCTCCTGGACAAAACAGGAATTGCAAAACAGTTCGAATGTAGTTCTAATGAATCCTGAGACTCGTCGCCTCGAAAAGATTGTATTTGTAACCTTACTCTATTCTTCCCGGGAAATCAAATCTAACGCCTGTTTACCTAAGAATTTGCGTCGAGCTGTCCTGTATCTATCCCTTTGACCTGAGCAACTTTCCCTACCTGCGCCCCGGCGCAGTCGACTCGCTAGGCACATCCGCATTGCGCGGGATCTCCTTCTCCACATCTCCATACTCCTTCCGCCACTGGTGCAGCTTCTCAACCGTAACATCGTTCCCACCACACAACACGATGACCACCTTGCTCTCCTTCGTCAACTTCTTCCCCACCGCCTTCTCCAGCCTTCCATCGTAGCACAGCGCAACATTCACTCCACAAGCCAACTCCACCATCAACCTCTCATCGTCCGCCAACCGCCAACACCCCATGGCCGCCTCCCGATCATCCAACACCACGCTCCTCACATTCCGCCACTCCTCCCTCGCCAACCGAAACGTCTCCTCGCTCACCCTCCTCGCCCCCAGACTCCTCGCCTCACTCCCAATCTCCTCCAACGCCACCAACTCGCCCGCCTCCAACGCCTTCGCCAAACTATCCGTCCCCCTCGTCTCCATAGCCAACACGCTGCACCCCCCCGACCACCCCACCGCATCCAACGCGCCACACACGCCATTCAGCAGCCCCCCGCCGCCGACGGAGCACACGACGGCGTCGGGCGGCGCGCGGCCCTCGCCGCGCTCGGCCAGCTGCGCCGCGACTTCGTGCACCACGCTGCCGTTGCCCGCCCAGATGTCCGGGTGGTCGAACGGCGGGACGTACACGCCGTGCGGGTCGCGGGGCAGGAGCTGCGTGCGCAGGTGCTCGCCCGCCGCCGCGAGGTCGTGCCCGTGGACGATGACGTCGTGGGCGCCCGCCGCGCGGAGCTTGGCGAGCATGTGCGGGGAGGTGGTCGTGGGGCAGACGACGGTGGCGGGGCGGTTGAGCGTCACGGCGGCGGTGACGCAGCTGGGTTTGGTTAGTTGGTTGGTTGGGTGGCGTTGTTTGGTTGAGGGGGGGAGAATGGAAAAAGATGGGCAAAAGAGAAAGGGGAAAAAAAAAAAGGGAGCTTACGCTAATCCCGCATTGCCTCCGGACGAGGCGTAGAAGTGTACCTTGTCGGGCTGAGGGTGCTCCGACAGCCGGCATAGGAGATAGTGCCCGATGCCGCGTGACTTGAAGGATCCGCTAGGCTGGAGGAGCTCCAGCTTGAGGAATACTCTGCTTCTGCGATTTAGTACCCGTATCTGAGACTATTTAGGGAGTTCCTCTTGGCCTTTGTCTTGGGTGGGGGATGAGAATTGGGAATGGGGAAGGAGCGGGGCATTCTTATGGAGGTGTTGTAGTGTTGGAGGGCAGATGAGGTTCGTATGAAGACGAGATGCTTGACAGGAAAGGTGGATGGTGAGGCGATAGTATCGTATAAAGGCCAAGAGAAAGGAGCATTTTGACCGTACCAGCCCGCCGCGCGCGAAAGCGCGGTTGACTCCATGAGTGGAGTGAGGTTCCAAGGTTTGGCAGAGGGCGTGAGGCACACGGTAGGGGGAGAGGCAGAGGAGTGCGCCGTGGCACACTCGGTAAGTGCGATGGATCTCATCTTATTGAAGCTTCGGTGGTGGATACGTTCTTGGTGGTGTTTGAAGAGTCGGAGATAGAAGTAATGACAACAAAAGCCGTTGATGAGACCTTCGTTGGTACCTTGGTGATCGAAGAAGCTGAGGGCTTTCGAATGGTGAGTGCGAGGACGGGCAGAGACAGTTGTGTGCAAGGAAGCTGACAGTTTTCGCTAGGAGAAGAAGTTGTTCTGATTTGATAGAGAATTTGAAGTCCCTGAACAGAGAAGTAAGGGTGGGATGAGGGATAGAAAGGAAACAAAAATGAGGGAAAAGTGCTCAATATATATGCCCTGCCCAGGTGACACGCCTTCTTCTCACCTCGCCCAACGCGCCCTTTGACAGACAACGCACCCATGAAACTATGTCTAAGAGCTAAACACCAACTGCTTAGTCTCGAGAAGCTCGATCCTCGTTCTGCCGCTCACTCCCCACCCATGTCGTCGGAACTCGGGAACGGCTTGGGACCATTTTCTGACTCGACCGAGCAATGCCGGGGGTAGCCGCTTATCTGCCAGCCCACCCCCTTCCCTCGCCCGCAGCCAACCAACCGGTCGAATGACATAACGCAAACTCCCATTTTCCCACACGGTACACACTGCTCACCCCGTCACAGTCCAAATGGAGCAATCAAATCCACCCCAATGGTCATCATCCCAATCCGAGTCCAGACCGCACGCCCAGATTGCGGGGTAGATTGCGAATACTAGACGGAGCTTGGGGACCCAGGCTGCCGGAATGCGGTAATAAGATGCGACCTCCAGAGGGTATTTGTCGTCACACCGCGTCAGTATGGGTTGATGATGGGATCCTCCCTCAACGCAGGGGCATTTCAGTCCCAGCAGAGGAACGAATCCCCCACAGACCCATAGTTCCCTGGCGCTCTTCCATCTCTTCCTACTTGTTTTCGTGAGACATCTCGCCCAGGATGCTCTGAATGCATGTGAAAAGCATCGTTCGCACCGGGACGCCTGCCGAATAATATTAACACCATCAACACCCGCTTCCCCACCGCCAGGTTCCGCTTCGCCGACAGCAGGCGATAAGCTTCCCAGCAAGACGCGGGAAACGACGATATCTGTACGGAAACGACCCTGGATGTTCAACAGAAACGGGAAGAAACGCGACCGCGTTGGTGTCATCCCGAAAAGATGTCGGGCAGCATCCCGATAACCAACGATGATGACTGTAGGCGATACGGAAAGCATGGAAACAGCCCAAGGATGATCTGATCAGCCCGGGAAAAAGCTCGAGATAAGGAAAGCGATACGGAGTACGTGAATCGCGAAAATGGCGGCTCATTCGTGCGCGCTCGTTCGCCCTTACGTCGGTCCGGATCGCATCGCTTCGTCCGCGTGGTGGCCTTAGAAGAGACTCAGAGGTGGAGCAGGCTGACGTAGGCGCGACATCTGTTGTTATCGTCCATGTGCGCACGAATCAGCAGGGTATGCCGAGAGCCTGCGAAGCAGTTGAGGTCTGGATTAGCTCTAATCTTTTCCACCGTGACGGGATCGCCGTTTCGGGAGGCTTTGGGCGCATGCAAGGATCGCACATCGAAGCAGGCGAAACTGCGGGGTGCGGTATCCTGTCACAATACCCGACGGTAGGTTGCGGAGGTTGAACAACAAGCGTGAGAATATATTGTGGTCCTGCGTCTGCATTGAAAAAAGGGCGATGACGATGTGCGGAACCTTGTCTTGGGTTTATGAAACGTATCCACATGCATCTCTCCAGTTTTCTCTGTTACAGATCGCCCTGTGTGTAGTTACACACGCGCACTCCTCAGTTGCCGAATTTGGACGATGAAATTAGTTGTATATTCGTTGTGATCACCACGTGTCTGCTGCGGAATGCGGATTGCGTAACGGTGGAAACCGGGCTCCTCAGCTTCCCCGCAGTGTCTGCTATCCAATCAATGGTAGAAACCCCCAAACGCCCGGCAGACAGCCTAAGAATGCGCCGTCTTTCAGCTTTAGATTTTCCGAACATGCGCCACCCAAAACACCAAGTCGCGCAGCAAGAGACAATCATCTACGTCAAAGGAAAACAATGGAACCGAGCGCACCCGGGCAGGGGAGAGGGAAGCCGACTGATCGAGGACGTCGCGTGTTCTGAGCGTCAACTGGGTGGGCTTTCCGTCGGCTGGCCGATGCGTACGCGACGCATGTGTTTCAACCCCCTATAGTCGGCCGCGTCATCTGGGCGCTACTGAAATTGCTCGACACAGGTGCTGGTTGAGGCGTTGAGGCTCCCAAAATAGCCCACATGGTGCCGTCCGGAATAGGCCAGATCGAGGAACCCGACGTTGTAAAACATTGCCGAGGGTAATGTGCGAAAGTGGAAAATAGCAAATATCGTCCCGTCCGGATTTGTTTAGCTGTTGTACCACGGACTATCCTCATACGACTCGAGAAGGAGGTATGTCTCGTAGGGCATTCCACGGGGCACCAACTTCTTCTCCGTCTTCTCCGTCTTCTCCGTCTTCTCCGTCTTCTCCGAGGTCGACCTCTTGTCGTCATCGGGGTTCTTGGTTGGTTTCTTGCCCTTCGCCTTGTCCTTTGAAGATTTGTCCTCGTCGAGCTTGACATCGACCTTCTCCTTCTCCTTCTGTTTCTTCTTTTCGGCTTCGGTCTGCAATTTCAGCTCCTCGTCGGACATGTAGTAATCGGGCTCGAAAGACACCTCCCGCCAAGCCCAGAAGAGCTTACGCCAGTAGCAAGCCTGGGCAGCCGGGGTCAAATAACGATCACGGAAATCCTTGATGTTGTTGTCAGCGATACGCTTGGCCTCGTCCTGGTGCTGCAGGTAGTATTCCATCTTCCAGTGCATATCGGAGAAATCACGCTCAACCTGGATGAAGTTCTGATCCGGACCAGACGGAACCAGAGCGTTGTGGAAGTTCTCAACCCAGTGGAGCTTGTGGATGACGGTAAGCGAGTGGCAGTTGAGCAGGTACTTGAGGCGGCCGGAGTACGTGTGGCCCTCGGTGTGGACCGGGAACATGTACTTGCAATGCTTCGACATGGGAATGAGGTTCTTGGGCTCGCCTTCGCCACCCCACACAATCTCCTCGATGTCGGCCCATTCCTTGCCCTTGGAAACCTTGAGCAAGTCGGAGCGGACCTGGACGTGGCCGGCAGGAGCCTTGGCACCTCTCCAGATGGCACGGGGGTCCTTCTGCTCGAAGGGCATCTCGTCGCGCGCAATGGATCTGAGCAGAGCGCTGTATTCGCCAGCCGGGCCTTCCCAGCTGTAGAAACCAAAGTCGGGCATCAGCCACAAGTTGTTGTCTTGAGGCTCGCGAGTCAGTGCCCACGTAGTTGCTGACGTTTCATTGTTGTAGACGGCGAAGTAGGCACCGTCATCGACAACGAAGGAAAACTCAATGTTGGGAATGTCTCCGGGGTAGGCGGTGATGGCGCGTTGGATGGACTGGAGAACGGCGAGGGTACGCTGGCGGTAGTCCCGGCGACGGGCACCACGAGCGTTGAGAATGAAGAGCTGCAAGGGAAGGGTCAGCCACGCGTCACGCCGCAACCGGGAGCCATTAGAATCATACCTGGCGGTCATAGATCATGGCACGGACGATGCCATCGATCTTCCAGCCGATCTTAACCTCGTCGGGGGTGATGTTGCCGACTTTCTTGCGGTGGGCGACGGCGCGGTCGATTTCAGCCCACAGCTTGGGGAAGGCGGCATCGCATTGCTCGGGCGAGAGGCCGAAGTTCTTCGCATCGCGCTTCGCCTCGAATTCCCAGCCGTCGGCGGGGCCGGGCTGCGAGAGGGTGGGAGCGCCGGCGCCGGAGCTGGTCTTGCCGGGCGAGTAGTTGAAGGGCACGGTGTCGGCGGAGCCCGAGTTGTAGGTGGTGTAACCAAGCAGCAGGAAGATAAAGAGCGTGAGGCCAACGAGGCCGGCGGCCCGCTGGTTGGAGAGGAGGGCCATCATGCGGAGGGTGGAACGGGGGGGGGGAGAGAGACGCAGTGCTCGGGAGCGCGGCGGGCTTGGGGCGGGAGTGGGTATGTATAAGTGATGCTGTGTCGCGGCTGGCAGGGGAAGCCTCACATCAGCACTGGCGCGCCGCACACGAGCGCCCGGGCGCTGGAAATTGGCCCTGGGGCGCGGCCCTACCAATGTCGCGGCGCATATTTTACACGCTTGACCGCGAACAGCTGCGTGAGCCGCGTCAACGGGCGCAACCGCTTGCGACGCCGCGGCACGCTCTGCCCGCCCGCGCTCCCAGCACTCGCCCCGCCCCAGCCCGCTGCGTGTCCTGCGGAGAGCATGCGCGCGCTGGCAGCGGACCTCAGGGGGGTGCCGGCGAGGTGTTGGGCGGCTGGCAGGGCCGTATCTAGGGCGGTGGCTGCAGCGGCTGAGCTCTCTCACTGGCGGGGCCCGCGGCGTCGCATGTCAGCGTGTTGCGCACGCCTTGGCGTCGCTGGCACCTCGCGAAAAGGGGTCCGTCGCCACTGACAGACAGCCACTGGCAGACAGCAGCAGCGGACGACGGGCGGCGCTTCCGGCGGAGCTCAACGTGTGCTTCAGCAACGGCCGAATTCCGACTCGGCAGCCAGCGCGCGGTGGAGCATGGAGCGTGCCTCAGGTCGCGGTGCAGATCTGGCTCGCCTGAACCCAGCGGGCAGCTTGAGCAGGACGGGCGTTGCTTGGCCTCAACTGTAAAAAGGATACCACGGTAATACGAGCTCAGCTCTCCGCCTGCGCCTCCTGTTGGCCCACAGCCCCAGCATCCTTCGTGCCTCCGCCACCCCCCAAGCCCACAGGATGGAAGCGCAGCTCGCGACAGCCGGGGTCTTATCGCGGCTTGCCAGCGAGCCCCTTCCCCACGTTTGCCGTGTTGCCAGTGCGAGTCGCGAGCCGGGCGTGGGAGGCCAGCGGAGCGTCCCTGCAGATCTGCCTCGCATGATCCCTGTCGTCTGGTCCACGGGCTCGTCAAGACTTTGCACTGAAACCCTCCGCTCTTGGCGTTCTCCGGAATTCCGTCTCTGTTGCACCGCTCCACGCGTACGCTGCTCCAGCCTGAGCCCCGCCAGCTGCGATCCGGCCGGGCGCTCCGGGCTGTGGCCTGATTTCGGGGACAAGCATCGGAGCTTATCGAGCATCAAGGCGTCCGAGAAACGCGCTCACCCCCCGAGCGGATGCATGCGGACGGAGGCACGCCAGAATGGAAGGCGACTAGGCCTGAAGAATGATGTGCATTCTCGGCGCCATTGGCTCGCCAACCTCCTTTATTTTCCCCAGCAAAGCTTAAACGCTCTACAAGAGTAACGCACTGCCGGTGAGCTAGTGTTTCCTCTGTCGCGTCGACTGACATGCGAAACCTGAGCTGAACCTTATAGGCTGATGGCAGCAGATCTGACACACGCGTCAGAGGAGATTGTGTCGACGCTGCGTGCGGGCCAGCCAGGCAGCCGCGTGGTCCGTAGCGATCAGCCCGAGTCAGACTGGCCGCTTGGAAGGTGCGCGACTGACGCAGACGACTGCCCCCACCACGGCACCATCAACCAAGTCCAACACCAACCCTGGCCACCACCGGTGGACGACTCGATGCGGCTGCGCTGGAGCCTGGTCTGCATGGTGCCGGCAATGGATCGAGCGACTCGCAGATGAGTAAGCACTGCGGTGGCCGTGAGCACAGAGACGTCATGCGGGGACGCTGTATCGCCCCACCGACTATACCACGCCCTGTGGGTGACCTGGATGACCAACCAACGCCGCCACCAATTATCCGGCAAAAGCGCATGCACTATTTATTGCCGCACCTCCTCCGGCCTCCATCTGTCGCATCTCCGTCGATCACATACCCACCATGGCTCCTTTGATCCTATTCGACCTGCCCACCAAGGGCCACCGCGTCTGCTGGTCGCTGAACCCGTGGAAGAGTGAGTCACTCCGCCAAGCATCGAGTGCTAAGCTCTGACACAAGCTCTCCCCAGCCCGCATGGCCCTCAACTACAAGAACATCGAGTACGAGACGGAGTGGCTCGAATACCCAGACGTCGCCCCGACGCTGAAGGCGAAGGGCCTGCCGCCCAATGAGGGTGACCCCAACACGGTCATCCCATACACCATCCCAACCGTTCAATTCCCCGACGGCACGTACGTCATGGATAGCCTCGAGATCGCCCGCGAGCTGGAGAAACGCTATGCCAACGTCGGGCCCTCGCTGCGGCTGGATGCCCCGGTCGTCGCCCAGGTAATCGACGCCATTCCCAAGGTCATGAAGCCGCTGGCCGGCGCGCTGCTGCCGCGCTGTCCGCGAGTCTTGCTATCCGAGAAGAGCGCGGCCTACTTCTACGAGACGCGCAAGGAGCGCTTTGGCATGTCGCTCGACCAGTATGAGGCCGAAAAGGGCGGCGAGCCGGCGTGGGCGGACGCGAAGCAGCCGATTGAGAACCTCGCCGCTCTCTTGAAGCAGACGACGGACGGACCTTACTTCCTGGGCAATGAAGGTGAGTCAAAGCCGCCACGGAACTCCGGGCTCGTATGTTTTGCCCGATCGTATTGCTGACAAGAGCAGTGTCGTACGCGGACTTCATTGTGGCTTCGTTACTCCGCTGGGTGAAGTTGCTTGGTCTCGAGTTGTACGACCGTTTTGTCGCTCATGACAAGGCGTTGGATGATCTCTACAAGGCCTGTGCCAAGTGGCTTGAGCGGGACGATCACTGAAAAAAGGTGCTAATATCGGCACGGATGGCAGCCGTTTAGGAATTTGATTAGGCCACCCACCCATTGCGTCCGTATTCCATAGGGCTGATCACTCACTCACATGCACCTGACAGCTTGCCAATGAATATCAGGAAGAGAATTTAAAACCCGATGTCGGCAATTTCTGGCTCGGACTTTCAATTGTACACCACTGGGTGGAAACACTATCCACCCATCTCATCTCCACCGAGTCCCCACAATCACAACTTGCTCAACCTCACCGGGAACCCGTCTCTGTCCATCCTGACAAGATAGTCGCTCGTGATGTCCTTCACGCTCACCGTCCCCGCCAAGCCCATGCACAACTTCACCTCGTCCCTCAGCAACCTCAAGCACAGCTCCACCCCCTCCTGGCCCTTGTACGCCAGCCCCCACAGCACTGGCCTGCCAATCCAGCAAAAGTCTGCGCCCAGTGCCAGCGCCTTAAACACATCAGTACCATGCCTGATGCCGCCATCAACATGCACCGGAATCCTCCCCTTCACCGCCGCCACCACCTCGGGCAAGGCGTCCAGCGTCGCCAACGCACCATCAAGCTGCCTCCCGCCATGATTGCTCACCACAATGCCATCAACACCATACTGCACCGCGAGTAGCGCGTCCTCCGCCGTCGCCACGCCCTTGACCCACACCTGCATCTCCGGCCCGCAGCGCTCCTTCAACCACTCGACGTCGCCCGCCCACGTGAGCGTCGGGTTCGCCGCATGCGTATGAAACCTCACCGGCCCGCTCGGCCTCACCCTCCGCCCGCTCCCCTCATCCCAATACCCAGCCACGCTCTCTTCCTCTTCCCCGCCAGCAGCATCAGCATCAGCATCGCCCGCAGCAAAGTTCATGATGCCCAGATGCGCCGGCAAGCGGAACCCATTCCGCACGTCGCCGTTCCGGCGCCCCAGCGCGGGCGTGTCGACGGTCAGGAACACGGCCGCGAAGCCCGCGCGCCGCGCCCGCTCGATCAGCCGCTCGCTCTCCGCCCTCTCCTCGAACAGGTACAGCTGCAGCACCAGCGGTATGCACGCCCCCCGCCCCAGCGCCGCGCACTCGTCTCGCGCCGCCCGCGCCACGTCTTCCAGCGACGTCGTCGCGAAGGACGACAGGCCCATGGCGACGCCCGCCCGCGCGCAGGCGCGCGCGGTGGCGATTTCGCCGAGGGGGTGCGCGAGGCGCTGCATCGCGGTTGGGGCGACGCCGAGGGGGATGGCGTTGCGGAAGGGGGGTGTTGTTGTTGTTGTGGCGGTGCTGGTGCTGGTGGTGGGGGATGGTGGTGCGAGGACGGGGCAGGTTGTGTCGATGCGGGAGATGTCGCGCAGGACGCGCGGGCGGATGCGGTACTTGGTGTAGGCGGTGACGTTTTCGCGGAGGGTGGAGTTGGAGTCGGCGCCCTGTTGTTTTTTTTTAGATGTTTCTGTGTGAGTGGTGCGTCATGTTTGCTTTAAGGGGGGTGGGCGAGGTGTGCGAGAAGGAGAGGTAGGTGTGTAAGTGGGGAGCTGGTGGAGGTAGGGGTAGGAGGTGGATTCGGGGTGCGATGTGGAATCGCTTACCTCGTTGTAGTAGTCCCTCGTCTGCTTGTCCATCTTGTCTCTCGCGATGGCCTCGAGATCGTTGATGTTGAGACAGTTGGGATCATGCTCGATCGGCTTATTGGGCGCCATGACGACGAGTTACTCTGCTCTGGACCGGGGAGATGTATTCCTCAAGTCTGTTCGGTAGTCAGGAGGTAACACTCAAGCAAGTCGAGGGGAAGAGATAGGCAGCGAAGATCAAAAGGTTCGAGGTACACACGAAGGGGGACAAGACCCACCTCTTGCGACATGCAGAACCAACACCTCGGCCGGGAGAACACAAGCAACAGTACGAATGTGATTACCTAGCAGGGAGCACGACCTTTTCCAAGAAGAGAGAGAGAGCGTCCTCCAGCTTTTAGCTCCACCGACGAATCCCTAGATCCGGGGATGGCACACCGATTTCGGTGACGAATGATGCCGAGTTAGGGAGCAGTAGTCAGGGATCCGGACTGATGCAATTGCACAAGACCCACTCAAACCGAGGGAAGGAAGAGCAGAGAGCCGGGTCCTCGGTCCATATTTGATAGCAACGACCCTTCCCAAGCATGATTGCTGAGGACAAGTGATGACGCATCACAGTAGTTCCGGACTGATGGAAGGAAGCTTTGGTCTCCAATAGTCGGCGGCGTCGGTCGATCAAGGCCGGCCCCCGAGTTGCGGAGAACGGGCGCCCCAATCTTCGCTGCTCATTATCCCGAATCATCGCCGATATCGTCGTCTTCGCTATCAAAGTGTACGCCGAGACTACTGCAGTTGCGGGAGGAAAAGAAAGAGACGAAAAACAAAGGAGTATCAGGGGCCGAGAGAAGGCTGAACGTGATGGAATAAACGTTAATGAAATGATATCTCTATGCTAATTACCCCGCTCACAGGACCTTATAACGCCGGTGGAAGATGCTGTCCCACTGTAGACCAAACGCAACTGTACGTCCTCCGTGACTACGTGCTCTCTTTCGTCCTCGGCTTCCGCTCCCATCCCGTCTTAAAAAGCCTGCCTGGCTCGAATTTGGGCAGCGGGTGGGCTTCGGTGTTGAGCACCATATCGGTGAGGGGGAGGACGTCGTCCGGACCGAAGAGTAGGTAGAGGTACTTGAGCGTCTCGGCGAGCCAGAAGCTCTCCATGTTGTCGCGGGCCGGCGGCGAGAGATTGGTCACGTCGTTGATCGAAGTGAAGCCGGAGCCGTCCTCAACCAACGTGTACTTGACGAAGGACTGGAACATCTCCCAGCCCCACTCGCGATACTTGATGTCACCCGTGATGCGCCACATGTAAAACAGTGATTCCACCGTCTCGGGCCGCTGCAGGTTGTGCGTGTCCGCCGGCTTGATGTCGTAGTCCGACTTCCAGTCGCCCTCGTTGCTTTCATCCAGCTCCGCTGGGCTCGTCACCTTGTCGGCCCAGCTTTCCCACATACGCGGCGGGTCGTCCACCTTGAAGTAGGTGATCTCGGGAGCCAAGCCGGTGGCAGTGACCTTGTACATACCCCAGCACGTCTTCATCAGCTCCCTTGCTAACTCCATGTCGTCCTCCTGCTGCTTCCCCCACGAAGGGCTCTGGCGGGCCTCGGCCAACGTCTTACCCTCCGTCGCACCCAGCGCAATAGTACCCGGCAAGAAGCACACCAGATGGTCGATCTTGGGCGAGAGATTGCCGTCAAGGCCGCTCGGCCGCTCGCCGAGGATAGTCAGGTTCGCCGAAGACGAGTACGTGATGAGATGCTTTCGCATGCCATACACGGTCTCGTCCCACATCTCCTTGTAAATGGGCTCTTGCTTAGAAGTCTGCAAATACTGCTTGATGAGATATTCATAGTAAGAGTCGCCGCGGCTGCCGAGGCGAATGTTGGATCCTTGGAAGGTGCCGCGGTCGGGGTGGATGAAGATCGGGACGAGACCGTCCTTGGGTTCCTGATCGTCGACGACCTTCATAATCTTCTCCGCTTTCTCCCAGTAGTGCGCCTCGCCAGTCAGCTTCGCGACGTACTTCATCTCAAGCTGGAGACTCGTCGCTTCGGCAGTTGACGAAGCACCGCCGTCAGCATGCGAGCGGATGCCCTGGCCAGTCTTGAGATTGATGCTAGCGAAAGGAATGCCGGAGTGGGATTCGTAGGCTCCCAGAAGACGGTCCGCAAGGTCAGCGGCCTTCTCCTGGAACAGGTCCTCCTCGCCCTCCTTCATAGAAATCGGCGCATAGTGTGGGAACTCGGTGCTCAGGTAGTGAGCGGAGAGCAAACCGCCCAGCATGCGGATCGTCGTCTCGAAAGTGTTCACATCGTGGTCCTTTTCGTAGTCCAGAGACGTCGAAACCCACTCGCGAGCGTGGATCAACTGGGTGGTCAGATTCATGAGAATGAGCGTGTCAAGCGCATCCACGATGATCCAGCCCATTCCCCCGGGCACCATCTGGCGGCCCTTCTTCGAGACGGGGTGAAACTCGTCATAGCCTAGCGCGCGGGTCATAAGTCAGTCACATCTGGCTCGGGCTAGCGGGAAAGAGGGCGAGTATGTCTCTTCGCCAAAAAAAAAAAAAAAAAAGGTCCCGCGCAGTCGCGACGTACCCCAGGCGTACTTCTCATACGCATCCCAGCTCAGCTTGAACGCGTCCCGCACCCGATCGCGCCGATCGTCCCAGTCGACGGCGGCTGCCGACTTCCCCGACGTCAGGCTGCCGAAGAATCCAGAGCCGCCGACTCCCTTGTTGTCCTCAGAGCCGGAAAACAGGCCAAACCAATACAGGAACACGAAGAGGGCGAAGACACCGATGATGAGCGAGCGCCGGCGGCGGAACCAGCCTCGACGGGCAGAGCCGCCATAGTTGTAGGGCTTGTCCTTGTACAGCGGGAGCTCCTTGCCGTCGCCGAACATGCCGCCCAGACGGTCGGTCATGGTGGCGGCGGCAGCGCTGGCCACGCCGGGGTTGCCGCTGCTGCTGCTGCTGGTCGCGAAGACGCCATTGTTGTCTGCGGCGGGCGAGGGCGGGAAGCGCGAGCGACCGGAGCTGGGCCAGGCCGAGTCCTCGAGGCGGCGCTGGGGGCCGTCGAAGGCGGGGACGTTGCGCGGGACGGCGAAGGCCATGGCGTCGGTCGCGGTCTGGTGGACGGAGTGCCACTGGTCGCTGGCGGCGACGTCCTCGAGGGCCTGGCGGCCGGATTCCAGGGCCTGCTGCCCGCTCTCGACGATGCGCTGCGAATAGCGGGCGGCGTTGCGGGCGGCCGACTGTTGCAGCACGGCGAAGGCGTTATTGGGAGCGATCGAGGGGCGCAGGCCGAACGGGTCGCGGTTGATGTTCATGGACCACCGTGTCCCCTACGGAACCACAGCAGAAAGGGAAAAAAAGGAGCGACTGGCGGGCGGGGCCCGGGAATCTATTCTGCCAACCGGAATGCGTGCGACCCTTTCGTACGCGGTGGGGAGCGGGTACCTCGGGGTCGTATATTCGGACTACCTCGCGGCGGTAATTGGCGGTTGGCCTGGGGTGTTGACAGCTGTTCTTAGCTCCCTCGCGGCGGTGATCTCCTTCCTCTTTCTCGCCCACACCCACTCGCGGACACGGCTGGTTTAATACGACGCGAGCTGTGTTGAGTGGGCGGTTCAGGGGCAACCCGCTCTCAAGCGCTACAGACACGGCGGGCGAGGCGCCGTTGCGGGAGGCCATTCAAGACAGCTGCCCGAGCTTGGTCCACGCGTGCACGCGTCCCCATTGCTGATCAGACAGCCTGCCAGCATGGGGCCGCTCCGGACACGCGCGCCCGCCTTTGTGACGCCATCCTGCCCAACCCTCTCACTACTCGTGTCCTTTACGAGCAGCTCAATTGGAATGAAATATCGCTTGGGTCCATCTTGGCGACCAATTGGCTTCACCTTGCATGTACCACGGCTAATTTCCTACCTCCACGGCCATGACGCGACAGGTCACAGATTTGCTTCCGGCTCAGCGTCGGACGCGAAATTACCGTCGTGGCTCAGCCCTTTCCCTCGGTCTGTCCGGCAAGCGAGCAGACGATCCTTGATATCCCGACCTATGCTTTCATCATCGAGAGGTGGAGTGAATATCCGGATGTAAATGCGAGTATTAAAACACACCCAGATGTAGAATTCCCCTACCCATATAACTTCACGCCTAAAAGTCAATTCATACATTCAATCACGTTGGCACCCTTTGTTCCAATGAAAATTTTTCTTATATTGCTTGATTCTGCAAGGCCCGTCAAGAACCGTGTTCTGCTATTCTAGTTGCAGTAGACGCAGTGGGAATGTCCACAGCTCTTGCAGGTGCCAGAAGAAGATTGCTTCTTGAAGCACCAGCAGCAAGTCCAGCTAGACATCGTGAGTATTCTTGTGAGTTGGTGAACTTACCACGTATGAAGTCTTTGGCGTTTGGAGTGTTGGTGAACGTGAGGTGCGTTGAATAGCTGTCTGTAGGCTTTGATATGAACCTGTCATCAGTAGGAGCAATGGTTTTATATATAGGATGCCCTTCCAAAACGATGACATTGTACTCTCGACAGAAGTTTACAAACAATGTCATTGGAAAGAAAGATGGGCGATTACCACGGTCTCTTTGTTCGCGTCTAAAGATAATTTGGCTGGCGCATGAAGATCATATTTAGATCACTGTCCTTTGTACTCATGGCCATCTTGCCAATATAGCTACACAATGGGTCGTAACACACGCAGGTGCTAATGTTTTTCAAGGTTCTTTAGTTGGGGATTGCGCTAGTGGGGGCGTATGCATCGAGTTGCTAATAGATTGGCTCGGACGGAGCGTCTACGACTCCCACGGGACTGCTCGTCCATTGTATGCTCTAGCTTAAAACTCATTCTCTTGTTCACGCTTCTTCCTAGCCGCTACCTCGTAGGACCCATTGCACTTCTCACTAAAGCACAAACATCATGAGAATGAAATGTCTCAAGAAAATGAGATACCAAGTTGCTCAATTAGTGAACCCCAGCTTCATAGCGACCACCAGGTTGAAGCAACCCAGACGGAACAAAGGAATCCAAGTCACAATGCGCAGCATTAATCGTGAAAGCATGAGAAGATTTGAACCGTGACACAGTTTATCCCATTGATGAACGCCGGGTGTCGAAGCTATTTCTTTCCAGCTTCTATGATTTTATGAAGAAACCGCAAGAAACCTCCCGGTTCAGCGAAGGATTTCCGCAGCCAAACTCCCAGGGATATTCTCCCGATGATGGAATTTCTTTCCTTTTCTCGAAACCCCCCGCCGTCATCATCAACATCGTCACTCTACCACGACGCCCTCGCTTCCCCTTTTAAAGCATTTATGCGGTGTGCTTGCCCTTGGCGTTCTTCTTGGGAACGTCGGTGATGGTAAGACCTGCACCATGTCACGTTAGCCTGGGTCTCCATAGCCTTGTGCGTTCCAAACAAAGTTCCAGTCCAGTCGCCGTTTTTACGGAAGTGGTTGACGTACCCGGGGGAAGGGACTGCTTGAGCTTCTCGGCCTTGTCGGAGTCCTTGAGGACGAGCGTGTACAGGTAGCGGTGGCAGCGGACCTTGAACTTGGTCTGGCTGTTCTTCTTGCTCTTCTTGATGCGCGCAGCTGTATCGGGGAAACACCCAGCGTTAGTCACTCCTGTTCCGCTGGCAACGTTTTGTGTTTTGTCATGTACAGGGTGCTTCTCAGGTCGAATCCAATGGTTGCAGGGCGGGCGGCAGCGCAGCGATCGTGTCTTTTAAACATCCTCCAAACCGCGCGAGTGATGGAAACGCTCGAGATGCTGTGTGTTCCCAGAAAACCCACAGCACGGCCGTGCTTTCCTGTTCACTTGGGATTGCCCCGCGGCAGGGCAATTCAGACACGGTCGTGCTGTTCCGTGCTCGCTCGATCGCTGCGCGTCCGCCATACCCATCGCCATTGGACCGTTCCGTTGCAACCGGGTGTACATTATAAGGTGGAGCGGAAAGGAGCAAACGCACAGGAAGCGTCCTTGCGGCGGCAGATCTCAATGAACTGCTTGATGTCGGAGACTTCGGAAGGCATGGTGACGGCGAGAAGAATGGATCTTTTCGGGAGGGATGGGGACTGTGTCGGGAACGTTGTCGTCCTTGGGAGGTTGAGAACCAGAAAGAGCGGCCCGGCCAATTTGCGCTTGGCGGTGTGCCGGTGGGGTTCGCTAAGCATGAAGGCGGCGGTCAACGGCAGAATGCCCAACGCCAAGACCGGCCGATCTCTCATCTCATCATCAGGCACAACCGCTCTGCCAACGGAGCAATCCATCGAGTGTCGAATGTTGGCCTGCTGGTGGTCTGATTTATCCACTGACAAAACCAGATGCAGTCACGAGCAGATGCCATCACGAGCGAGGACATCGTCTTATTTTATTACGATTAAAGCAGAGTTGCGAACGGTAGCACGCGCCAGCGGCCCTCTGTTGGCTTCCCATCCAAGCCGACTACTGCATGCGCACGACATGTTCCATCAAGCATGCACATTTTCCTCTCTCATCAAGTCAGCCACACTCATTCAGACACACTGTTCTCCTCTTTCGCACACTCCTACAGAGCGCCCATCAAACCAGCCAACACCAAACCAAAGCCCATACCCGCAGCGCTGCCCTTGCACATGGCGGCGCCGCCGGTCGGCGCAGACCCAGCCGCGCTGCTCGCGGCCGAGGCGCTGGACGCCGCCGCAGCAGCAGAGCTGGCGGCCGAACCGGTAGCGCTCGCGGCCGAACCAGTAGTGCTGGCGGAAGAGCTGCCGCCCGTCGACGACGCGGAACCAGTGGCCGAGGAGGCACCCGAGGCGCAGGTGGCACTGGTCGGGAGATCGGTCACGCCCTGCGGCTTGCAAAGGTTCTGCGCAAACGCGATGACAGCTACGTAGTGCGAGTTTTGTTAGCTTTGCGAGACGCTGTGCCAGCTGGGGGCGCGCGTGGGGCCTGAAACGTACTTTGCTGGTCCGCTTCATCGCAGCTGGTGGACACGCAGCAGGCCAGGCCCGAGATCAGGGACTTGTTGGTGCAGATGCACTGGACGTCGAGGGTGCCGCAGCCGCCGAAATCCGTACCAACGCACGATTGCTGGGACGGACGAGGTTAGCGTTTGCTCGCAGTTGAGTGACCAGGATCTGCCGAGGGCCAACGTGGTGTGCTGGGCATCGTGCTTGACGGATGCGGCGGACAACTCTAGCATTGGGCGCGCCCATTGGCGGGCCCTGAAGCTGGAAAGGGAACGGTTACTTACAGCGCACTTAGGAAGCAGCTGAGTCTGAGCAAGAGCAAAGCTGCTGCAGCCAACGATGGCAGCGATTGTGGAGAAGCGCATGATGAGAGGCGGATGGGCAGTCGAGCACGCAGAGAGGGAGGCAAAGGGAGCTTTGGAGCAGCTATGGCGTGAAGCGCCCAGGTGCTTAAATAGTAACGGCGGTCGTGTTGGGGACCAGATTAGCTACCACAGCCGGCAAAATACCCATGGCTTGGTCCTAAGGGCCAACGCCTAAACCGAATGAGCTTGCCCAGTGGAGCGGGCGCACTCCAGGGTCACCCGCTCGGGGCAGCTCTCCCGCGCGTGGTCGTCCCACCACTGAGAGACGTCTCCGCTTCCAGCTTCCTGCAGGGGGTGTCGACTAGAGCTTTCCAGCTGCAGGTTGATCAGAAAACGCCTGCTGTTGTGTCTGCCGTACACTCACAGACGGACCAGGGTGCTAGAAGCGCGGCGCCCTGCCGCTAGCAGCTCGAACGTGTGCTGGGCGTGGAGAGGGAGGCCATGGCGGCGTTGAGAGTCAGAAGCTCTAATTTAGGCTCGCACCGGATCACGCCTGGGCTCCCAAATCTGCACCATTATGCTTAAAACAGTGGGTCGTCGACAACCACATCTCAGCCCCCGAATCAATTCATCCCTATGGCGCAGCTTTGCTGCTGGCAGAGCCTAGTGCACTCAACACAGAGGTCTTTCAGCACACGTATGCAGCTTCAGATATTGAATCACTCAGCACAGCCTGTAATGACCTCTTTCACGACTGTTCTCTACTCAATGTCCATGACGAAAACATAAAAGCCATAAATTAGGTCTCGTAATTATCGAGTCAAGGTCTCAGCCCGCAGATCAAAAGTGCAGCCCGGCGATAACACTTGCTAGCTTGCATCCTATCTGGTCCTATCGCCCCGAGCCGCCTCCCGCCACCAATCACTTAACAGGCTCGGCTGCAGCCCGTAATTGCTGTTCTGATGCTTTGCTAACCTTCACGATATGGCTAGGTACTATGATATACTACAAGGCGAAGACATCTCTCGGCATGTTGACATGCGCACGGCAGTTGACAACCGGCATCAGTAGATCGCAGGTCATGCTGCTCTAACCCCGACGCCCACACTGTGCGTCTGAAACAGCTCGACCAGTCCGCTGCCAGTGCATTCCTCTAGAACCCACTCGAAGCTTAAGCCATGAAATGTCTTCCATTTCTTGGTCCGCCCGGGCAACACTCCGGTAAAATCACCTCTGGCCTTGCGCGCTTTACTCGCGAGGTCTTCGCCCGCGATACCGCCATCCCAGCGCTCCTTGAGTAGGCTCACAGGCGCCTCCTTGTATCTGGACGTCTTGCTCAACAGACTCAGTAGATGCACACGTGCAGTGGTCAACAGCCGAAGATACGGGCCCATGTTGGGCAGCGCAAAGCTGTAGACACCCCCCGGTGCTGTCCTTTGTCTGTCGGTCGACACGACGCCACCCCCGCTTGCGCCACTGGATGTAAAGGCGTGGGCGCCACCAACAGCATTCAGCGAGCCAGACGCAGCTTTTGCGCTGGAGCTGGCGAGCGAGCCCAATGACGCGGCGCCGGGCCGGGAGAAGACCTCGGCGTTCCCAGCAGAAGGGTTCGCTGAGGTCAAGAATCCGGTGCCGCAGAATGCTGCTATTTCATCCTTGCCGAGCTGCGCAGCCGATACCGTGGCTGAAGTAGGTTGTGAGCGCAGCAATGAAATGTACTTCTCTACATACGCCGTCAGCTGCCGAAGTCTGAGCTGCGAAAGCTGTAACAAAGGTTACCTTTCATCTCATCCTCCAGACCCGGATGCGATCGAACCAGTCTCTCCCACTCGGACACGAGCACTAAGCCTTCTCCTACAGCAGCACCGCCGGCACCTCGTCCCGGTATTACGACCTTCCGTATGATCCCAGCACGCGTCAACTCTGCAATCTCTCTTTCTGTGACAGTCGGAGACCTGCTGAGAGCATGCACATGGGCGACAGATACGACGGGTGGCAAGTTCATGCGAAAGTTCAGCACTTCTGCCGTCTTCTGGCCATTCATGCCGGATGCGCGCTCCGGGACAGACGTAAACATCCTGGTCCGGATATTTTGGATGAACTGAGGCACATCGCGTAGCTCAAGATCGGTGGCTAGCGAGGCGACACGACCAGTATCATCAAGCGGCTCATCGAATACGCTCTCATCGCCGACGGCACCGACGTTTGTGGCAGATTCGGATGACGACTTGCGACGTGGGCTCGCGGCGAGCGACGAAGACGAACGGCGCAACAACGGATTGTTGCTCTTGCGACGAGTGGGTTTGGTAACGCGAGATGACTTGGCGGCCGTCGTATGCAAGCTGGAAGACATGTGGGGAGGGACGATGCGGGTGTTCAAGCGGTGTTATGGGAGGCCTGAACAAGTGAGCCACCTTGATCCCAGGCAGACACCGGCGGGCTGGCTCGGCACTCGCCAGGCACGCGCCTGGCAGTCGCCACCGCAGGGACAGGCATCAGGTTGGTCACCACGGGCTTCTTTGATGCTCCCTGGTGGAGCGGTGGCTGAGATGCGGCATGCAGGGACTGTGTGATGTGCCGTCCCGGACCGCGCGTGCGTGGAGAGATGAAGCGGAGCGCACGAGTCGCGGCGCAATCACAAGCTTTTCGTACGCAAGCCGACCTGGGTACGTCATCGCACTGTTACACGGCAAGCGACATCCGTCCTAAGCCCCCATGCCGCGCATCCCAACCCTCCTCAACCCTCCGCGAGCTGCTGCCGCCGGCCCCATCGTCACTATGTCGCAAAACGCCTCACCTTCGCAGCCGCAGGATCGCCTGCAGGCCGACCTTGAACCCAAGTCGTATGCCGCGGCTGCCGAAAAACCCGCAGACGCCGGCCAGAAGAAGTCGAAGAGCAGCAAGAAGAAGAAGCAGGCCAATGGCATCGAGAAAGACGCCTCCGTGCCCCAGCCGCAGGACGACCTGCCCGTCCCGCAGCCTCCGGTCAGCGAAAAGTCTTTTGCAGATGTTGCTGTCGCGCCGCCAGTGCAGTCCCAAGTAGATGGTGTGAGCACACTCGTAAACGGACACACATCATCGGAGACACCAGATGGACCAAAGGACGCAAGCAAGACGGAAGATGAGAAGAAAGTGATATATGAGAAGCTCGAGGGCCCGCACGGCGTGCGTCTTACCAGCGTGAAGCCTGACGACGAGTTCGAGAAGGAACAACGCCAAGATGAGAACAAGGAGGAAAAGCCTGAGCTCACCAGCGGGAGAGAGGCTGGCAAGGGGTGGGAGCGCAGCAGGTACGTTCCAATTCACGCACTTCAAATGGCACCTTGCAAGCTGACTGAGGATCGATAGCATACGATGGGCTCCTCTCAACGTGCCGCTGCACCGCCGCCTCCAGACCCTCATGGTTCTCGTGCACTCTCTCTCCATAGTCGGCATGCTGACCATCTTCTTCTTCCTTTGCTCCATTCCCTTCCTGTGGCCTGTCCTCTTCCCATACACCCTCTTCGTCCTCTTCTCCAGTGCCGGGCAAGATGGCACACTTGCCTACCGCAAAGAATGGATTCGGCGCTTGCCCGTCTGGTCGCTCTATGCGTCTTACTTCCCGGCGCGCCTACACCGCACGCAAGAGCTGCCAGCCACGCGCAAGTACATCTTCGGCTACCACCCTCACGGCATCATCTCACACGGCGCCTTCGCCGCCTTCGCCACCGAAGCCCTCGGCTTCTCACAGCTCTTCCCCGGCATCATCAACACGGTCCTCACCCTGGACTCCAACTTCCGCATCCCGCTATACCGCGACTACGCACTCCGCCTCGGCATCGGCAGCGTCTCGCGCGAGTCGTGCGAGAACCTCCTCAGCAAGGGCGGCCCCAACGGCGAGGGCATGGGCCGGGCCATCACCATCGTCATCGGCGGCGCGCGCGAGTCGCTCGACGCCGAGCCGGGCCGGCTGCGCCTCGTCCTCGCGCGGCGCAAGGGCTTCGTCAAGATGGCCATCCGCACGGGCGCCGACCTGGTCCCCGTGCTCTGCTTCGGCGAGAACGAGCTGTACGAGCAGCTGAACCCGCAGGAGCACCCGCGCGTCCACCGCTTCCAGCTGCTCGTCAAGAAGCTCATGGGCTTCACCATCCCCATCTTCCACGCCCGCGGCGTCTTCAACTACGACGTCGGCATGATGCCCTACCGCCGCCCCCTCAACGTCGTCGTCGGCCGCCCCGTCCAGATCGTCCAGAGCCAGAAGCCCGACCAGGCTTACGTCGACGAGGTGCACACCCGCTACGTCGAGGAGCTGCAGCGCATTTGGGACGAGTGGAAGGATACGTTCGCAAAGGATCGCACGGGTGAGCTGGAGATTGTGGAGTAGAAGAAGCTGCCCGGGGGTTTAACTTTTTATTGAGCAATATCTTTCTTTCTTGCTGGGAACTTGACTTTTATTATTCCTCTCGAGCAGTAGTGGAAAAAAGAATTGCGGAACACATCAGTAACGAATGACTGTTTGCGTCTCTGTATTACATACATAGATCGGGTGTGGGGAGGAGAGATGTGTTTGCGGTTAGGTACATTTAGGGTGTAGGTTAGTGGGTGGGTGGGTACATCAACTGTTGTTTTGGGAAATCGTTTGCATGTGAGATCACCCCCCGGCTTGCATGTGATTGAAGTCTCGCAAAAGAATAGAAAAAAAAATTAAAGGGAATAATACTGATGACAGAGAACGTTCTTTTCGCTTTCCTCCCACAGCACGCACGGATTAGTCGACCGGAAATGGCATCTCCAAACGACGCCCCTCATGTCCCTCCATCAGAGATTCCTTCCATGGAGGCTCTGCTGCCTCCCAACGTACGTATACTGGACCTAGATATTAGGAAGCTAGCTGTACGTAGGACTAACAAGCGTGAGGAAGTCCTTGTCAAAAGAGAAGGTCACCGATAGTGGAAAGAGGCGACAGACAGGCACAAGCAAATTGGAACGTATATAAGCTTCTTCAGAAAAGCAGATGAACCACCAAATAAAAAGAGCAAACAAACACAAAGCGCTGTTCTAGACAAGACACACGCCCATCGCGTTTTCATTTCTTTTTTTTTGTTTTCGTTACGAAGATCCCGTTTTCCATGCTACTGCTGTTCAGCCAGCGGAAGGAAGGAGCAAGCAATGGCGTTGTGAGTTCTGAATGTAACAGAAAAGGAAGGGAAAATGAAGTACGAAAGAGAAATACAAGCGTCATCATCAGCCCGAGTTTTGCGTGTGATTTCTCCAGTTCCAGCTCCTCCAAATGGCAGAAAAGGAAAAGAGTTTTGTGTTTCTCACGAAGAAAAAATAAAAAGGGACGCGACACAACGCCTGTGGACTGCTGTCTGATATCCTCGAGTGATTGACCAATGACCCAGTGCCGCGGGAGTCTTCTTGTAATCCCCCATCGAGTTTGTCCTCCCACAACTGACACACGTTCTTCCTCTCGACACATGATGTGCCCCTCCTTATTTCCCTCGTTTCCCTTACATGCCTCTTTCCCAAGCATCTTCGTCATATCGTCAACATCCGTTTGCGTGCCGCTCTTCGTTCAGGTACATCGTCGTTCGTACAGGACATTGTGGTGGGTAGAGGGAGGGCGAAAAGGGGGGGAGCAGGATGGAAGGGGGGTTGTACACGACGACGTCTACTGCTGACTCTGACGATCCGATCCTTTTGTGGAAAAGAAAAACACATTAGTCGTCGCCGTCGAAAAATTTTCTACATGCAAACAATAACGGGAGAATGAAGAGATTTAATGGGGAAAAAGAATCAGTGAAGCGAAGCTGCGAGCGAGGTTTGTTGAATTCGTCGGGTCGTCATTTCTTCTTTATGTTTTTTTCCGCATCGAAAGAGACAAGAAAGAGGGAAACGCCAATCATTGATCGTCGTTTTCATATTCTGCAGCATTAGCAGGCTTGGGGCCGTCCTTACGGATGGGGATTTTGATGCCTTGCGCGGCAAAGCATTTGCTGAGCGGGGTGCTCTCGATAACTCCGGGGAATTTCTTCGCACTGTAGACCTGGAAAGCGTCGCTGAAGCACGAGGCGAGGACGGGGGCTTTGCCGGTGTTGAGGTTGTTGCCGTTGCCGATATTCTTCCCGACGTCGACAAAGTTCATTTTCAAGCTGCGAGACAAGCGAATCAGCCAAACCACCACGGACATATCCCGCAACTTGAACCTACCGGAAAACGCCCTCGGTACGGACGGACAGGTCCTGAAGGACAAACCAGAAGCCCGTCTTGCCACTGGTATCGTTCAAGCGGAAAGCGTTCACGCTCAAGCTGCCAATGAGGTTGCGGGTGAACATTCCAGTTGCAGAGGACGTCGTCGGCGCAGCAGGGGGCATGACGGGCATCGCCTGGGGCGCCACGGGGTAGCCATGGTGCTGAGGAGGAGCATACTGGGGATACTGGGGCATATGAGGAGTCATGGGCGACGAGCCGGGGTAGCTCGGCTGGTAGCTACCCTGCATCTGGGGAGGCATGTGCTGCGCAGCGTTGATGGCATATCCAGGAGGTCCCGCCGAGTAGGCGCCGCCTCTCGGGCCCATAGTCATGGCGTAGGGGCCGGGGTCCTGCCAGCCGCGCTCGATGTGGGGAGGGTAGGAAGTAAGCGTGCTCGTAGAAATAGAGACAGTGGGCGCTCCGGAGGAGGCGCGGACGAGATTCACCTCCTGGCGGGCATCAGATGACCACAGGTCAACCGTCAGGACGAAGAAGGTGGAATCGACCTCGCTGCAGCTGGAGTCAGCAAAAGGCGCGCGCGGCTGGGGCTAAGGAAACAAACTCGAAGGGGATTTCCTTGTGGGTGGCCGAGTCCTTCACGATCAGGCGAATGCACGGCGGCGGCGTGATGGGGCGACGGTCCTGTGGCGCGGGTCAGCAAAGGGCGGGCTGGAGCTGTGCTCTCGTAGTGGAGGTACCTTGTCTCCGAAGCCGCACATGCGAGCCCGGACAGGCTGCTGCTCGACGACTAGCTCGAACGTCTTGCCATCGCGGGTGCCGCACGAGGGCTGGATGGAGACGGGGTCGGCAGGAGCATAGGCGCCCGTGTGGGCCTGGGTGGGCGGCATGCCGCCGTAAATGGGCTGGCTGTTCATCGTGGACGACGAGGGCTGGGCGACCTGGCTCTGGTGGTCGTTCAGAGAGTTGATTTGAGGTGGAGGATAAGCTGGAGCTCCCGGGCCGGGACCGATAGGATAAGGGTGCTCCCGGCGCGGCTGCATGGTCCTACGTGGCCGGATTGCGCGTGGTGGGCGAGGCGGCAGGAGCTTCTCTCGCTACCGTTGCGCGTGGTGGGTGATGCGGAAGAGGCTTCTCTCGCTACCGTGGCGCGAGGGCAGAGGGGAGGCGCGATGTCTGGTTCAGTGTCGTCGGCGGCCACGGGGTCCTGGGGCTCCTGGGGCGGGTCCTCAACGCTGCAGGGGCGACTGCGCGGTGCAAAAACGGGGCAGGCAGAGGCAATTGGCGGCGAGGCGCAGGCGGAGGAGGGCTTGGAGGGCGTGGAGGAGGCTACAAGTGCGTGCGGGCAGCGGAAGCAGCGTCTTTCATGATCCCTCCCTAGACGCGCTCTGGCATTTGCAGGCGACGCAGGCGACTCTACACGCTGGGCCCGCGGGGCGCGGCGGCAAGTGGCTCTCTTCGCAGCGGGCGATCACACAGGCGTCTGTGGGCTGCAGGTTGCACGACACACCCAGCAGCGGCTTGGCCAACGGTCTGAGTCCTGCTTCGGTCGCAACGGCGCGCCCGGTCGGTCGCGCGGAGCTCTGGCGGCGCGGAGGGCTGCGGTGCTGCGGTGCTGCGATGCAGGTGGGAGACGTGAATCCACGTCGCTGGAGAGCGAGTCAAGTGGGAGGCAGGCAAGGCGGGGAAGGGGTGCCGGGCTCTGGCGGGCTCTGGCGGGCTCTGGCGGGCTCTGGCGGGCTTGGGGCGCGAGAGGGGGGCGCGCGCAGATTGGCTCGCGACGCTGAAGACGCGCTGATCGAGGCGGGTGTGGGCCCAGGGCGGCGGATGCTACAGGGCGCGTTCTGGTGGTGGCGCAAGCTGGGCGCGGAGAGAGAGCTTCAGCTGTTCCCGTGCAAGCGCGCGATGCCCAGCTGCTGCTTTATGCTTGCGCGCGCCCGGGGCACTCAACCATCTCCCGCCCGCCGCTTGCAGAGCCAGCCAGGAGCGGCCCGAAGTGGAGCGCGCCCCTCTGGCCAGCAGCACGCCTGTGCGCCCGCTGCCCGAGTCAACACCACCGCGAGCGTTAGCAGCGTGAGCAGCCGTGAGCCCGCGTGCGTGATGCGTTCCCTCTCGTGCCCGCCAGCGCAGGGCCAAGCCACACCTTCCACACGCCCGACAAGCGAAGTTCCAGATCCACGTCAGCGTGCTCCAGCGCTCCATGGCCCCGGCTCCGAGCTCCGCGAGCGTGGTTATGGCTTGCAGTTGGTGGAAGAGCTAGCCCGCCCGCCACCCCAACGCGGCTCTGCGGCTGCCGCCTTGACACGCAGCAACGCCCTCTCACCACCCCTTGGCGCCATTGCCCGCCGACCGTTCTTTTTGCTGCTGCCGCTGCCGCTGCCGCTGCCGCCGTGCCGCTGCCGCCGCCGCCTCGCCATCGCCGCGCTTGCCCCCAGCTGCAGCGCTGCTCGCCCCATGGAGTCAGCAGGCCGCCGCCGCAGTGGACTGCGAGACAAGTGAGCCCAGTGAGCCCGCAGCGCGCGGGGGGTTGGTTGGATCCTGCACATGCACGGTCGTCATACCCACATCTACCTACGCGAATACGTCCAGACATTTTGCTCCGACTTCCACGTAGGTAGGAGGCCTTGGAAAACCCACATCTGCGTCTGGGTGTAAGAAAGCTCACTTTTGCTGCAACCCACTCTGCCGCTGGCGGCTGTCACTCTCCGCCCCAAAAAAATAAAAAATAAAAATGCTCCGGCGCAGCCGCCTGCATGCAGCAGCTGGCCGCCCGTTCGCACCCCTCCCGCATAATCATGCACACGTGTTGGGCTCGTATGCGCGCTGCATCCTAGCTGATCTCCGTCCGCACTCGTGACGTCGTCGCGGGAGCAATAATGTAGCTACCTATGTTCAGTATTGCAATGGTTTACTCGAAACCCACTTTTCCCCCTCTGCCAGCCCAATTCAACGCCACGCTTATGTGCACGCACTAACTCTACACGCTGCGCCATGCAGCCTCGTCAACCAAAGTGAAACAGAGTCTGCTTCTTGTTCTTGTTTCCCTTTTTCTTGCCTCCACCTGCAGCTGCCTCGTCGGCCAGGGCTTCCGCGGGTGTTGATGATCCGCTGCCGGCTCCACTCGCACCCCACGCGCTGACTGCAGGGCCGTTGCCCTTGACGTTGCGCACCGCACGTCCGTTGTAGCCGGGCGTGAAGACAGTCGACGTCGGCTTCTTGGCCGCAGGCAACGCGGGGAACGCGTCACCGCTGGGCGGCGCCTTCTTGCTGACCAGGTTCGTCTGCGAAGCCGTCCGAGACGGAACTGGCGACGGCTTGCTGGACGACGGAGCTGAAGACGCCCAGTTGGCGCTCCCCGTTCCTGTCGCAGCCCTGCTCGACGACGCAGATGACGGCAGGGGAGGGAACAAGCTGGTGGAAGTAGAGTTCCACCCGCCCTTCTGGCCCACTGCCGAGCGCGACGACTGGGCCGTTGAACTCTTGAGTTTGAGGACCCTGGAACTTCCTGCTCCAAGGGCGGCCGCTGCGCTGCTTGCCGGTACACCGCTAGGCCCGGGAAGAGAGGGGTAGTCCTCGTTGATTGCCTTCCAGTCATTCCAAGCCTTGAGCAGGGCGTCCTTTTTCGTAGAGATCTCAAAGATCTCGGCAAGCTCCTTGATCAACTTGCCTAGTTCAGCCGAGGACGTGTCAAACAGGGAGAAGAACGCCTCGACCAACTGTGGGGCCGTCATGGTGCCATTCTTGTAGAACGAGACCTTCTGGCGGAAGTTGGCAACCTTTGTTTGGTCATTGCGGAGCATGTTGGACGCGCGCTCGGTAACGGCATTGTGCCGCAACCTGCGCGCTTGCTCCTGCGGTGTGAGTGGTGTGTCCCTTGCTGGCGATGCGGCCCGTGCTTGATTGGCGGTGTCACTGACACTCAGCGAAGACAGGGACGGAAAGTCAACTGCGGGTCTGGCGGCCGTAACGGTGCGAGGTTCCTGGGCGGCGGGCGGGGGCCGTGCTGCATATGCCTCAGTCGGGTTAGAGGTCAGCTGCCCTCCGAACGTCCTCGATGTTACGGATTGAGCGCTCTGGATGGCCAGCTGCCTTTGGTAGGCAATTTCGTCCCTACGCAGCGGTTGGGCCGACGACGCAGGGAGGGGCTCGGAATTGGGATCTCTTCCGCGACCACGGCCGCGGCCTTGCCTACGCTCACGCTCCGGTTCCTGGGACCCACGCAAGTTGAACCCAGCCATGTCCACTCTGCGAGCATCACGACGTGCATCCTTCGAGAGGCCGTTCGGATGAGCCTCTAGCTGGTGCGCCTTCAGATCCATCTCAGATTCGAAGACAACAAACTTCTTTTCCAAGCACTCCTGATCTGGACATGTGAAGTGATCCTTCTTGAAATGAACCTCGAGTGCCTCGTAGTTGACGTAGTACTGTGGCTGCCGCCCACCATTGCGGCGGTCACAGATGTGACACCTTTCATGCTTTTCTCTGCAGTGCACGTATAGCTCATCATCTCCGTAGAAGCGTCTCACACAGAATCCGCATTCGGGGTGACCCTTGAAGCCGCTCTGATCCTCGGCACCAGGGTTATCGTCGCCGAACCTCTCGTGTTTGCGCAGCTCCTGGTTGGTGAACAACTGATGCTCATGAGTGAAGACCTTCTTGTTTCGCGTACAGAGGTCGCTTCCACACGTTAGCGTATAGAATACGATAGTAGAACTTGTGTACCTACCACATGACCTGGTGATGGACGCTCTTGACGTGCCTGTGCAAGTCAGGCCACCCCAAACAGGCAGCGTCGCACGAGCCATCAGGGCAGTTGTAGCGAAGCAAAAGAATAGTGTCGTCGCAGATTTCCGCCTTCTCGTATTTAATACCCAGGTTGCTGTCGGTGCTCGCGATCTCAGAATTGGAGAATTCCTCGTATCTCTTCTCAGGATCGTCGGTGAATATAACAAAATCCGACTGTGTCTGGGGAATAGTTAGCAAACATAAGATGATTAATGCATGCTGGATAAACCTACTCGACAATGCGCGCAAGCCTTGGTCTTGTACAGTGCCCTCAGCCTGAGGGAGCAAATGTGGCAGGTACGATGGTTACAAGGCGATACAGCATGGTGCAGGATGGGAGATGCGCAAATGAAGCAAACCTCTCCCTCATCCTCGTCCTCCGCCGCGGTTACAGGCTCTTTTCCCTTGGACTCCGTACCGTTCGTGGTGGAATTTGCGTCCGCAGTCAAACGAGCGCCAAAGTTTCCCCTAGTGGCCGGGGCACGAGCATTGTCTCCAGCTCCATCTCCGTCCGCATCCGCGTTGCGTCCTCCGCGATTGCCACGGCCTCGCCCTCCGCGACGTCCCCCCTTGCCGCGACCTCTTTCGCCGGACGCGGGGTTGTCGTTGCTCTGCCTGTTGCCGCCTTGGGAGCCGCCACGGCCACGACCTCTACGCGCGCTATTTGCGGGGGCAGCGGCGCCGCCTGCCGGGGTCTCAGTCGCATCCGCCATTGTGGTTGTTGTCGCGATTTCGGGGGTTTGTAATGTGCGGATGGCGGGGGTTGCGGGCAATCGCTGGGTATTTACGGTTGTGGCCGGTGCCGGATGCAGCGACCGCGGGTAAGGCGCAGCAGCCAGTGATCTGGTGTGGCTGGGCGGGTTTATGGGTTGCGAGCGTCGGTGAGGATGCGGAGCGAGGCAGAGTGCGGGCAGTGTGGACAAAAGATGCGAAGATGATGACGCGGGGCGCACCCGGCGCAGATGAAGCGCCCACCGATCGACAGCCTGCTGCTAGCTGCCACCTCCTACCAAGCGAACACCACACTCTTTCGCCCTTGTTTCCCCCTTACAACAGCGTGTTTGCAGTCATTCTGATTCATTCCTAAGTCCTGTCGCTGCGGGCGCTTGGTCATCATGCGAAAGTGAGTCACCGTTCGCTGCGCCCCGTTTGCCTGGTACTGACTGTGTGGCCGCATCTAGCATCCGCCGCAGCGCGCTCGAGAAGCTTGCTACGCTTTCTGCCGCGTCGCCAGCCCCCGAATCTGGCAGTACGGACTTCAAGCGCCTGTATCGACTATGCCCGCCTCACGCGCAGGCCAATGGCGGCCATGACGAGCTCGATGGTGCCCGCGGAGGTGCGGCGAGGGTGCCTATGGTAGGCCTCCTGTCCAACATATTCCAGCTGGTCTGACAGGTCGCAGAGCTTGCCCGAACTCGAAACCCTCCTCGCTCTGTGCAAAGCTGCGCCCAAGGTCGTCGATGTTGCAACCGCCGAACAGCTTCTAAACCAGCTCACCCCCTATCTCCCCGAATCGTTCGCCCAGGCCATTGCGCCTTCGCCGTTCCTCCGAGACCTTGACCCCTCGCCATGGGAGATCTTGACCCAAAGCCTGACCTTCGCCATCTTGTCTCTGGGAAAGAACCATGCGGAACTTAAGGAGGTTGCCGTCGCAGCAGTGAACAAGTACGTGGCGGAGTGGTCGGCCTCCGCAAAGTCCTTGACCGGGGAGCATATGAACAAGGAGGATGCCGTGGACAATACAACCGATGGAGATGTTGGCCGTGTTCTTTGCTTGGCCATGTCTATGCTCGGTTTCCTGAGCTCCGCTTCGGCGTGGTCGTCTATCTGGGACCCTGCCGAAATGCTCGACCTGATCCAAAATTTGCGCACCGCACTGTCTGAGAAACTGATGATTGCGGTCGAGGCTTCCGTCTCGAATGTCTTGTATGGAAGCAACTCCAAGCGGATGCTCCGGGAATGGCGCCGTCATGCCAAACATTACGCTGCCATGGGCCGTCCTCTCGGTGCTCTCATCCTTCATCATGGCCTCATGCAAGTTGTTGTCGCATGCACGGCGACCGTTGCTACCCCTTCTGAGCTGGACTCCAACAAGCCTGTTTTGGATAGACTTCAAAACGCCCAGGCACTGCCTCAGCTTTTGGATACGGGGGCCCAAAATCTGCTCGAGAATGTTGCTGGAATTGCCGAGGAAGAGCTTGAGCGGATCAACGCCGACTCGGAGTATGTGAAGCGTGTAGGAACGGTTTGGCAACAGCATATTGCCCACGCCGTCCTAGCCGATGCCCTTGTCACGTACCTGTGCTGCGCCGTGCTCAACGAAGAGATTGCCGACTCCGAAAAGCTTATGGACGTGCTGGAGTCCACCCTCTCAGACGACATCCTTGCAGCCGATGAGATCCTGGCTTGCGTTGTGCTGAAGAGTATGTCGGTCTTGGGCAAATCCTCGCCTGATCACGCATCTCACCTGAGCAAGTCTTTGCCACGCATAATCGTCCAGGGTGGATTGAAGGAGGGCACTTCAGCCGTTGCTGCCGATTGCCTGGCCAGTGTTCTCATGCATCTTCCACAAGACGCTGTCATCACGACATTGTATAGCCTTGGTAATGTTCTTAGTGGAAAGCAAGCGCCGGATCGCACGAATACTGGCCTGTCTCAGCTCAACGGAAGTGCAAAAACCAACGGTACCTTGCAAACACAGCATCAGGCAGGCAGTAGCATTTCACTAGCTCCTGCTGATGTCGACGAACCTTCGCATGTCTATGCTACTGTTATTCAAACCATCGTCGGCGTGGCTTGCCGATGCAAAGATCAAAAGATCTCTGAGCTTGCACTTTCGATGCTGGTTCAGAAGATTGGCAGGGTCAGCATTTCTGTCGATGCCATAATCATCATCGAAAGTTCCTTGCTTGGCGCTCATTCCGGTCCAGGAGAGCTTAGAGCTCTTCTCAAACTATACTCTAGACTCGCTCGCGATGCGATTGTCCAAGACAACCATGTGCTTCTGGACGCGGTCATGAGAGGAAGGTGCCATCTCTCCAAGGAGTTCAAAGTTGGACAGCCACTGTTTGATGTCTACTTACAGTACGTGCTTGACGATATTGTCAGCAAGGGTGATGCACATGGTCCTGAGGCCACTCCCATGGCGGATACCGAAGTCGCCGCCCAGGAAATTGCACAGCTTCTGAATCCGCTTGCGATCTTGATCTCCTCCAATGCTGAAGGCCCGGAGGAGTACATCGAGGACGAAGCTATCGTCAGCCTGCAACGAGATGCGTGGTTCAACGTTGCTGTCCACGGGTTCAGTTTGACCTCACCCTTGGGCAAGAGATACCTCAACGAGCTTCGGATACTTGCTCAACATAGCAAGCCTTTGGTTTCCGAATCCCGGGCCGATCAGCTTGAGAGCGATGTGGAGCTCAACACTGTTCTCAGACGTGGCAAGAGCGCGGAGCATATCGTCGAACAGAAACGCCGTCTTCAGGAACTGCTCCCCGCGTGCGAAGTAGACATCAAATCGCTAGGTTACCCTGAGGTTGTCTTCCTTAACACGGTGCATCTCGTCGAGGGTCTTCGTGCTAGCACTGGCGACTGCACAAAGACGCTGACATACTTTTTGGATCCCCGGCTCCGCAACAAGGAAATGGGTAACTGTATGGTGGCTATTGCCGAGGCAGGTGTTCGCTCATACCTGAAGAAAACTGTCTCAGGCGGGTTCCAGTCCTTTTCTGCTCCCTACGTAGCCCAACAGCTTGCCATCTTCTTCACCGGCTGCTGTCACAGGGTTCTGCAGGCACAAAAGGTTGCTATCCACTGTGCCGACATTATCATTCAGCAGGTACCATCTGCTCTCTGTCAGCGCGCTTCGCTCTTTGCTCTCCTCGAGCTTCTCAGCATGATGTGGAACAGCTGTCTTGAGAAGGAGATAGATGAGTATGGGTGGTCCTCGACCTTCAGGTCATCCAGGGAGAACATCTCCATCGAGCTTTCGGACAACTACAGCTTCCGCAGGAACACATTGATCCAGCTTCAGAATCGGGCCAGAGTCTGGGTTTTGAGCGTGATGGACATTGCTCCGCTCGATATCAAGGGACTCCTGCAGACCTATCTATCGGAGTACGATGACGACGGTGCCTACGGGCATGTCTCTCTTGGACGGTCGTTCGCACTGGAGATGGGCTCCGTCATTCCATCGACGGACCAGCGCCTCGGTGCCATTGACAGAGAAAGAGAGCTGAACATCAACACAGCGTCCGACTTCGTTGCTCAGTACACCAACCGCCAAGAGTACCGCTACGTGGAGCCCATGACGGACTTTAACGATGACTGGATTCGCTTCGGCAACGATTCTGATCCTTTGATGCGCCGCAACAAGCAATACGACCGCAGCGTAGAGGATGCGCGAAGGGTGCTTCTTGACTTGGAGCAACGCACCTTGAGCCGCAAGCATGTTTCGATCGCAGAGCTTCGTGATGCTCTGAGGCGAGCTGCTGCTCTTCTTTGCAGGAGTCCAAAGGACGAATGTGCCATTGCCCACCACGTTGTTGGGATTCCTTTCGCCGTGTTTAACAAACAGTCCATCAAACTCGGTATTTCCTTGTGGCTTAGCATCATCAAAGAAAACCCACGCATGGAATCCAGAATCCTTGTCGAGATCGCTGAGAACTTTGAAAAGACGGTTCGGCGGAGACTTGGCCTCTTTGATGAGCATTTCCACCACCCGGATCCTTTCTTCGTCAAGCAAGAATTCGCCCAATCGGATCGGAATGCTATCATGAAACGCCAGCAGCACGCCTACAACCTAATTGCTCCTCATTTCCGGCTTCTGCAATTCCTTGAGAGTCATTTCAGCGCAACACGCCTTGGGAGCCCACACGTTGAGCGCGTCTACCATCGTCTCATGCACATCACTTTGTCGGCAATGAGCCACACCACAAACCATCCTTTGACGCGTGAGGCTCACTTCCATGTTGTTCTTCTCGGTCTACGCATTCTTCAGTACAGTACCGGTTCCAACACGTCTGGCCAGTGGAGGTTGAAGGACCGCATCCTCTCTGCCGCCTTGGCATGGTTCAAGGATAGGCCGAGGTGGTCTTTCGGCGGCAACCGTTTGCAAATCAAAGCGGAAGCTCAGGTTCTGGTCGATATTCACAACGCCCTCCAGAACGTTGCCGGGATTGGTCTGAACACCAATGGGCCCAGGAAGAGTCTGCACGCCAAGCAGGAGTTGCTGTTGCTCCTGCTCGCCAGCGAGCATCAGCGTCTGATGGTCTGGCTGTTCCCTCTGGAGCAGGACAGGCGCCTCCACCTGATGCCTGGTCACTCGGGAAAGCCTCCTACCGACGCAGTCTTGTCTGGTCTACTCAAGACAGCTTGGACCGAGGATCCGGCTATTGCGGTGCAATTAGTTTTCAGGTTCAACTCGCTGAGGCTGGCGACCGAGGTCCGTTTCTTGGTTCTCAACTTCCCTGAGAAGGTACTGGACCAGCCAGATGCTCTGGAGGTGCTTCTTGGGAAGTCATTACCCGATGATGTCTCGTTCCAGCTCAAGTATCTGATGTACTGGGCCCCGGTCAACCCGATGACTGCCATCACGTATTTCCTCCCTGCATATGGTAATCACCCGTTCATCATCCAGTATGCTATGAGAGCATTGGAAAGCCACTCGGTCGACATCACTTTCTTCTACGTCCCGCAGGTTGTGCAGACGCTTCGTTACGACGTCCTTGGCTACGTTGAGCGCTACATCATCGAGACGGCCAAGTTCTCCCAGTTGTTCGCCCATCAGATCATCTGGAACATGAAAGCAAATGCGTTCAAGGACGAGGACTCCTTGATTCCTGACCCTGTCAAGCCGACCCTTGACGTTGTCATGGCAAGCCTCGAGAACAGCTTCAGCCCCGAGGACCGTGAATTCTACGAGCGCGAATTCACTTTCTTCAACGAGGTCACGGGTATTTCTGGCAAGCTCAAGCCCTTCATCAAGAAGAGCAAGCCGGAGAAGAAGCAAAAGATTGAGGAGGAACTTCGCTCGATCAAGGTCGAAGTTGGCGTGTATTTGCCCAGTAACCCAGACGGTGTTGTCGTTGGAATTGATCGGAAGTCTGGTAAGCCCCTGCAGAGCCACGCAAAGGCTCCGTACATGGCGACTTTCCGCATCCGCAAGGAGAGGACTGAGATCCTACCGGTGGAGGAAGACGGCAGCGATGAAGGGAAGAAGGAGGAGGACTACTACGAGGTATGGCAGTCGGCCATCTTCAAGGTCGGAGACGACTGTCGTCAGGACGTGTTGGCGCTGCAGATGATTTCGGCTTTCCGCGGCATTTTCAACGACGTCGGCTTGGACGTGTATGTCTTCCCGTACCGCGTCACGGCCACTGCGCCCGGCTGCGGTGTCATCGACGTCTTGCCCAACTCCATCTCTCGTGACATGCTTGGCCGCGAAGCAGTCAACGGGCTCTACGACTACTTCGTCTCGAAGTACGGTGGCGAAGACTCGATTCGCTTCCAAGAAGCCCGCAACAACTTTGTCAAGTCGATGGCGGCGTACAGCATCATCTCATACCTGCTCCAGTTCAAGGATCGCCACAACGGTAACATCATGATCGACGACGCCGGCCACATCTTGCACATCGACTTCGGATTCTGCTTCGACATTGCACCGGGAGGCATCAAGTTCGAGCGGGCGCCGTTCAAGCTCACGCAAGAAATGGTGGCCGTCATGGGCGGCTCCACGGATTCGCAGCCGTACCGATGGTTCGAGGAGCTGTGCATCAAGGCGTTTCTGGCGGCGCGCCAGCACTGCGAGCACCTGGCGCACATCGTCATCGTCATGCTGGACAGCGGGCTGCCATGCTTCAAGCCCGAGACGGTCCAGCACTTCCGCGAGAGGTTCGTGCTGGACAAGACGGAGAGGGAGGCGGCAGACTTTATGCGTTTCTTGATCAAGAAGAGCTACAACAGCCTGTCGACGGGACAGTATGATAGGTTCCAGCTGCTGACCAACGGCATTCCGTACTAGCGAAGGAGCGGTGAGGGCTGGAAGGAGCCGGGTGAGATCATGTGTCGGGGGATTTTCGTCACTGGCGGTGGTTTAGGCGTCGCAAATTCCATTATCATTTTTAATCGAGCATCGTTCCTGAGGCCCAACGTCGACGCCTTCGCAATTGCAGTCTAGAGCATCGGAGCGGGGCAGTCATGCGAAACACCAACCTGCAGCTATCGTGACTCGCAGCCCGCTTTTTTTTTTCTTTGCGCCTGCCAGAATGGATTAGTGCGGATCGGCCGATGATGCGTTGTCGCGTGCCACTGGCGGCTCCACCTCGATCTTTCACCGCGTCTGGCCGCAGGATCAAGTCCTTCATCAAGCACTTCTCACTCCTTTCCACCCCTCTACCTCTTCTCGGGTAGGGAACACCTCAACGCCAACCCGTTTTTTTCCTTTGTCCAAGCTTTGACCGCGCCCCGTCCCCCCCGCCCCCGGGAGAAGGCAGAAAAAAAGAAGCCAGATCGACCGTTCCCGCCGGCGCGCTCGGAGCACATCATGGCAGAAGCAACAACCACCAACACCCAGCTGCAGGACTCGACCTCGCGCTTCTCCGTCATGACAGAGAGCTCCGACGACGCCGCCATCGCCCTGGCCGTGCGCCCGCTCCAACGGCCCTCTAGCGGCAGCCTGAGCGGCGGCGGCGGCGGCAGCGAGCGCCGTGGCCTCGGCACCACCGGCCGCCAGGCGGACGGCGTCAGCCGCGACCACCGCGCGGGCAGCGTCAACGGCGGCGGCAGCGTCGACGGGCTGGGCGACGGGCTGGGCGGCGACGGCGACGGCGACGACACGCCCGGGGAGAAGAGCCCGGTGGGCAAGACGTACTACTTCGACCTCAAGGGCGACACGCGGCTGCTGGTGCGCAACGACGCCGGGGTGGAGAACGTCTTCGTGTGCTCGGCCAAGGCCATGACGCTCGTGTGCGACGCGTGGGACCGCATGCTGTCGCCCGACGGCCACTTCAAGGAGGCCCAGGAGCCGGCCTCCGAGGCGGACCCGCGCGAGGTCGCGCTGCCCGACGACGACGCCACCGCCCTGTCCATCCTGCTGGACATTGCCCACCTGCGCTTCAGTCTGATCCCGGCGAAGCTGAGCTTCAGGCATCTGCTCGGCGTGGCTGTCCTGGCCGAGAAGTATGGCGCCGCGAGGGCGTTTCAGCCGTGGCTGTCGATGTGGGTGGGGGCGCAGAGGAAGAAGGTGGGCGTGCCTGGGTATGAGGAGTGGTTGTGGATCGCGTGGGCGTTTGGGGAGCAGGAGATCTTCGCGGATCTGGCGACGAGGCTGGTGAGGGAGGTGCGGGTGGATGAGAAGGGGAGGCTGGTGAATGCGGTGGGCAAGGTGCTGGATGGGGAGAGTGGGCTGGCGTGGTTCCCGCCGGATATTCTGGGTGCGTCTGGCCTCTGGTCCGTTTCGTGGTGCGTGGTGCCGACTTGCTGACTGGCGTGGTGTAGAGAGCATTATGAGCGTGCGGACGGCGACGATTTCGCTGCTCCAGGACGCGTGCTACGGCTACCAGGACAGATATTTGGCTTCCTACACGGTTCCGGACACTGCCAGTGTCTGCTGCCATTGCGGCGTGGACGTTGACCGGGAGTGTGACGCCACGGTGCTGGGGTCTTTTATCATCTCCCTCCATGAGAACGGCCTCAGCCCTTCCCGCGAGGATCCGACCAAGGTGAAGATGAGCATCGAGGAGTTCGCCGAGAGGCTCAAGCGGGTCGAGTTAATCGACTGCCGCCACACCCACTTTGGGAGCTGCAACTTCGCGCCCGAGTTGTGGGGGAAGATCGAGAAGGTGCTGACATGTATCCCTTCGCCGGTCCTGGACTCGCATGTCCGGCACATGGAGAGGCAGAAGAGGCATTTCTGACCTGCATCTACGAACGAGGTGGAGTGAGGACACTGAAGCAGACTTTGCAGGCTGTCCGGATCATTCGAGAAGCCTCTCGCTCTCAATGAACCATGTCTGGCCGCACAGACGACAGCAACTCCAACCCTGACGACGTTGACGCCGACAATGCGTCCTCCGAACCCACCCCAGGGACGCTTCACCTCGTTCAAAACAGGGACGTTCGTATAACGGTCTATGACAGGGGCGTACAGAAGATCTCCCTTGCGTCTTCTCATATCATGAGTTTGGTTTCCGACTCTTGGAGGCGGATGCTCGCTGGTGGCTTCAAGGAAGCCGAAGATGACGGAAATGGCACGAAAACATATCGCTTCCCGAGGACGATCCGAGTTCTCTCGCCACCTTACTCGACATCGCCCACCTCCGCTTCGCCAAGCTTCCCGTGGGTCCACCGTCGTTCGAAGCTGTCAAGGACTTGACCGTGCTTTCCAAAAAGTACTGTGATCGGGTATCCTCAGGCCCTGGATTGTTACGTGGGCGTCCACCTACATGGGCTAACCCCTCTACTACAAGCCCGGTCAAGAGGAGCTGCTATTCATCTATTGGGGGGTTGGCTGTCAAGAAGACCTGGAGTGCCTAGCTCGGCAACAGGCAGGAGATCTTGAAGTGACCGCAGCCAGTAAACTTGTAAACCAAAGCAAAGTTTCGGATCCGGAGGACAGCAATTGCTTCTTTCCACCCGGCCTTCTTGGTAAGGAGTACAGATTTCGATTTTTATTCCAAAGCTGTTCAATTGATATTTGTTCAGATTCGATTCTGCGCGTTCGCTCATAGATGATGTGCTGAATTGTGTCTACGGCTTGGTAAACAGATACCTAAAGCAAGATATGAGGGGACTTTGCCTATAGAAATACCACAACACGAAAATCAGGAAATGGTGTGATCTTCACAACTTTGTTCTCTTGCAGGATCTCTCCTACTTGCCGGATAGATAACGGACGGTCCAGCACTGAGAATGTGACTTGGAGTGCAAACACTCTATATACCGCAAGCTCATGGAGTTCAAGACCTGCCCGTTTCCACACGAAAATGTCTATGATAACGACACGGTTTGCGAATTCACCAAGTCACTCAAACCCTTCATCGAACAAATCTGGGAGTGGAAACCTTCTCCCCGGCTGGACTCTCACCGCGTGCATGTGGAACGGAAGAAGAAGCTTTTGGGAATCAGGAATAGAGATGACGCTCTGGAAACGTGGGAGCCGTGAACAAAATCGAGCCACGAAGAAAGATTATTTAAATATACATTCATGATCGGTTATCTTCTCCGACTGCATATGAAGAAAGGTTGTCTAGACATCTGTTCATGAAGGAAGGGCTTTCCAAAAGCCGTCCACATCGCGGATGCCGTAGCAATGATTCTTCAAAAAGTCAGTATCTGCATCGAAATGAGCCCGCGAAGTTGACGTACGTCGTCAACATGAGCTCACCCATCAGCTCTTCATAGTAACTTTTAGTAGCCGTCGATGTCCGGATCATATCTATCGGCGTCGGGAGTAGACGTAGCGGCGGTAGTAGTGTCGTGGTGACCAGGTCAGGCGTGCCGCTGTTCGTATTTCTGCCCTTTACCCTACTTTGTCCAGCCTGCAGCAGGTGAACGAACACAATAGCAGCAGCAGCTTCAGCAAACTGGATTGGGAGCTGGGGCGCAGTAATGTTCGCGTAGATGGCGAGAGAAGATTCGTTGCCGACAGCAGGTTTAACCATGGCCAGGCCTACAAAAGCTCTGGCGACAGTAACTGTGATCAACACCTGACCAGCTTGGTTGGCTAGAGATAACTCTTTCGAATTCTTGCACTCACGCCTCGATGAGGACTATCGTGTTTTCTGACTCTACCCCGGTTCATGCAATGATTGGTTATATACACTATTCGTCAACTGGCCATCACAGTTGCCCGGCTGGCGCAATCGGTTAGCGCACTCGGCTTTTAGTTAACTATAAGCACTATCAGCCAACCGAGGGGTTGAGAGTTCGAATCTCTCGTCGGGCGGTTCTTTTTTTTGGCCTCTTGACATGCGTATTGCCAAGACCGGCTCGATCTTCACGCGCGACGTCTTTTGATACGATAACATTCTGGCGTGAGGACCGTAAGGGCAACAATTGTCTTTTAGAAGCGTTCAAGGACGCACAGGTTGCATCCAGCCGTACAGCCGACCTAAATAGGAAACAGGCGCACTGGGCTATTCCGGTTGAGGCTTAGCGGCTAGGGTCAGAGCATCCCCCCGCCGCAATCACCAACGACTACAACAGTCAGAACAACAAAACCTCCGCAGAGGCCTCGAGTTCAACATGCAGGAACGCCAAACAAGAGCAAGCGGCGTGGTAACAAGCCTTAGCTGCTCTAGATAGACGCCGCCGATCCAGTGGAACTCTGAGGGAGAAGGGAGAAGGGACTCCAGGGATTTTCATCGTCAGGCCGCGTTTGACGCTGTTGGTCCGCTGCCTCCTGCACTTGGAGATGGGTAATGAGGAGCAGAAGAAAAGGGGAGAAGAAAATAGAGGAAGTGGATTGCGTATCATGATCAGTCGAGACCGCAGCAGGGGAGGGAGAAGGAAAAGGGGAAAGAGGAGATGCCGCGAAGGAAGCGAATTGCATATCATGAAACCAAGATGTAGCAGGAGAGGGGAGATAGATACAAGAGCGGATGGTGGTGATAGGGCTGAGACGAAGGCTAGAAGGAAGAAGATTTTCATATTTTTGTTTGATGCGGTACCGCCCGTTTATATTCTGTTGTAGCAAGTAATACATGACCGTGATGCGGGACATGTGTGTTAGTATGAAAGCGAAAAGGAGGCAGCTCGGTAGGTTTCCTAGACCCTGCTCCAACGACTAAGCTGTCTACGTGATTTGTTGGAACACACCCTTCTCACAGGGCCAGGCCCCCCAAGCTGGAAAGCGTACAAAGTGACGTCCTTCACGCCGCTTGACCGAACATCCAAATATCATGGTTAGATGGCACAATTGGCGCAAGGTCCCTGGCGGAGCTGCAGCCAGTTGGGAAAGAAATTGAGCCACGGCGATCCTCCACATGGGCAGTCGAAGCAGATGTCCCTCCATAGATGTACGTTCAAACAACCTTGCCGCATGAGTAGTGGATGGAGATACCCGGATACGAATCTAAGTTTTTATCACTATACAAATTCATCCAGATGTAAGATTCCACTACAGATCTGGGTGGGTTACTTTCCTTCATGATGCAGGCACGCGTGAAGTTCTCGCGCCAAAGAATGATCATCAGGCATAAGCACTAGCATACCCCTGTTAGTCACAGGGGAAATGCTCAAGCGCTTGAACGCTTGCTCCTAGTGTTTTACCCCGCTGATAGCCGTTCCTGCATTGGTCCCTCACGGATCTCTGCGCCTTCGCTCCTTTGCATCCACGCTTGTTGTTGTTCCCTTTGTCCGCGGCGCACGGTTGCAGAGCAGGCAAAGCGGTCGATTTTGCGGCATTGCCAAACATTCTACTGTTAGATCGGTGGAAACAGACGCCTGGACAAAGAGTGGCTGTCGTTATCTTCATGGAAGACATGTGGAGACCGACTACGGGAGACGTAAAGCTTCAACTTTAGGCGGACGATCTTTTGTGCATGTACATTAATGACCGACGCAGACACGGACTCTATCACAAACACATTTCATGTCAAACAAGTATGGCAACAACCACCATACCAGAGAACAATCTCTAATTTTCCTCTTCCCCAAGAGGTTTTTGCGACGCTACTCAAACATCTTCTAGAGCGAATGCTATCTCTTTGCAGAACGACAGGGACGATCATGCTCCCAATGCCAATGCAACCCATCCTCTATTCTACGCGCAAAATCTTGGCCACCCCGTGATTATGCAATGTACGCTGCTAATGCTGGACGGTTAAATGAAAAAGCGACGGCGGTGTGATTTTCAGAGGACAAAAAAAATCGACAAACAGAAACCAGAGCGAAAAAAAAAAACGATAGAAAACGCTTATATACAATCAATACACTGAGCACTGCGGTTGTGTTTGTGCGCGCAGGAAGGCCTGCGCAAAAAACTCCTGCATGGCCATATAATGGAAAAGGATGCCGCCGAGCACCGCCACATGCCAAATGTTGTGGCTGCCACCAACATAGTCGAACATGCCAGGGCACCAGCGCTCGGGGATCTTGGCGGCATAGAGCACAGCTCCGGTGAAATAAACAGCAAGGGACTTGACGATGGGAGCGTAAAAGTAAATTGCCCAGAAAAGGCCGCGGGCGTAGATGAGCTGGAACACAGGGATGAGGCCGGTGCAGGAGAGCGAGACGTAGAAGCAGACGCGGGCCCAGGCCATGTCGGCGCGGTTGAAGGTCGGGTGCCACGGCAAGATGACGCCGCCGGCGCCGAGCAGGAAAGTGGTACCCATGTAGATATAGCGGGACACGGGCTCGCAGTAGAAGGCGGTGTACTCGGTCGTCATGATGGAGGCGGCCACGAGGAGTGAGATTCCAGTGTAGTCGACGCAGGCGAAGCGCTCCATCAGTTTCTGCTCGGAAATGCTGCTCATGGTGTGCCACATGGTGCTGCAGACCAGGCACTTGCAGGCAGCGAAGAAGAACATGGCGGCAATGAAAATGTCCGACTTGCTCGACATGGAAAAGTTGACGCTGGTGGGATAGAAGTAAAAGGCAATGGACAGGACGATGACCAGGCCGATGGCGTGAGACCAGATGTTGAAGGATTCGTTGGAAATGTTGAAGACGGACAGGATGCAGTCCAGCTTGTCCTCGTGGAACCGGTAACCCTTCAGGATATGGGGGTTTACGCGCCAGGGCTCCGGGAGATCCTCGTACTTGATCAGGCCGTGTTCCTTTGCTCTTGCCAATGCGTGTACCACGGCATGCTCCACGCTCGTCTTCATGCTGTCCTTGGCCCGCCTTGCCTTCTCCAGACCCTCGCCCATCACTTCCTTTGCCTTGACCTTGGCGTCGTGCATCCTTCGGTGGCCTTCGTCGTAAATGTCATGGGCTACGGCCCTCACACCAGCGTCCCTCATGGCGTAGGCGCGGGCCTCGAAGTCGGCCAGCGTCAGTTCCAGCAACCGGATGCCCTCGTGCACCTTCTGCTCCATGGTCTCCTTCCGCGCCAAGGCATCCTGGTGTATCGTCTCCAGGGTGGTGACCAAGACACTGGCGCGGCGCTTGCCCGCGTCAATTACGTCATCCCGCACGTTTGAGCACGAGTCGCGCACGGCGTGAAGGGTGTTGTAGGCGCGCTCGATTCCGACGTCCAGCCTGAGCTGGCCGTAGGATTCTATAAAGTCGAGGCGACGCTCGAGCTCGAGCAGGAATCGGTCGACCTGCAATTTAGTCAGATTAATCTCCGCTCGGACTTTGCTCACACGACGTTGCAGGCGCACGCACCAAGACCTGTACATTGTCCTCCATGGACCAGTTCCGGCGGTGGTAGGACGAGTGTCTGCGCCGGCGCAGCTCTTCTCGACGGACAGCGAGACCGGAGGTGGTGGCTCTGATGGGTTCCTCGTGGGATTCGGTCATGATGGAGGTGACCGTGCACGCCATGGTGGGCGGACGGTGGAAGCGCGGTGGTAGGCACGTAGGGAAGCGGGTGAGGGGTGCGGTGAGAGGAGGATGCTGACGTCGGTGGTGGAGGGGCGGCGGTGGTGCAAAATAGTTGGCGGGCGGCGGCTGGGACGGCAGCTGAGACGGCGGCGAAACGAGAAAGGGAACGTGGATTGGGAGCGGACGCGTCCTGGGGCGTGGCTGCAGATAAAGAGGGGTCTGGCTGGAAGAGACGGCAAGTATCTACACGTGGGCAAGGGAAAGGAGCGGCGTGGGCTGGCGGCGAGTGCGGGCTTAATGTGGTAGAACCTTAGGGTGTGCCTGCACGCCGCGCCTGGTGGGGCGGGCCTGGAGCCTCTTTGGGCATGTGAAGCTGACTCGTGGGCCGCAGCAACGCAACCAACCGCCGCCGCCAAAGCCACCAACGACAGCGCTCAAAGCCCGCTTTCATCGCTGCTCATCTTCGCACAGCGCCCCTGCAGCGGCGTGCGCGGGGGGTGGGCGGCACGGCGGTTGGGCCCTGGGCGGCGCATTGCGTGCGGGTTGCCACCGCGGTGGGTGAGGCACTGATGAGGGACTGAGGGTCCGCCAGCCCGCCAGCCTTACAGGCCGCCGCTCGGCTACGGTGCCGCGCATGGATGCCCCAAGACTGCCCCAAGACTCCGCGCCCGCATGCACCAGCATGAGCCCGAGCGCGCCTTATCGCCCTGCGCCTTGCATGTAGTTAGCCCACCGTGTCCGACCGCGGTCCACGGTGTTGTGTGCGAGTGCACCGCCCGTTAAGCTGATGGCACCGGCCGGTAAGCTGATGGTGTTGCAGCTCGGCCGGTCCGCGGACGTGTTGGCCGATTGCGCGTAAAGCTTTTCGTTCTTTATGCGCGCATCCGGGCCAAGGCCGAAGGGATATTGGGGTCCGTTCGCGCCTAAAAGTTCCCAACTGAAATTTGCCCACTGCCCGCGCTGCCCGACCAAGCTCTGCTCCCTGCCGAACTGCCGCGCTATTGGCCACCACGCAGATCTATCCCGTACTACGTCGATCGACTGCTGCTGCTCCTACAGGAGGCTTCTGCAGGAGGCTTCTGCCAATACCATCCCTATGTTCCCGTCTTTCGTGCTTATAGGGGCTGCTGTTCCCCGGACGAGAGATAACACCGTTGATACGCGAGTCCCGGGTGTTTCCCAGAAATTGGACCGTGTCTCAGCGCGTTTGATCTCCGAGCTGTGTTGCGCCATCTCACTACCCGTAGTAATGAAGAGAAGAAAGTAGTTAATCTTGTGCGACCAAGTGCTTAGTGATGGAATGTCCATGGCGCAGCATCAGCAATGTGGCACAGAGCGCGCCGGTTCTCACCCTCACGTCGTCAGCCAGGACCCTTGCGAAAGGATCCTGTGGACGTGGACACGACTTGAATCTCCGCACCTTGCGTCTCAACCACAGTAACCAATCAAACGGCCCCCGCCCGCGGGCCGCACGCACGGGCGCCGCCGCCCGCCATCATGCCGGCCGTGCAACCGCGCGCAACTTCGACGCGTCTTCTGCCCGCCGCCGACCCTCGTCCACGCACCGCACCAGCAACAACGCCATTGACCGCGCCCACCGCCGCCGTCATGACCGCCGCCGACATCATCGCCGACCCGGACCTGCGCGCCGTCCTCGACGCCGCCTCGCTCGCCCAGCAGCAATGCGACGCGCTGCTCGCCGTGCTCGCCGAGCACCCTCTACCGCCTCCGACCTCGCCGTCCTCCGAAAGCGGCACCCAGAACATGCCGCCCGACGTCGCGGAGCAGATATCGTCGGCGCAGAAAGCCCTGCACGCCCACCTCGCCGCGGTGCGCAACCAGAACCGCAAGGCGCTGCTGAGCGTGCGCTCGACCAAGCACGCCACGGCCGACGCCCGCCACGAGGTCGACACGCTGCACCTGGCGCTGCAGAACCTGTACTACGAGCAGCGGCATCTGGAGTCCGAGATCAAGGCTTGCCAAGGCTACGACCATCCGTATCAGAAGCTGCCGCTGATGGCGGAAGAGGAGTTTGTGGCCGCCTTTCCCGAGGTGGTCGAGGGCTGTAGGGAAGCTGCGCAAAAGGCCGTCGGGGAGAGACGAGAGATGGCGGAGGGTGGAGAGCAAGCGGGCGAGGACGTGGGGATGGAGGGGGGAGAGGAGGATGCAGCCTACGAGGAGGAAATGTTCGAAGACGCCTTGATGAAGGCCAGGATCGAACAAGAGCACAAGGAGAGGTTGGCGTTAGAGGAGAAGAGGCAGGGCTTGCTGAAGAAGAAGCAGGGATTGATTGCGGAGAACAACAAAAGAAAGGAGGACCTGGCGAAATTGGACGAAAGTTTGGAAAAGTTCATCGAGGTAAGCACAACCCTATTCGTTTCAGACGGCCTCAATGGTAACACAAGTACCCTCAGGCTGCCAAGCCCATCGAGCAAACGTTTCAAAAAGAGTACTAGGGTTGGCATCGTAAGATACGAGGGGCAGATGGCCGTACGAATCTCGTACTTCAGCATGGTAAATGGCGTCTGGGATCACCAAACACACCGGTTCGAATCTTCTACATCTAGCACGGCGTTACGAGAAACGTAAGGGGGTACGAAAGATAATGAGTGAAGCAAGACCCCTCATTCCGGCATATTAGCAAGGCCATAAGGCAGAGCAGTTAATGTCAAAAAATAATCTCACTAGCTCTGCTTAGTGGGAATCGTAGTGACATTGAACAAATTCTCAGCACTCTATCATGCTTCGACGTTTGGCGAAGATTGACAACGCCCACAGACAATTCTTGTGCTCGCAAGAAATGCTAATGCACCATGACGACAGTCGTACAAAACGTCATGCATGCATCTATCCCCTTCACTGGCGCAGAATATTCTTGATCTTCTCTTGCGTCTCCCGACTCACACCCGCGTTTTCCAAATACCCCTCGACACCGCCGTGCTTCTCTTCCAAGAAAGTCCTTACTTCCACCACTAGGGTAGGATCGCAGTCGGCCCATTCCGATCCCAAACCAATCCTGGCGATCTCCTGTACACGCTCCTCCCTTTCTGGCTCCAGTTCCGCCTGGGTTGCCATGTAATCACGCTGGACATCTTCCAAGTCCACACCTAGCAAGAATAGCGTCAACATGGTTACCAGCCCTGTCCGGTCCTTCCCCTGGGTGCAGTGCCACAGCACTGGGTAGCTCTCCTCTCGCGCCAGCACCTCGTTAAAGACAGTGGCGATTTCTTTTGTACAAACGGCCAGGCTGTCAAGCATCAAGCCGACGACACCACGGGGGCTCATGACCTCATGGCCAATAATCTGCACGGCTTCGACGCGGTAGCCAGCAACGTAGTAGGTCAGTACAGTAAGGTACGAGCGCCAAGAAAGTTGGGACAGCATCGAGCGGATATAAGCGCCGCCGTTGAAGTTTACGTCGCGATAGGTGATGCCCGCGATCTTCGGGAGGTCGGCGGCTGTGGCGGACGCAGAGGTGCTCTGCGGGGTTGGGACGGTGGAAACATGCTCGCCGGTCCGGGCCCGAGCGGCGAGCTTTTTAGCTTGCTCGAGGTGCTCCGTGGGGCTGCGGAGATCGACGATGGTATGGATGTTGTACGTCGTGCTTAGCAGAGCTTGGTCCTCGGGCGTGGCTTCGTCTGTGCACAACGTCAGGTGCCGCCGAGCTGGGTGCGCGGTGAGGGAGCGTACCTGGCCTGGCGCTGCGGAAGAGCTTGCCTGGCTGCAGCTTGGAAGGCTGGGAGAGGAGGGAGGAGACGTCGCGGAAATTGAGAAGCTTCTCAAAACGAGGCTGTTGTGTGGCCATGGCGCGTGTGTGGGCAGCGGGGACGGGGCCAAAAATAGCAGTTGTCCAGATAGTAATATTCAGGCACGCAGGCAATCTGTTTGAGACGTAGATCGCCCGAGAAACGGAATTGATGCCAGGCGCAACAAGTATATTCCTGCTTGGTTGAAGAGACTGCAACAGATGTTTGCTTGCTGTGCCGAAGTGCGCGCGCGGCGCGATGCTCTGGCACGATTGATGACACGACTCGAACGGCGGCACTTCAGGTTCGTGGGCGCACTGACAGCAGGTTAGTGGTCGCAGGGCGGGGATGGAGTCGGTTTGTGGACAGGTTTTGCGACGGTGGTCTCGAGTGGGCGGCGGTCGAGATTGTCAGGCAGGTTCCCTGCGCCGATCAGCCCCATGCAAAGACACGCTTTGCACGCTTCGGGCGCAGCAGGTCGCAGGGAAGCTCCACTTGCGCAGATCGTCATCGGTGGGACGGCAGCCCCAGCGAGCGCACAGCTGATAGCCGGCGGGTCACCAGCACACGGGCTGGCGACGGGCTGTCTTGGCGCTCGCGACAGCCTGCAAGCCACAGGCGCCGGCGCGCCGCCCAGCTCGTTGCGGCTTAGTCGCTAAGGGTCCTGCGTCTGGCCGCACCGGTGATGTCATGGCGCCCATGTGCTATACAATCCGCGCCCGGCCTCCGCGCTTCGCTCTGCTGGCATCCTTGCGGCACATCTTGTCCAGCAGGACACCATCTCACACCCCGCCAATCCGCTCTTGCACCGCATGTCTCCCGCCTCGTATCCATTCGTGTAGGAATTGCCCGCCCCCGCCGACAGCCTATAGTTCCCACCATGGCTGCGACCGCTGCTCTCCATCACGCCCATGCAGGTGCTCCCGAAGCACGGGCATGTTCCCCGCAGTCGGCCAAGCCCTTTGCTTCGGGCGACATGGCCTGCCCGGATCCGTCCGTCCACGGCCGGGACAAAAGGCTTCAAGAACAAGCTTCGACCGCTGCGCTCTACGTCACCCAGCCCGAGCGCTCAGCAAACGCAGAGCAGCAGGATCCACTTGGTCCTGATGGCAAGCTCTCCTCGGCGAGTATGCGCCTCCAGCATCACCGTGACTAGTGGACAGCCACCCACTGACTACGCATCAACAGGTGCCGCGACCTCCCTCAAATACGCTAGAGCACAAGACCTGCCCAGCTTTCCGATTGTAGGCATTGACACAGCCAACTCTGCAGGATCCGCAGCGCTCCTGGCTGCAGGAAACAAGACCAGAATTGAGTGGTGGAAGCCTGATGGCACGTCTGACAACGCTGCCAAGGCTGCTCTTTTGGCCAAGGACTACAAGATGGCGCCGCTCTGGAAACCCGAACTGAGCGCGGCGGGCTCCAAGGCTGCACTGCTTGCCCACAAGGACGGCCCGAAACCCAACCTGTGGGTGCCGGAGGCAAGTGCAGACGGCAACTCAGCTGCAGGCATTGCCATGCGCAACAAGACGCTGAGCCCACAGACCGACTATGGTTATTCCGATACTGGCAAGAGGAATGCGCTCACAGCTGCAACGGGGGCAGTAGCTGCCAGGAACAGGAGAAGGGCAGAGTCGTCACCTGCACCGCTTCCCAACTATCCCGATGCAGCCAACTCTGCCCACAACTCTCTAAACGCTGCCACTATCGCCCATAGACCGTCAGTCAAGAAGCCTCACGACGCCAGCCACCTCAATTCGGAAGCCATGCAGTCTGCACGGATTACCCACCTCGGTGCCAATGTCCCAAAGGAAATGTTCGGCTCGACCCCGCCAGTCTCGATCGAGGTCGAAGAGCAGCGACGGCAAGCTGCCCTTCGGGCCTCCGCAATCTCCATGGCCAAGCAAATGTACAACACACAGCAACACGCTATCAACGAGGCAGCCGGCCGCTCCAGCTTTGGTGAGACCGCAGCTCGTGGGGCTAGCGCACGACCAGCGTCAACAGCAAGCACCTCACCCGCAGACCTCAAAACGCAGGCACTACAATACATGAAGGTGCAAGATCAGGCCCAGAAGCTTGCCGCTGAACGACTAGCCAAAATCGACGCGGACGGCGCAGGTGATTTCCGCGGTTACTACGGTTACAACACAACCAAGCGCTCGCGGCTTTCGATACGCCGAGGGAGGCGACGCGCCAACAGTGATGGGGTCATGGTTGATTCCGATGACGAAGAGCAATCGCGGCGTATCAGAAACCAGATGTCCATCTTCAACACCAAACTTGCCCAAGTCGACTTGAAAAAGAGGCAGCAGGACCGCGAAAGCCTTCTCGCCGCTGCCGAACGCAAGGTACAGGCTCAGATGCATACCATGGATGAGAAAGTCTTCATGGAGACTGGGAAAGTGCCACCGGCGATTATGGAGGAGTGGGAGGCCAGAGCCCGCGCTAAAGCGGCTGAGCAGAGCGAAAAGCGCATGGAGAACCACGGTAAGGTACACGTCGGTGGCGGCAAGTTCCTGGACCAGTCCGAGATCGATGCTGTTGCCGCTAGCAAAGTCGCGCCAACCTTGAATGAGATTGCAGAGGCAGCCGAGGCGAAGAGAGCTCGGGACGAGGAAAGACGACTTGATGAGGAGGAGCGGAAGCGCCTGGCCGCCGTCGAAAGGGAGCGGGAGGCTGAACGAAAGGCCGAGGAGAAACGGATCAAAAGTGAGTATATCCAATCATTTGTGTAATCTCTGGGTCATTAACGTTATGCAGGTGAGTTCAAGGCCGAAGAGAAGAGCCGAAAATCCCATGAAAAGGCCGCTGTGAAGGCTGAGAAGGAGATTGAAAAGGCACGACGTGATGAAGAGAAGAGGCTCAAGCACGACCAGAAACACAAGCCAAAGGCGGAAGAAGAAGAACATGAGGACCACTTCGATGCGCCTATGACCGTTCTGGAGCCTCGACCTGCAACTGCAAGCACACACAAAGACGAGCGCCCTGCACCTTTGGCTACCATGCCAAGCTACCAGGCAGAGGTCGAGGCGATAGGCGACGTCGCGTCCTCCGATGAAGAAGATACAGGTCCCAGGAATACGATTGACCCAGAAGAAACATCACATCAAACGCGTCGTGTGGCTACCGCACCGACACCTTCTGCTAAAGCATCTGATCCGGGCAGTGAAAACGCTCGGTCAGCGAAAGACGTCTCTTTCTCTGCACCCTCGTCCCCGATCGACCACTCTGCTTCTTCAAGGGAAGGTGGTAGTCGCGGTCTCAAATCCTTGTTCAGCCGTCTAAAGCGTCGCTCTCATCTCGGACGTTCCAAAGAGAAGCCCGAAAAGGACGAGTCCGGATCTCACTCCATTGGCGGCGGTTTCATTGGCGGCGCGGCGCTCCGCTCGCAGAGCTCCCTTGCTGCTCCTCGCCCCCAGCTGCAGCAACGTAGTCATTCGACAAACTCTCCAGTTCCGGACAGAGTGACGCCTATGGTCATGATCCCACCGGCACGCCGCTTCTCGCCCAGCATCAGCAGCTTGGAGAGTGGTGAAATTGCTCGCACCAGCAGTGGAGGTGACCTTGGAAGCAGCTGGAGTAGCCGGGGCCGGCAGCGTAGCGCGGCCACCGGCGTGAGCAGCGTGTCCAATGGCGATGATGAAGATGAGGATCAATTCGTCGATGCCGGTGAGGCCTTAGAACCACCTCCGCGCTTGACCACGAAAAGGAGCACGGAGAGTCCTCAGCGAGACAGCCGGTTCATGGAGAGGTTCTGATATGTCGCCCTATTGGGATGCTGCTACGCAATGAGTACGCACGTGAGCTGCTCATAACGTCTGTGGCTTTGTCATTTCAGTTTTCTTTTACTTACCCATTACTGGACTTGGTCAAGTGGTCGTTGTTTTCCTTCGGAGTGCTCAACAGCACGCGCACACATGCATACTGGGTTGGATATCGAAACACCTCTGCCTTTTCTTTTCTTTTTCTCTTTTTCTATTCTGTTTTCTTGACATCCCTGGTTTGGTTGATATCCCCCAACGGCCTTGCACACATACCAATATCTTTTCTACTTTCTTAGCTTCTCTCAAATATCCTTTCGAGCTGGCAGAAACAAAGGCAGTGACTATGTAGCACTATGACTGACTGCAGTTTTCATTCACACAAAAGGGGTTATCGCTGACTTTTGGCGCACACAAGTGGCCGGCGACTGGTTGGAGAGAACAAGGTAACGATTTTCTTTTTGTCTTTTTCTTTTTGATACACGATGTTAGCGTTGGAAGCGGATTCATTCAGAACTGGTCTTGTTTTTCTCTTTCTACCTATGTCCTTTGTATCGCAAACTTTCTATTGCCTGGCACCAGAAACATGCCCCTTTTGTTCTCTCTAGTCTTCTATAAAATCAATTCCCCACTTTGGAGGTGACGAAAGCCTTATCGAGTGATAATATCCAAGGCAACGGCAATGTTTGTCTCTCAGGCATCCTAACCGCTGGCACGGCCAGCGGCTATTGTCCACCCTCCATCTGAGAAATTTTTGGACTCCCGCTACGTCGACGTCGTCGCATCAGCTCGGGCGCAGGTCGTACCAGTATCGGCGTGTCTGGCGGTTGTAAAGTGCTACGACGTAAAAAGTACTGCGTGTGATACGCAGCTACCGTTCTGCTCTCCATCTGATGAGCAGCTTTGCCGGCTTGGCGTGGTAGAGAACGGCTGCCATTCTCGTTTGCCTTTGGCCATCGGGGTGTTTGGGGACTGACCAAAAGAGAGAGAGAGAGAGAGAGAGAGAGAGAGAAGCGCGGGCCGACGCTAGTTTGAACCCCAGAACCCAGGTCCGCAGCAGCAGCCGAAGACCGGCGAAAGTCTAGAGCCAATGCAGGGAGAACCAAACAACGGCGCTCCAATATGCAGGGAACCTGACGGTACACCAAACGACGACCGGGGCCCATATACGGAGGCTATTGGAAGCCAGCCAGTCATCAGCTCCTCCTGCGTGCGTTGCACACTCCGCGAACGAGGGTCCTTCATCATTCCATCATCCCATCATCATCATCATGCTTCCCTTTCTCCATCACCTGAAAGACCCGAAATCCAACTTCCGGGCCACCTTGTCCCCGCGGCCTGCTTCATCGGTGGTGCCGGGAATCTCGCCGCCCCGCCGCTTCAGGTCCTCGCCCATGCGCTTCTCGAGCTCGGCCTTGGCCTTGGTCTTGTTCGGGTTGGGCAGGTCCTGCTTGGGGGTGGGTCTGGGCTCCGCGGACCACCAGGGGTGCTCGAGGACCTGCTTGGCGGTGGCGCGGCGGCGGGGGTCGAGCGTCAGCATGAAGCGCAGCAGCTGGATGCCCTGGGGGCCGATGAGGCCGAATTCCGAGTCCCAGAAGCCCTGGGGCCAGCCGCGCTTGATTTCCGCGGCGTCGGCCGAGGGTTTGATGTAGCCGGGGAGCTTGGAGACGCCGGGCCAGTTGTCCTCGGTCGGGGTGCCGAAGACGTTTGCGATCTGGTCGAGCTGGGCGAGGTCCGTGTCGCCGGGCATGAAGAAGTCGCGGCGGACGAGCTCGGCGAAGACGACGCCCATGCTCCACACGTCGACGGCGCCCGAGTAGAAGCGGGCTTGGTAGAGGAGCTCGGGCGGCCGGTACCAGCGCGTGATGACGTTGTAGGTCATGGGCGCGTAGAGCTCGGCGAAGGAGCGCGCGAGACCGAAATCCGCGAGTTTGACCTCGCCGTCGGCGCCGATGAGCAGGTTGTTGAGCTTGATGTCGCGGTGCAGCACGAAGTTGGCGTGGCACCACCACAGGCCGCGCGAGGCCATGCCCATCCACGACTTGACGTCGGCCGCCGCATACGAGATGGTGTCGCGCGCCTTCATCATCTGTTCCAGGTCGCCCAGGGGGAGGAACTCGAGGACGAGGTTGAGGTTCTGCGCTTTCGAGCTGTACACGGCGTGGAGCTTGATGACGTTCGGGTGGTCGAGTTCCTGCAGGTGCTTTATTTCGCGGATGGCGTCCATCGCGATGCCGTCTTTGAACTCGGCGTTGACTTTGATCTTCTTGATGGCGACGAACTGGCCGGGCTTTTTCACGACTTCGCCCTTGTATACGATGGCGTATGTACCCTCACCGAGCTTCGTTGCTGTTCCAGATGAAGTGCGTTAGTGTCTGAGACTACATGGGGAAGTGGCGCGCCGAGCGCATACTTTTCTTATATCTATTTTTGATCTCCTCGTTCATGGCCTCGGATAAGTCGCGCGGCGCGTCGCCAGAGATGGCGTCTGTTCCCGCGGTAGTAGCTCGAGGAGACATGGCTTTGCCAGCATTGTGTTGTAGGACGGTGAGCGCTTTGGCTTTGGCGACTGTGATGTTGGCGTTGGCAGACGCTGCGTAAGGCTCAGCTGGAGAGACGGCCATGGTGGGTAGCGAGGGTGGGTGCGAAAAAGTGTGTAGGACTTCGAGGGTCGAGACGGGCTAGCAGGGTGGTAAAGGAGCGCGGGGAGCAGAGTTGAAAGGAAGGCAGGCCCCCGCTGTGGAGCTCAAGTAGGCGATCCCTCTGGGTGTTGTGCGGATGCTCGGTGGCGCAGTGGCGACGGCTTGGAGACTGCTATCTCGCTGCAGCTGCAAGCATGTGAGCGAGTGTTGGACGCACGGAAGGTAGGTATTTGGGTAGGACACGAGAGCAGTGGATGGGAGGAGTCGCGACAGGTGCAGGGATTCGGCGCCAGCGACGCGGCGCTCTGCCGACGAAAAGTTCCCGCGGGCGAGCAACGTCTAACCTCCAGCTCCACCTCCGCCCAGTTCTCAGCGCGACGACTCGAACTCGAACCCATACGCCCGGCAGCTCACTCGCTGCAACTGTGCTTCAGGCAAGCCATTGCCGACCTCAATCGCCAGAACGACCGTCCTGACAGCTGCTCCAGGCTCCACCAAGTCGCGCATCACCACCATGATCATCCGGCCAAACCCCCAGTTGGCACAGCTACTCCGGTCCAGCACCCCGGCAACGTCGATATCCTACCAATGCGCGCGCCAACTGCATAACCGCATCCCCCAGCGGCCCGTCCCGCAGCCCACGCCTTTCGTTCCGGACGTCAACACCTTCCTCACCGTCATCGGCCGCAAACTCTCTCAACACTCCGCCAAGATACCTACGTGGGAGGCACTGTTTAGCCTGAGCTCCGAGCAGCTGCGCGAGCTAGGCGTCGAGCCTGCACGGTCGCGCCGCTACCTGTTGCACTGGCGCGAGAAGTTCCGCAACGGCGAGTACGGTGTAGCCGGCGACGCCAAGCACGTCAAGGACGGCGTTGCAGAGGTCCGCATTACCGAGGTCCCGTCCAGCAGTACCTCGAAAAAGCCGCAGCTTGCCACTGCTACTTCTTCGCCGGGAATGAAGAAGATTGTCGTCAACGTGCCGCAAGGCGTCGAGGTCTCGGAGCAGGTGCTGAAATCCGCGAAGCCACTGCGCGGCCTGACGGTCAAAGGGGCAAACACTATTGTCGGCCCACGCGTTGAGGCAGTCTCGGCCAAAGTTGCGAGGGTAGCCGTGCAAGAGGGGCTGTGGGAGGAGAGGAGAGGACACAAGGTTGATGGTGGCGAGAGGAGGAAGGCTGAAGTTAGAGCGAAGAGACGAGCAGCTGAGAACAAGAACTAGCCGGCTCTCCCACTGCCCTGGGATTTGGGCTGAGATTTAATGTGGGTTGTACCTTTCTCACTGTGTATTGTACGTGCATGTGTATATCATTTGGCGTGCAGCCGCCGTACCGTTCAACATCTTTGACGGTAGTCTTTTCTTTTTTTGAACAGGCGGGACGTAGTGTTATAAGGGGGAAAAAAGGCCCTGATGTATTGCTACGAGAAAGTATATGTGTAGGCAGCGGCTTGCACTGGTGTGCTGATCGCACCTGCCATTGAAGCGCCTGCCTCTCTGGCCAGTTGTTGATTTCGCACCAGTGCTGCAGCCGCCACCCCAACTACTCAATTGCAAACACGAGCATAGGACACGACCTGTCAGTGGCACAACAAAAATGACGTCGAAAGGCATCTTGCACATAGAAGTCCGGCTTCGCCAAACGCCCTCTCCATTCTGCCGCGCGGACGAGGTGAGTTCCGCGCCCAGTCGCGAAAACCGCTGCTGACAGCAGTCCGTTCAGGTCGTAGATGACGTCTCGCAATGGATACTGCAAAGTTTCAGCTACCTGAAAGTGGGAGAGACGGTGTCCGGTGACGGTGAGCGGTCTGTGAGACCCGTGCCACTAGAACATTTCCGTTAATCTTTGACGCAGAAAATCTCGAGAGTGTTGAGAGCATCGAATACATCAAAGTCGACGGCTTCACCGGCCGTGATGAGGATAATATCTGTTTCTCCCTCCAAGATGTCACGCTTGACGTCCATGTCTACCGCCTGCAAGATGACGGAGACGCAGCATCAGCTACGTTGTTGACTCTGACTGGCGATGACCGAAGCGTCGACAACCAGACTTCATATCAAATCCATGCGGCTTCCTTGCCGAACACCAATCTAGAGGGGCTATGGGAGTCGTAGGTTGGCCACTTCCGGCCTCAGCGTCGTTTGCTTACTAGCTTTATGCCAGCCTTGTTTACCCCGGGGATCTCCACGTCAAACTGCTGCGACTCGCGACGCGCATGTGTAGGGGCATTCGGACGGCGACTTCAAGGCAAATTACTAACGCATGTAGTGACTATATTACGCAAGCGCGCCTCGGACTCGAGAAGTGGCCACTGCATCAGCTGGAACGGACTCTTCCTGCTGTATGGTCCACCAGGTAGTGGGAAGACGACTCTATGGTGAATTGCTATGCTTACTGTAGGATGCCGTTGAGTTGGATACGCTGACAATGTGGTTTGAGCAGTCGAGGCCTGGCACAGAAGCTGAAGATACGTTTGGGAAAAATATACACACACGGCAAGATGATCGAACTCCATCCAAACTCACTTTTCAGCAAATATTTCGGGGAGAGTGGACGGATTGTGGGCGAGATCTTTGATAAGATCCAAAGCACCGCGGATGCCGAACCAGAGACGTTGATTTTCGTTATGATTGATGAAGTTGAGAGCTTGGTCTCTCCGCGTGAAGAATCCATGTGCGGCGAAGTTGCAGATGCTATACGGGTAAGACAGACCACTCCATTGACTTGATGGTTACTAGCTGACGTCACAAGGTAACGAATGGAACACTGACCGCACTTGACCGTCTCCGGCATCGGCCTAACGTCATGGTGCTGTGTACCAGCAACCTTCCTGATGCAATTGTATGCCACTCTTCGTTTACTTACTGGAGGTCGGATCTGGCTAACTATATTAGGACTCTGCTTTCCTAGATCGCGTCGACATGTCACAAGCGGTGCCGAACCCTGGACCAGATGCAGTCTACGGCATACTTCGATCATCACTGAATGAGCTCCTTAAACAAGAGCTTCTGGTGCCTATCACAACTTGCAAATCCCAATCGTCATCCCTGGCGGTCGAGGGAGCAGCTGCAACCGAAGAAGACGAATGTTGGAGAACGACCGACGCCGCTAGCACCTTCATGGAGAATCCGCATCTGTTCCCTTCCATCGGATGGGTAACGATGATGGCCGCAGAGGATAGCCCGGCGTTCAGGCTATGGCTCCTCGCGAAGAAGTGTGTTGGATTGTCTGGGAGATCTTTGCGCGGGCTCCCGATGAAAGCACTAGGTCTCTACACCTACGCCGAACGTCCCTCGGTGAGCGAGATGCTGGACGCCCTCCAGCTCGCAGTTGACAAAGAAAACTAAACAGGTAATGGCTGATCAATCTGGTGGGATGATGGAGGACGGAGGGACGACGAGGCGGGAATTGCATTGCTAGAACGAGGAGCCGCAGCCGGTTGCTTCCGATGTTGGCTCGAGTGGGGGCCGCGAAGATGGACGTAAGAGTCATCGCTGGCTAAGAGCCAAAAGTCCTGTTTCGAGGTTGCTCAAGGCTTAGCGTGCTGTATTAAAAAAAGACGGTCTAGCCCCCACGGATGCAGCATTGCCTCACTCAGCGCACGTGTCTGAATCTCGACGAACGGCAGGCGGCTTACAGCAGCAAGAAAGCGCCATTGATTCTGCAGCAGCCAACGGCGGATGCTTCAGGGCAGAGCCACCCTGGTGCACCCGGGGATCTGGAGGGGGTGGCAAGCGGCGGGGAGGATTGGGCAGGAGGCGCGCAGCAGATGTGTCCGAGTTGGGCGAGACATGTTGGGCTGCATCACTAGCATCAGCGGCGGCGTGCCGCTCCGCATGGGCGCCGCGTGGGCGGCGATTGGCGTTCGTGAGCCGCAAAAGGGTCGAGCCGAGCGCGCAGTGGCCGGCGGAGGGCTGACCGGTTGGCCGGTGCCAGAAAAAGATTTTCCTGGCGGAGGCTGGGGAAGCTGGTTGGAGGGCGGGGTCGGCCTGGCGCCAGTGGTGACGGCCACGTAGCGGCGCATGAGCGGGACAGCAACACCAGCTGTACGTGACGGCTGTGCTGGGCCCGGGTGACGGACGCAAGGATGGCGGCTCTGTGACTCTTGCTTGGACATAAAAGGCCGCGCCAGGCCAGGCCAGGGGCGCGCGCGCAGCAAACGGCCAAGTGATCCTTGCCCGCTCATCAGCTCCAGCCTTATTACTCTGTCGTGCCTCGCAGGGTTCTGAAACGCAGCCCGCTGTTGTACGGCGCAACGCACGCACAATCCGGCCCAGAGCCAAAACAAAAAGGACGGTGCCGCCCTCGTCGAAGCTCAGTCTGCATCGACCTCTGCGCCGCCTCCCGCCGCCCTGTCCGCATCTCAATGTCCTGCTACACCAACGACCGCAACTACATCTTCCTGCGCAGACCCCGAAGGCCCGTCCGCGCGCCTTGAGCACCCACCGCCGACCTAGCGACCGTTGATCGCCCGCCCATTCTCCAGATCTCCGCGCTGCGGGAGTTGCTTGAGCAACCCGAGCACGTTCTTCTCCCTGCCCCGACGGCGAGCACAGGGCAGACTCACGCTCACCACCACCACCGCGTCCGCCGCATCGCATCGCATCGCATCGCAGGTACGTCTGTCTTGTCGCCAGCCGGGAGCGCCGCCGGGCCGCGCGCGGGCGACGGGTCACGTTCGCGCCCGAGGGTGGGCTGGCTGCAGCCCAATGCGCATCATTGTTTTTTGACCGGTCACGTACGCGGTGCTGACTAGCAGACTGCAGTAGTGCGGCTACTGAAGCCTGATCCCGCGCCCGCAGACGTCAGGCTCGCAGCACCCCGAGGCACGCAAGGATCCGCATTCCTTACTTATCGCCGCCTAAGCCCAGTCCCGCGTCGCCATTCCTAGCCTTGCTTTCAGGCGACGAGCGCGCCAGAAGAGATTGCGACGGCCGCAGCGCCAGCAGCACCAACGAGCGCTCGCTGCTGCCTCAGGACCCCGGCCACGCCCGCGCCCTCGTCGAATCACCGGCAGCCCTACCGACGCCTGCGACACGCCGACCCCTCGCGCCTCGCGAGCGCTGCCCATCCCTTTGCTTCTTTTACAGCCCGTCGCCCGTTGCGCGCCGCCTCCTCGCCGTTGCGCGCCTGTTTACCAACACGCCGCCTGCTGGAGCTAAAGGAAGCTGCCCGCCCCGCCCCAGCCTCGCTGCACCCACCCACCAACCCGTGGGCCCCCTCTCGACTTTCTCTGGTAGAAAGGCTCCGAGTGAGGTGATCCCTGGCTACAACCGTCTCCATGCCGTAAGCCACTCACTCTCCCCGCTCTCCCGCACGTCGCGCTCTGCGAACACCATGCTAACGCCCCGTCCGTTTCAAAGGGTATCAAACATCCACATCATACACTCCTCGGGTTCCGAGCACCACCCCTCGTCTGACGAAGAGTTCGTCGGCGCTGGCGTACCTCTAAGCGACTCAAACGCTGGGAGCCTCCACGACGACACGGACGAATCCTTGGGCAACTCTGGAGAGGACTGGGTTGAAGTCGACGAGGACGAACTTGACCCCTCTGACTCAGCCTCCCGTCCGCGTCCGACCAGACACAGCAGCAGCAGGCATCGCAGCCACCCAGAGCCACGCCCGTCCAGCCATCGCCGTTCGCGCTCTCACGCAGCCCCCGTCCAAGAGCCGCCCCGTCGTCACCGCGCCAGAGCTTTCCCGCGCGAGGACTACTCAAGAGAACGTAGCGAGCACAGTGCGCATCGTCGTCGGCCAGCGCCCGGCGACATTGACGAGCTGGAGTACCCACCAGACGACTATCCGGGTTACCCCCGCAACCCGCATGGGCACCACAGCCAATGGGGCCACATTCCACCCAGCGTGACCTCGGGATATGCTCCGAGCATGATGTCCGGCTTCCAGCCTTATGGCGCTGGGGCGGACAGGGCGCTGGTCCCCATGGCGCCCGTGGCTCCTGATCCGTACGGCTTTCAAGCGAACCCTTTCGCGCCCAATCACCATGCGTATTCTCAGAACCAAAGCATGGTCGGTGCTGGTTTCCATGATTACCCCCCACAGGGGCCACGTCCAGGAATGGGGCGTCAACGTTACTCCGTTGGAGGCATGCCCGGCCAGCCCCCCGTTCATCCTACTGGCAGTATGACACCTTACTACACTGGGTACGATCACCATTATGGCATGCCGCCGCCAATGCCGCCGTATGGTTATCATCCAGCCCAGTACCGCCATTCACCCGACCACTCGCCTGATCGCATGAGCCGACAGCACAAGCATGCTCCATCTAAAGCACCCTCACCTCCATCACCAGCTCCGCCGCCGCCGCCACCCGCTCCTGTTGCGGTTGGTCCGCCGCCGCCACCGGCGCCTCCGCCTGCTCCACTGCCTCCCCTAGAGCCCACGCCTGCGGAGAAGGAGGCCATGGCGCGTGCTGCAGAGCAAGCGGACCGCCTCAAGAAACTGGAAGAGCTCCTTATGCAGCAGGCCCAGGCGCGAGTGGCTAAGGAAGCCGCCAAGCAGAAGGCAGTCGAGGACGCAGCTCTCGCTGCCGCCGAAGCCAAGAAGGCAGCCGAGGAAGACAAGCTGTCGAAGCTACATGATCTTCTGGTCGCTCAGCGCGATGAGCAGAAGGCTCGCGACGAGGCTATTGCTGCAGCCCGCGCCGCAGAAAAGGCCGAAGCTGATGCAAAGGCTGCCAAGGATGCAGCAGAGAAGCAGAAAGCAGCGGAAGACGCAGCTAAGCTGTTGGCGGCTGCAAAAAAGGCAAGAGAGGAGGCGGAAACCAAGGCTGCAGAGGAGGCCAAGGCAGCAAAGGAAGCACATGAAAAGGCGCTTGCCGAGGCTGCCGCAGCTGCGGAGGAGTTGAAGAAGGCTAAGGAAGAGGCAGAGAAGAAGGCTGAAGAGGAGGCCAAAGCCAAGGAAGAGGCGGAGAAGAAGGCTGCTGCTGCTGCCGCTCCCCCACCCGTGGAAAAGCAGCCGCCTATCAAATTCAAGGATGCCGTGGGCCGAAAGTTCAGCTTCCCATGGCACATCTGTTGCACGTGGAAGGTACGTACATCACAATTCAACGTTACTGATTGGTTTAGCTTTGCATGCTGACGCTGTCACAGGGTATGGAAGAGCTCATTAAACAGGCTTTCCTTCACGTTGATGTCATTGGCCAGCACGTACACGATGGACACTACGACCTCGTAGGGCCTGACGGAGAGATCATCCTGCCTCAGGTCTGGGAGACCATGGTCCAGCCCGACTGGAACATCACGATGCACATGTGGCCCATGGAAGAGCCACCGGCCCCTAAGTCTCCCCCACCCATGGCACCACCACCACCACCACCACCACCCATGATGTCGCCGGGAATGGACATGCCTTGGACAGGTCTGAACTTGCCCCATCGCCAGCCATCAAAGGGAAAGCAACGAGCCAGCAAGATTCTTGGAGATCCGCCGATGGGCAGGAGGCACCGGGGTGGTCACCCGGGGCCTCCACCAGGACTTTTCGGGCCTGGGGGACCCGTGGACATGATGCCCCCACCGCCGCCGCCTCCACCACCTGCTCCGATCGACGTGATGGGCGGTGGTCGGCCATCGACACCCATGGTCGAGATCATCCCCGGACCGGGACCCAAGCCGCCGAAGACCAAGCCGAAGCCCCAGCCGAACGTCGGGTTCCTTCGTTGGACTGCGGGCGGCGCGGTCCGGCCGGCGGGAAAAGGGGCAAAAAAACCTGAGAGCCCTACTGGCGGCGGCGGCGGCTCGGCTTCCACGGCAGCATCGGCGCACAACGGACATCCGCAGCACGGCGCGGATGCCGGGTGCGTCGTGATGTAAAGTGCCGATTTCTTCTGTTTTCATCAACGGAAGCCGGATCCTTCACCTTTCGCAATAACAGTGGGTGGCTTTCTTGGAGGCATGAGTTTTATTTCTCCTGTATGGGAGTTTTTGCATGTCCTCGGGGGCTCTTGTGTGTGTGTTGTGTTTTTTACAAAAAGGACTGATCGATTGATCGACGAGCGGTACTCTGTTCGCGCGCAGTTGATTTCTTTTTCGGGTTTCTATTTTCTTTTTTGTGGTTCGCTTCGCTTCGCTTCTTTTGGGGACAGCGAGAAGACTTTGTGGTCTTGGGGCATGACTGGAACGGCTTTTTTACGATGTTAACGATGGCGATGATGGATGGCTTGTGATACTCCAATGGTATAGTCCGGGTTTGGTTTGATTAGCAACTACTAGGTAGCCTTTTTTTTCGATTCGGAAGAAAATTTCCAAAGGGGATTCTTCTTCAGCTAGCAAGTAAGAACGACGACTGCAGTTCAAGATCTGATGCGTTGATAACGATGAGCGTGGCGTGTCACTGCTGTTTGTTTTGTGTCGTACGAAAGGGCGGGCGACAGCTGCCAACGGAGCGAGTAGGTAAGTGGCGCACGCTCTGTATAACAGAGGAATGGTTATGCTATACTTAGGGTTTACCTGTCTCGGTTAGCGCCTTTCCGCTAAGGTTTCTTCTAGCTGTAGAAAACATGGGGTTTCTACGGAATTGAGGGTGGCAAAAAAAGTTCTAAAAATGAAAATAGGACCGGGCCGAGTGCCGAGCCAAGGAGGTAAAGATAAGGGTAGGGCGGGTAGGGCTACGGCGGGGGTGTTGCACATTAATTGGGGTTGGTCACCATACAGGGGGATCCCGCCCTACATAGGTATGTACTTGATTGCATGGGTCATGTCTGGATGTGTCCGTGTAGGTTTCGCATCTCGCGTTTTCGTTGGGTTGTTTGCTTCGGCTGTACATATCAAAGAGCGGTAGCCATTGTTCGCAGCAGGGCAGAGAAAGGCCAATCAGATCGGTTTGCAACTCTACTATGTGGAGCGCATGCTCGTCCATCTATGTTCTCCTTCTCGTCTTTCTTTCATGCTAAAATCGTGTCAGATCCCTGTACTGAACGAGTTCTCAGCACCGAGGACCCCGGCGGCTGGGCACCGTTAGGAAAGGGGGGAAAGAACGAGGAGCTCCAGCGCCCCGATCCCGCCAACCCCGTTCTTCCCAGCCTGAATTCTAACAACCACCACAGCTCGCCTTCGTACTCCCCTCCCCCTCACCACGACCCCGCCGACAATAACACGACGCCGTAACCTCTACATCAGCGACCGCCAGCGCCAGCCTCAACTGCTGCTCAACAATCTTCCTCGTCTGCTCGTGATCCCTCCCACCCAGCCTCGCCAGACACTCATGATACCCATGCAGCGCCCACACATTATTCGGGTGCTGGCGAGCGCGAGGCAGCGTGTCGTCGAAGCCCAGGTCGGCGGCATACGCGTCCGCGGCTTCCTGGACGCGGCCCTGCTCGAGCAGCAGCGCGGCGAGGGCGTGGCGGGTGGGCTGCATCCACGCCCAGGGCTCGGCGTAGTTGAGGCTGTCGTCGAGCTCGACGGCCTTGCGCAGGTGCGCGAACGCGTCGTCGTAGTTTTCTTTGCGGTACTCGAGCTCGCCGTCCAGCATGGCCACGGCGATGGCGAGGATGTCGGAGGCGCGGTTGGGGTACTCCATGCGGGTGTCGGGGACGCGGGACACGGCGGCGCGGAGGAGGGCGCGTTGTTCGGACGCGCGCGGGATGTCGGCTGTGACGGCGTAGGCGATGCCTTTGGCATAGTGCGTCATGGCGGTGGTGACGCAGTAGAGGTGCGGGTCGGCGGGGAGCGGGAGGGCGAGGATGTCGTGCCAGCGGCCGAAGCGGACGAGGACGTGGAGGCGCGCGGACAGGAAGGACTCGAGCCAGTCGGCCATCGGGGGCGAGTCGACGCTGAGGAGCGAGGCGGGCAGGTGCTCTTCCATCTTGGCGACCGTGTCGAGCGCGGCGCGCGACTGGCCGTTGAACATGGCGGCGTAGACGAGCGAGTGGTAGTCGTGTAGCCGGTACAGCGTGTAGAAGTTCATGCCGCCCTCGCGCGCGTAGTACTTCTCGTCGGCCTCGGCGGCCGCCGCGTTGCTGGCGATGGCGCGCCGGTAGTCGCCGATGAGGATGTCGAGATGGGACGGCATGTGGCGTAGGTGCCCGGCGTCGGGGATGAGATCGCGCAGCCGGTCCGCCAGTGTGATGCCCAGCTCCGGCGTGTGCGACATCTCGATCATGTGGATGTACATGTGCAGCAGGCCCGGGTGTTCGTGGGCCTGCTGCTCGTGGTCCGCCAGCGCGCGGTCCAGCACCGTCTTCACCTCAACCGCCCGCGAGCCCGGCATCGGCTTGCCGGTGCGCAAGTCCCAGAGCTCCCACGGAGTGAGGTTCATCAGCGCGTCGGCGTACAGCGTCACGGCGTCCAGGTCGTCCGGGAACTGGCGATACACGGCCTCCATGGCGTCGGCGTAGGCCCTGTTGTAGCGGGAGTAGTCCTTGTCCGCGACATCCTTTGGGTTGCGGAACTGAATTGCGTGGGCGACGGCCTGTTCGAAGGGCGTTGCTTTCGCTGCGTGCTCTTGTGCCTTGTGCACCGCATCGTGGACCCGTCTTAAGCTTGTTTCTAGGTCCTTCTCATCGAACAGTTCCCAAGGCTTGTTGTAGTTGGGCCCAAGCGCGTACGCAAGCCCCCAGTAGCCCATTGAGCAATCCGGATCGTTCTCGATGACGCTCTCGAAGCAGCGTGCGGCCTCTTCGTGGTTGAAGCCATAGCACCATACCAATCCACGGTCAAACCATTTCTGGGCAGTCGGATTCCGGGTAGTGACTCCCCTGTGGAAGGACCCCAAGTCGTAGTAATCGTCCCCAGTTGAGCCCATGGTCCAGTGCCGATGAGGACGCGGGAATGGAAAAGTGTGGGCGAGGTCGGAGTATGAGCTTCTGAGGCCGAGAAGCGCGGGGCATCCGGCTGATGGTTCGATCTCGCGACATTGCCCCCTTGCGTCGCGTTACAAGTCTGAGTCAGGCCTTGCGTTAGTTGGCCTGGTTCATGACTTGACAGATCCAGCCCTATTGGTCTACTCCAATCGTCAACATCAGCAACATCGCTATGATCGACTTCGGCTGTGAAAGAGTACACAGTAATATTGAAGTTGCTTACTGTCTCAGCCCCGGCTGCTTTATGTAGGCATGGTGAAGGAGAGGGCGAAATGTGGATACAAGTTTCGGGACTGCACATGCAAATCCAGACAGGATTTCACCGCCCATGTCGGGACAGTGTTGTCTTCATGAGACTGAAGTAGGCGAGCTCCATTTATTCAACCCGCTACTGGTACCGTTAGAGGCCGTGTTTGTAACAATGTACAGTGCTCAAACTCGAGGCTCTCGCCCTCCGAGCTTGCATAATTTAGCCCGTGAGCACACAATGGGCTGAACCGGACTGAGCAGAGCGCATGGACTTTTGGTTTCTCCGCTCTGATACATGCTCCGTTTTAGCAACCAATTGTGACAGAAATCCAGTTGAGATTCAAACGGAAGTCAACTTAATTGAAAGATGAGACAGACTTGTGCAATCAGTGGAGGCAGGTCCCGCAGTCATTTTGAGAAGACTCACCTGTATCTTTAGTGCTCCTCAAAGAGCGAAACGATCAGTAGTAGGAGCTCAAAGAAAGTGCAACCTCTCGAAGGTTCTTGGCCCAGTACACCCTAACTATGCTGTCATCCGCTGGTGGCATCTCGGCCAATAGCTTGATCCGATGCTGCTCCACGCCTACCCTTTCCAATGCCTCGGCCAACTCTTGCTGCCCGCTGCTGGGCTCCTCATCACGAATGCAGATTCCCACATCGGCAACCAACAAAGCCTCAAGATCGGTGGTGCTATCACCAACATACACAACAAGCTCTTCACCACCATATTTAACAGGAGTAGGCATGTTGGCGAACTTGTCCGCGCTAGTCCGGATGGCGCCGGTTTCGTCGCCCGTGGCTTCATTCCGTCCATTGAGCAGACCAGAAGAGCCGTTTGAATCCTGGAGGCCGGCGATCTCGTTTGCTGCAATGGAAACACGCTCAACCGCGGCCTTCAAGTCAGAGTCGTTTGCGGCTGCAGCGAGCAGACATTCGCGGATGAAGGTGGCACTCCAGTTGACACTCAGGATTGTCGTCTTCTGGCCTTGGGCGAGCAAAGACGACCATCCGTCCCGAAGGGTGAGCTCGCCGGTCCCGATTGCTTGGGCGGCACCGGTCCTGACAGCCGCAGCAGTCACACCCTTGAACAGACCGGAATCCTCGACGCGGCGGACGCTGAGAGAGTCGACGGTGGCCAGACTCGCGAGCCACGCCTTCTCCTCGGCGATGGTGGTACGCTGGCCCTTCTCGGGCGTGTAAGACGAGGCGTGGGACGAGAGGTCGTCAACGTAAGCTTTTACGATATCGTCCCAGGTGGTGGTGGCGGGGCCATCCGATCTGCTGCGGGCATGGTCGGCGCAGATCTTGCCCAGAAAGTGCAGGGTGTCCTTGTGGGTTGTGGTGCCGTCCCAATCAAGGACCAGGTGGATTGGGGGCACGGATGCCATTGGGCGGGCGAGCTGAGGGCGGAACGGCGGGAAGGGCCGGACGAGGAGCGGGCGAGTGGCGATGGACCAATTGCACAAAGCTGGGGGAACAAGAACGAGGGCCCAGAGGGTTCGACGCAGCGACAATGCAGCAGCAAACATGGACCGAGTTGAACGGCCGCTCTGTGCGTCGGCCGTCTCTCGCTTCCGAAAAGTACTCGTGCCTGCCCGAAGTTCCCGAGGGGGCGGAAAGCGCGCACCGTGTAACAAAACACCAGTCTGGGCCAAGCCTCGCCCCAGCAGGCCGCTAGACCCCAAGCGCAGGATCTACAGCCAATCAACAGCCGGGCAGACTGCCACCGCTCACCCGCGGCACATGATACCGCTGTCATCGGAATCGAATACATCACCGGTAGCGGCGCGGCCAATGAGCGGCCGCGTTTAATAAGCCCGGATCCCGCTTCCCTCGGCTGTCAACGACGACGTGCTTGATCCGTCACGGCCAACTTCGAGCACGCCCTCGACACCTCCGCTGCCTGTACCACCCCCTCGTCTCTGGCCCGAGCGAGCATCTCACAATCCACCATGTCGACCACACGAGCATTGGCAAGGCTCTCCAGGAGCGCAAGTGAGTCTTCCGCGCCCCGCCATGCCTACACCCGCATCCTCTCGCCCGCCCTTCCCTAACGCCACTGCCCACCACCTCGCGCATAATTGCTGACCATGCATCAGCCGCTGCCTCGAGGGCCCCCGTCTCCTCGACCCTCTTCAAGCGCGGCATGGCCTCGGTAGTGCCCGAGTCGCAGACGTCCAACGTCGCCGAGCCGAAGTTGGACAAGGACGCGAAGATCAAGAAGTTCCACATCTACCGCTGGAACCCCGATGAGCCCACCGCGAAGCCGCGCATGCAGACCTACTCCATCGACCTCAACAAGACCGGCCCTATGATGCTCGACGCCCTCATTCGCATCAAGAACGAGGTTGACCCTACCCTGACCTTCAGGCGCAGTTGTCGCGAGGGCATCTGCGGTAGCTGTGCCATGAACATCGACGGTGTCAACACCCTGGCTTGTCTCTGTACGTCCCCCACGTTGCGCTTGCGCAGTGTCGCGTAGCCATTGGTTGCGGCACTCCCATCAGTCCTCTGATGCACGACTAACTTTCTTCGCCACCTAGGCCGTATCCCCACCGACACTGCCAAGGAGTCTCGCATTTACCCGCTGCCGCACACCTACGTCGTCAAGGATCTCGTTCCCGACCTCACCCAATTCTACAAGCAATACCGTTCGATCAAGCCCTACCTCCAGCGCGACACTCCCCCGCCCGACGGACGCGAGAACAGACAGTCAAAGGAGGAGCGTAAGAAGCTCGACGGCTTGTACGAGTGCATCCTGTGCGCCTGCTGCAGCACCTCCTGCCCCTCGTACTGGTGGAACTCGGAAGAGTACCTCGGCCCCGCCATCCTCATGCAGAGCTACCGCTGGATCGCCGACTCGCGTGACCAGAAGAAGGCTGAGCGTCAGGACCAGCTGAACAACAGCATGTCCCTCTACCGTTGCCACACCATTCTTAACTGCTCGAGGACGTGCCCCAAGGGACTGAACCCGGCTCTGGCCATCGCCGAGATCAAGAAGAGCATGGCTTTCACTTAAGTGGCGGCTCCTTGGGTTCTGGTCGACAGAAACACGGGAAGAAAATATCATTTGTGTAGATGCAGCAGCTGGGCATTCGACTGTGATTATAGGGCATTTGGAGACAAAGGGAGTTCTGAATATTTGCCGGTGTTTAGGCCTGACCGCCTGACTGACAAGTCGTCGTCGTCTTTGTTTTGAGACTAAGGAATATTATTTCATTTAGCTACGATGTACCGAACCATCAAGGCGTCTTTGCCGCGGCTAATAGTGAAGAGGGTGATCCCACAAAGCAGCCAACCAAATGTCGAGCTCTTCGATTTGTCCTTCAGTATCTCACATGTAACATCCCTGCAGTGTTTGCCACGTGCGTCGGTGGGAGAGGGAGCCTCATCGTTACAGACGGAACGTTCGTCCGACGCCCCGACCAATGACTGACTTGACTGCGGAGACGCGTTAGGCGCGCCTGTAAGCGCCGTAGTGTCCAAACAACAAAGCCCATTGGCCAGTTCGGGAAGAAACACCATCAGGGGCGGCGGTAAGAGGCATCGAGGCTGAAGGCGCACGCAGACTTCACGCGCGTGTCAATAGATTTGCATACAGTACTAAACTCTTCGTTCTTCCCGCGCTGTGATCACCTCCGGTTCATGATTCTCTCGAGGTTCCTTACGATACAAGCTTTGTGCTGTTTCGACTAAACGACCTCAGCAGTCCCACCCTTGTCTTTACATATGCAGGTCTTTACCAACACGGTAGGCGGTATACCGTCATACAGGTCAGGCACCGGCCACGCCATTTTGGCAGCGCCCTAACTCCCTCGATCTTCACCCTTTCTTCTCATCATCTACATCTTTCTCTTCTTCTACCCTCCCCCTTCTCCTTCCATCGCCACATCCACCAGCAAATGCAAGTTATCGCTGCCCTGCGAGAGACGATGCTACACCCTTTCTGCACAGACAATTGAGGGCAAGTATCTGGATGTCGGTGTGCGTATCCCCAAACTCTATCGAATGGTATATAGATCAGGACTCCACGACCCGCGCAATCAGGTTGTGATATTTGACGTGTGTAGGTACATTTAAACTCCTTTTCGCCACCCGCGCTGTTTTTCGGTCCGGATGTTTCGAGTTTATGATTTACTAGTATACCTTGTTTTGGAATTAGGAATGAGGTGCAGGTCGATTCGGCTTGGTGCGGAGCTTATCTGGACGACGAGTTTGATATGCGCAGGTGATAAGACGAACGATATAGAGGCCTCTACACGGCAGTGATTTTCTGTGGGGACAGCAAAGCATTTGGATATGTTTATGCAACAGGTCGAGCCAAGCGTCAATCAATACAACGTAAGACTTCATTATCCCTCCTGGAATCCCCTCCCAACACCCAGAATATGTATATCGTGGGCAGCAGAGACCAACACCAAGAACATCACGCAACAGACAAAAAGCGAACGTGCCGTGCAAAGAAAGAAAAAAAAAAATTCGTGACCGCAATTCGAATCACCCAGGGCATAAAAACAATTCGTCTTTCGAGAACCCGCCCTACCGTGACCCAAGTCCCTAAAAGCAAATACACACTCGTTCACTTCTTGATCTTCCCCAACAAATCCTTCGCCTTCTCCCCCAACCCCCTCACATCCTCCCCATCTCTCACATCCCTCCCTCCACCACCACCACCACCAACCGCCGCCGGCACCCCCACCAGCCTCTCCCTCTCCTCCTCAGGACCCCCACCACCCTTCTCGCTCGTCACGTTCGCGGCGCCCCCGCGACCAAAGTGCTTCGGGCCATCGTGCTGGTGGTGGTGGTCGGGCCTGGTGGGCGGGGCCTCGACGTCCTGGGCGGCGCGCGCGATCTCCGGGTGCTGCGGGTCGTTGCGGGCCATGTTGCCGGTGCCGCCGCGGCCGGTGGTGTACAGGGCCGACTTGATGGTCGGGGTGACGAGGTCGCGCGGGTTGGACGAGGATTCGCGGCGCGAGGATTTGGTGATGTTGCCTGGGAAAAGGCAAAAAAAGGGGGGAAAGGCCGTCGGGTTAGTCCCACACCTATGATGCTATTTTTTTGCATTTTGGGGTGAAGGGGAGGGGGGTGGGGGGAGAGATGGCGTGCATGAACGTTGGCCCGTGGGGAGGGGATGGGAATCGATGTGAGGGAAGATGGGATTATTGTGCGGGCGGTGGCTGTGTTTTTTTCTGTCCCGCTCTGGCGGTTCGATAATTCCCCGCTGGTGTGTTGGCGCGCGTTCTTGGGGTGATAGCAACATGCAGGTATACCTGCAGGTCATTGCTTCCGCCTACAGTGGCTGAGCAACGGACACCGTGCGCAGTGGATCAACGCCAGCCTCGTGTGGTTCTGCAGCATTGCGTACACATGTATGTGCGATTGCGCAATGTAATCCCCACGGCAGCCGAGGCAGAGGGGAGGGGGCAAGGGGGAAGGAGGACAAAGGCTGGCGGGAAAAAGGGAGAATATCGAAAGTTAAGTACCTGCGCCACCACGACCGTGCGAAGTGTTCCGAACGTCTGAGCCAGTGCCATCAGAGGCGGTGCGCGGGTCCAGAGCCATAGTGGTGGAGTACTCTTGGGGGATGCTGTAGGTGCAGCCGCGCAAGGCAGGGATTTTTTGATCGCAGGCGTTTTGCGCAGCGTGTCCGACGGGGTATGAAGGGTCTTTGGGGCTGCTGTCGAGGGTGGTAGGGTTGACGTCAAGTGCAGGCGGCGACGGACCCTGAGCCTTTGTGGGCAGCGACGAATGCAGCAGTCGAGACTCGCGAGTGCGTGGTGAGTGGGTAGCGGGCGCCGGATGCGATGCGACAACCCACGCGCGCTCCGCCAGGGACAACAGTCAAGACAACGGCGAGGAGGTCACAACACAGCGCAGCGGCAGGACCGACGGCTTTATGGCGAATGCGAATCGAAGGGAGTGGGATTATACTACCTCGCTGCGCCCGAGCGCCGGGCTGGCGCACATCATGCGGAGAGAAAATCTCGACTCCGCAGCACCCTCGCCGACGCACGAACGGGGCAGCTCACCAGCTCCGGGGCGCCAAGCGGACGGGTTGTACGGCCAGGCGCACGTTGCGCGGGTGGTGGATGCGGATGTTTGGGTATCCATCACGTAAGAGTTTGCGGCGCGGCGAGGGGGCAGGCGTCGACCACGCGATCCTCGGTCGGCGGCCGAGCTGGCTGTTTCATGACTCCGCGGGCGAAAGCACTGCGCGGCGGGTGCATGTCGCGACATAGACAGCATATGTGCTGGCTGGGTCTCGACGCTGGCGGCATGGCGCGTGGAGATTCCGCCGACGATGGCGCGACGGCGGAAACGGGAAGAGGGTGCGGGTGCGGGCGATCAGACGGCAGGAGTCAAAGCCCTGCGGCAAGGCTCGCTGTCTCGTACGACGGTGGGAGCGCGACGAGGGAAGTCAGAGGCGGGAGCTGGAGCGTCTGCACGAGCGCCGGGCGGCAGCGGGAACAGGTGGAGAAGGGACTGGGGGGCTGGTGTCAGGCTGCACGATGACCGCATGATTCAGGGACCGAGCGCGGAGAATGAAACTGAGAATGAAAAATGATCCAAATTGTCAAGTCCCGCGGGACTGTAATGATACACAGTAGACAGAAGCACCAAGCTTCAGAAACGCCTCTAATCCCGTGTCCGTCTGCCCAGCGACCGCGAGGTCTTCCGTGTCCCGTCTAGTGTATCCGTCCCAGCCCAGTCTATGAAGAAAATCAAAAAAAAAAACTCCGTTCAGATGCAAATGCAATACAGTTCGCTGGCGATGCCGCTCAAGTGCCAGACAAACTCCCAACAGCCCGAGTGATTAATGGAAGAAAAGCAGAAAAGGAGTCCCCCGCAAGCGCCGGCTCAATGCAATGGTTCGATGGTCGTACAGTCGCGCTAAACATGGCGCGAAAGAAGAAAGTCGTGCCCCGTGGACAGCCGCAAAAGGATACCGGTCCGATTGCGGCGCCCAGAGGACTGATTAGGAATTTCTTGCTGGATGACAAGCCGGCGATCGTCGAGGATGGTCGGCATTACGAAGATGCTCGTCAAGGTGGAATTAATGAGAGGTAAAACGTAAAGGGTGTCGAGGCACCCCGGCGGCAGCTCGGGCGGGTAGTGGATTAGGCCTGGTCATCGAGTCAGCACAGGGTCCATGGAGTGATTCGGCGGGCGCCAGGGTCAACGTACCATTTAGCTGCCACCGGCATCACGGGGCCACTCCTTGTCGTCGCCGCCCTTGCGGCAGACGGGAAGAGCGCCGCTCAGCTGCTTCATGGTGAAGTCGTTGGAGGAGAAGAAAGCAGTCGAGGTCGAGGTGAAGGCGGCCATTGTGGTGGTGGTGATGGTTGGTGGTGGTAGTTGGTAGCAGTTGGTGGTGTTGGTTGTGTTGCAGGTGGTTGGCGGTGTTGATGATATTAAAGGCGAGGTCGAATTGGGAAGGCGTGGATTGCGGCGGTCCCAGGGAAATGCGGAGGGTTTATATTAGAGCGTCCTGGAGTGTGGTGGGTGTTTAAGATTACGTCGGTTGGCTGGATGATGGAGGGCTGGAAGGTAGCAGGCGGCAGGCCTATATGTATGTGTGCGGGTGTGCAGGGCAGCCTCTGGGAAAGGGTGACGCTTCAGCGCGGTCTGAAACGGAATTCTGGACTGTTCGCGGGATACGGGGGCTCTGGCGCAGGAGTTATCATCATCATCAGCTGGCGGCCAGCCATCGCGAGCCCGCTGCTCGACCTCAGCAGCGGCTGTGCGCAGGGCAGCATTTCGTGCAGGGCAGGGCTGATTGGCCGCGGGCGCCGTCGCCGTGCGTCGTGGAAGGCCATCCGCTTCCATGATCCATGTCAGCTCCCCGTCACGGCTGCGAGGCGCATCCTCGAGCCATCTGGCACCCCGGGGATCCCTCGACTGCCGGAGCATGGCGGCCGTGACGTGCGCCGCCAGCCAGTCCTCTGGAGCGCGCCCAGCAGCCGGCCGCAGGGTGGCCGGTGTGCCCATCCGCAAGAGCCAGCTGGCGTGCTGCGCCTCGCCCGCACTCGCCCGCCGTCCTCACGTGGCTGAGTGCGTGGGCCACAGTGGCTTCTCGTCAGGGGCCCGAGGCATGCCAATCAGCGCGGGATGGGAGGCGGGCAAGCCACCGTGCGCGCGTCGAGAACAGGAACAGGCATGGCACCTGAAATGACTCGCACTCGCCCGGCTGCGCGCCCTTGACCGCCCGCGCCGCCGCCTGCCCGCGCTGCCTGTCGGTGCCTGTCGGTGCCAGTGAAGCTGTCGCAGAGCACGAGCAGGCCAGCCAGCCAGCAGGCATGCAAGCACAAGCATGCAACGAACGACCGCCCGTGCTGCGGCCTTGGGCGACGGCGGCCGCGCTCCCGCTAGGCTCGCTGCGCTTGCTGCGCCCTCCCGGGCTGCCCGCGCGCTGCCCGCGCCGGCGTGCCTGCCTGGGGCATTATTGAGCTGCGTGCGGCGACGGCGCGCGCGGGGGAGAGGGTAGTGTGGTAGCGCGAGCTGCGAGCTCATAAGCCGCCCTGGTCGATAATATTGCGCGCTGGAGCGGGCGAATTTCCCGTTACAAAACGCGTCCCCTTTCGCGCTTGAAACGCAGCGCCCTGCGCAGCTGAGCCCCCGCGCGGCCAGCTGAGGCGGGCGCCTAACCTCCGCGAGGCCAGCCGACGGCACGCCAGCGTGCTGGGGGAGCGCTGAGGGAGCGCTGAGGGGGCCCTGACACAGTCACCTCCCGGTCACCACCTGCGGTTGCTGGCAATGTTCGAGAAGCTGCTTCGATGCCGATCCGGCGGCTGCAGCACCATCGCTCCCCATCGGTCTAGGCCCTACGCGGCGCGCCTGCGATTCCCGCTGCCGTCATTGCGCGCGCGCGTGCAAAGCGCAGCGGCCTGCCAGCGCCCGCGCTGCGCTGTCACCACGACACACGACACACTTCCGACGTGTCGCGGGCGCCGGTCCGCCCGCCTGCGGCAATGCGACCAAGCGCTTCCGGCGCGCGGATGAGCAGCCTGTCGCCCCGCCGTCGCAGCGAGTCCGAGACGCTGCGCGCCGTCATGATCCCACGTCTGCCCACGCCGCGCCATCAGGTGACTCGCGCCGCCCAGCCGCGACCAGCTGCGACCAGCCCCTGAAACCCGAGTCGCGGGCGCTGGGGATCGTCATGAAACCGCATTTCCCGCGTTATGAGCTGCCGTCCGAGCAAAACAGCCAACTTTACACACGTGGCGTATCGACAGCTCCCGGCGCCAGCCCTCGCCAGCCCTCGCCCGCCCTCGTCCGCCGTCGCCCGCCGGCGCCAGCCCTGTGCCGGGGCCTCCAGGGGTACGCGTACGCTTTCTTGACTCATCCCGCCTGCAGTGATCGTCGGGCAATGAATCGGAACAAGATCCGCCGCCTCCTCCCCTGACGATCGTGTTCGATCAGCCGCGCGCTGTAGGTAGTGCGAAGCAGGGCGGCGCCGCGGCAGCCCCAGAGCCACTGTTGAACCACACATGTAGTCGCCCCCCCAAAAACCAATTATAGCGAGTGGGCGGCCAAAAGCGACCTCTTGCGGCAGGGCCTGGCGCCCCGATTCGGCCGTGCTAGCGCCAGAAGGAAGTCTCCTATCGAGCCGCTCTTACACGAGCAGGGGCGGCTGGGATGCTCCCTCCAGCGCCGGGCGGAAGGGCAGCCATCAGCACCTTCCGACCTCGAGTTCTGCAAAAAGACTCAGCGCTCGAACCGTTCCGTCTTACGCGTCCACAAAGCGCCTTTTCCTGCCAGTCCGAGGCCGCTGGCGACCCCGGCATGCTCAATGCTGCCACCGCGCCCGAATTGGAGGGTGAGCATGATGCCGCCGTGTTTCTAGGAATAGGAGCATGATGCAATCGCCCCAGGGCTGCTGCTCCCCACAGAGGCAGGCGGCGCGTCAGACCTGCCACAGCAGTTCGGCGTCAGGCAGCCCGCACGCGCTAGCAGCAGGTCTCTCCCGCAACGCGCTGCCCGCCCAAAGGTGCAGAGAATTGCTGGCGGTGGCGGGCGCGAGTGTCGTCTGGAAAGCGCTGCTCCAAGAAACCATACCATCGGGG